GAGATAGCTTGGAGAGATAAGGATAAAAGGGATAAAAAGGCAGTTTTATTTTCAGAGAAGGACTTAGAGGGATAAGGAGATGGAGAGGAAGAGGGGAGTGGAGAACTTGAGGATGGAGAACTGAGAAGGATAAGGAGGATTTTGACCAGAGAGAACATGTGGACAAGATGAAAGATGAGGAAGAGTCAGATGGGGGAGTACTACCTGGGTAAGAACTAGATGAGGCAGAATTAAGACGAGAGAATTAAGATAGAACTTAGAGGGAACAGTAGATAAATATAGAGAGAAATCAGACAAGAAAGGAGCTAGGCACAAGAACAGAACTGAAGCTGTGTAGTTAGGATTTTATCCCAGAAGAATAAAGTAGACAGACAAAGAGCTTGGTGTACTTAGATTCTTTTCCCAAAAATAATTCTTGCCGTTTGTAGTTTCTCTTCTGAGCCCCTGGGAAGAATATTATCAAGGCTGGACCTTTTAATATTATACAAGAACACAGAGGTTGACATGTCTGCAGGGCCCCTGTGAATGCACCTGTGAAATACTCAGGAGAGTGTGGGGGCTGAGGTGAGTGTGGCCTCAAAAAGGCTGAGAACATTGTGACCAAGCAGAGGTGCAGGGCAAGCAGGTATGACCAGAAAAAGAGTGTGAGAAGAATCGCCCTGCAAGAATGCAGGGAAGTGTCAGGGTCTTCAGTGGGAAGGAAGGGATCCCGTCCACCCCCATGACAGAAATTGGTAAGGGAACTGTAGGACCTGAGTGAGATGTCAAAACAGAACAGGTAGCTCCCATGTCCAAACAAAGTCAATGGACTTACCTGTTACCTGCAGCATCACCCTAGGCTTGGAGAGGGCAATGGGAGTCAGTAGGTCTAGGCCGCGTCAGTTCTCCACCAGGCTCAGGAGTTCTCAGTTGCCAGAGTTGGTGAGGCTGGACCTCTATGGCATGGCATAGAGGATGAGCCTGCAAGGGGACATTCCGATTTCCAGTGCCCAGGCTATCAGCAGACAGGGCACAGCCTCTTGGGTGGCTGGAGATCAGGGCAATACTGTGACCAGTGGCCCTGCTTGCCACATTTAAAACCAGTTTTTGGCAGAGTTGACTTGGGCTGAGCTCCAACGGGATGGAGCCTCATGGCCGACTTCCCTTGTACCCCTTGTGGGTGGCCTCGGAGCAGCTGCTAAGGCTTGGGCTTGGAGCATATTCTGTTGCAGCCTTGTCTGTCGGTTGACTCGGCTGTCATTCTCGAGCATTAAAAACTTTAGGAGCTGTTTTCACCGATTCCTGTAGGGGAGTTTGGGGATCCTCCTCAGCCTTTTCTTCTAGTATCTGGCACTGACTGAGAAAAAGAAGAAGACCGAGTATAAGAAGAAACCGGGGAAGATTTGGGGGCATTAGGCCAGTGTGTAGGCTGAGGCATAGGGAGATGGCGGGAGTAATGAGGGGAAGGGAGGATAAGGAGGGTAAATAGGAGGAATTTGGTCTTAGATTTGTGGCCCTGGAGGAGGGGGGTGGGTAGGTAGAGTTTGGGGGAAGTGGGAGATGTGTCAGTTTCTCCAGCAGTGAATGGACTGGTGCTGTGAAACATTGGCACCTGTAGGGAGGGCGGGAATGTAGACTCCAAAAACTGTGGAGGTAGGGCAGTTCTGTCCAATTATATCAGCCCCAATTTGAATAGATTTTGTAAAAGACCCTGCAGGGGCATTTGAATATGGTGATATTTTAATTGTACTGAAATGTGATTTTATTTGTATGTTAATAAATAAAGTTGCCTGGGGGTCAGAGCTAATAGCAAGCCATAGCAGAAACTGGGCGGTGGTGGTGCACGCCTTTAGTCCCAGCTCTTGGGAGGCAGAGCTAGGTGGATCTCTGTGTGTTCAAGGATACAGCCAGCATGGAGACACATGCCTTTAATCTCAACACCAACCATAGAAGACCTGGAGGTCTGTACAGACAGGCAGTGATGAGGAGGTCATGTGGTTGGGTTTACAGCCAATGAGAAGGCAGAATAGAAAGTCTATAAAAAAAAAAGACAGACAGGAAGTAGCTCTCTTGCTGAAGAGGACAACAGCAGCAGTGAAGGGTAAGGTTTTTAGCTCTGACCTCTTGGGCTTTCATCTCTGCATTGGCTCTGTGTTTCTTATTTAACAAGACATTTTGGGGTCAGGCTTTGAATGGCAAGTGTTGTTTCTCAAGTCTATGCCGGGGATCCAAAGCTTAGCACAATGAGTCCACTGTGGAAAGTCTTGGATCAAAAAAATAGGGGGTTAGGGGAAATTCCCTTCAATGGAACATCTTCTAGAAAAGGGGTCCCATGGAACAAAGGCAGCCCTCTGCTCCGGAATGGGTCAGGCAGAGGGAAGGCAGTCCTTCGCACTGGAACAGATCGAGTGGAACAGAGGCAGGCAGCCCTCTGCACTGGAATGGGTTGGGGTGGAGCAAAGGCAGCCCTGTGCTCTGGAACAGGTCAGGGACCTGGTGTAGCAGGAATCTTAAAAGTTCTTATTAATAAAATCAAACCTGAGCCAGGTATTGGGATGAATGCTGAATGATCAGAGAAGCAGAACAAGTCACAGCTACAGCTGATCCTGTTTCCTCAGACTAGATGCCTCACAGCTGAATTGTGCTGCTCAAAAGCCTAAAAGCTTAACCAGCCTAGTTCCTGGTCCTTACGCCTTATATACCTTTTGTGAGACCAAAATGAGCCATCTTAGAAATAAGACCAAGATGCCTTCACCCAAAAACTAAGGCCTAAGATTTCTCCTTCTAGGAATAGGCCAATAGTTACTGAAACAAGTCAGTTCAGATTCCAGAAACCAGAAAGTGTAAAAGTACAGAGTCACAAGATAGTCATGAGGTAATGCCTGCCGGACTATGGAATGTCCTCACCCTGGTTTCCAGGGTAACTGACCATAAAACTGTCCCCACCTGAGGGCAGCCAATGAGAAATGGTGGCAGGCAACCACTCCCTTAGAAGTAATTTCTAGAAGTCCCTAGAAGCGAGCCAATCAGAATTGTACCTGTGCTAGCACCCCTAAATGATGTAACCTTGTGATTTTTCCCTTTAAAAACTGAGCTTGCGGACAGGCGGGCGCTTCCTCCAGCCTCCACTGCGTTGGATGTATTGGACGAAGTCCCTGCCTAGGCTTGTATTGGATATCCAGAATTAAACCTTGCTTTTGCATTCCGGCATGCTCGTCTTTGGTGGTCTCTCTGTGGGGGTCACGATCTGGGCACAACACTTTCTGCTTTCTACCATCACTTCTTGGGATTAAAGGCGTGAGTCACCATGCCTGGCTGTTTCCAGTGTGGCTTTAAACTCACAGAGATCTAAATGGATCTCTGCCTCCCAAGTGATAGGATTAAAGGCATATGTGCCACCATTTTCTGGCCTCTATATCTAGTGGCTGTTCTGTTCTCTGACCCCAGATAAGTTTATTAGGGTACACAATATTTTGGGGAACACAATATCACCACAGCCTGGAGCAGCTTCATCTCTGGCAAGACACCCCAAAAAATGAAGAGACCCTGGGCCTCCTAGGCAAGAACTTGAAAGGGCAACTTACCCAGCCAAGAGCCAATCTTAGTCTAGCGGAGAGCAGGTGTGGAGGAGAGGGATGTTTTCCCACCAAGTGGCCCTGGACCAGTGGGGAAAAAAAATCAACCCCCTAGGTGGAACCTCCAAATGATAAGTTTTAGGCCTCCCTGAAGGCCTCTCCACCATCACAACAAACCAAATCAGACCAAATCAGGAAAAGCCCAGGTTTAATGGGTAAAGCACTCCTGGGCGATTCCCTGGCCCTGCAGAGGGGAGACTGAATGCAAGATCGGAAGAACCACGAGTCTGTTTCTGGGGATGCGCTTATATACTCTGTGGGAGTGGTTTTGAGCCTCTCTGGGGGAGGAGCTGTGTTTGGTGGGCTTTGAAGAGGTGGGTTTAGGAAAAGAGATAGGGGAGGGGAGTTGAGGTGGATCTTCCACCAGACTCCTTCCAAACATTCCAGACTCTTTGGGTATAGGGATGCCAGGGTGCCAGGGGTTGAGGTGGAGCTCCCATCCAAACAACTGTGACTATTTATATGGAAAATTCTCAGAAATCAATTCTTAAAAAGAGAACTTTTTTTTTTTTATAAAGAAGACTAATAAATTCTTCTTTTTTGTTTTTGTTTGTTTTTCAGACAGGGTCTATCATGTAAGCCATGATTGTCCTAGAACTCACTGTATAGACCAGGCTGGCCCCAAACTCAGCAGAGATCCACCTGCCTTTGCATCCCAAGTGCTGGGACTAAAAGTATGTTCCACCATGCCAAGCTTATAAATTCCTGTCTTTAACTAAATTTGAGTTGGACTTTGTGTGTGACACAATCGAATGAGCCATTTATTCACATTACCACATTAAATGTTTATCAAATGGCTAACTTTTGCCAGTAGCTGGTGTATACAATGATGATCCATCAGCAAATGCAAAAAGTTAAAGGAGGGGGGAAAATGAGTACCAGCTTAGTGGAGAAGAAAGTGCCTTTGAGAAGATAATCTCACCAGAGGAGGATTTGGTTTCTCTGAGGGAAGAGGTGCAGGCAGTGGGGGTGCAAGGGTCTCAAGGCTGGAATACGGCTGTGTCTGAGGCAAGTAGGGGGCTGCCGTGGCTGAAGTGCAAAGAAGCAGAGAAGATCCCATAGCTTCTTACAGTCCTCTAAATGACTGACAAGCAGAGAAACACCAAAGTCTTTGAGCGGAGAAATGACCTGATAGTGCTGATTCTTAGTTCTTCCCAGTTCCTGAGTGCTCTTATCAACTCTACCCAAGCTGTACGGTCTTTGGTATTTATTTATTCATTTTAAAATACCTCTATATCTCTTTCAATTGTTCTTTCCTCTTTCTGAGAACTCCTGCCACTCATAGGACTAACCCTGACAATAACTTGTTCAGGCTGGCCTCAAACTCACAATGTAGATGAGAATGACCCTGAACTCCTGAACTTTGTGCCTACACCTCTAAAGGGCTGGGACTACGTGGGTGGGCCTCCAATTCTGGCTGCCTTTCAGCAACTCTTGGGACACTTATCCATCCTGTGCACACAGCTTTCCAGCCTACTAGAAGCTTGCTTTGTATACAAATCATTACCTGTTAAAAAGGACAGGTCAGGGTTACGTAAATGTTCATGCTCCACCCTCCAGTGTGTCCACCAATCAAGCAGAGGAAGGCACTCTGGGCCAGCTGGAGTCTCTGATTGTCACACTCCTTCCACTTTGATCTACTACCAACACTAAATCAGAGGTGAGAAATTAACTTTCTCTTTCACGAAGCAGATCTGCTATCACTCCGGCTGTGTGGGGAACTATGTCTTTAGTGAGTATTCCATTTTTTCTCCTGTGTAAGACTTCCTGCAATGATGCAGGCTTGCTTTATAATATATGTTCAGCAAAAAACCCCAGCAAATCCAGAAAATGCTCTGTGAAGTCCATGGGTGTCAAAGGTGTTTCAGAACTTCTCAGCTGCCGTGGGAACATAGCTGAGGAATTAGTGGGGAAGGAGCACTCACAGCAGGCTGCAGGCAGAGCAGCTGAGTTTTCAGCTTGGGCTTTTTGGGGAGGCTTGAGTTTTTAATATTGTGTACCTGTGCTTACATGATAAAATGTGAGATGGAAGAGCCCTCTGCCCTGCCATTTACATGGACCTAAAGCTATATTTCAGATCAGACTTTAAAGACTTCCAAAAGCCCATCTGGCCAGCCAGTGGAGCCTTGCTTGGAATTTTTCTTAACAACATTTCTGTGACTTGGTGTAAAATCCAAATTTACTGTGCAGAAGAGATCTTTTCTTTCATCTGCAAGGGATTTTATGAACCTGGAAAATAGGCTTTGTAAGATGCTGAGATCATTGAAAAGACAGGAACTGACTGAGCCTTATTGGGAAGAAAGAAATATTATGGCTTTGATGAGGGGGTGTTAATATTTCTTTTTGGTTAAAAAAAATGGTTAAATTCCAACTGACTGGTCAATTTTCTGTTCTTTTTTTTAATGTGAATTTTTTAATGTTCATTTGAAAGAAGTTCTTTTTGAAAATCTATTTGTTGATAATTTCATACATGTATAATGTATTTTGATCATATTCACCCTCTATTATCTCTCCCACCCCCTCCTGCTCCTGCTCCTGCTGAGCCCCGCTACTCCCCAGCAAGCCCCCCACTTCATGTCTATTTTGTACCCAGTGAGTTTAATGAAGGTTCTTGCATGAGCATGGGTGAGTGGCTGGCTGTTTGCTGGAACCTGAGGAACTTATCAGTGGCTACATCAATGTATATATAAGAGATTCTGAATGAAGGAGAACTTTGTATGGGGCTAGGGAGAAACCACACTGAACATTGATTCTGTTTACTATCAGCACAGTTAGTATACTGTGTTCATCTCCAGTGTAAACATTTGCATAGCTGCTTAATAGTCTGTAAACTTCTGTATGGAGGGGGCAGACCTGGCCTTGTCATGTTCACGGATGTATTCTCAGCATTTGATATAAGCTTGTCTCAGGTATCTGGTGGATAAATGGACATACTGTTCAGTTGGGTAAATGTATGTTGGAAGGGGGTATGTTTCTCTGGGGTGTGGGATAAATTAATGCAAAATGCTTAGCACAGTGCAGCCACTCACTTGCCGGATCTCAGCAAAAATGGTGCATCCCTGAAGAGACCTTCCAAAATAGCCTTTTTTCCTTCTTGTTATCCATTTTTCCTTTTCATGTAACAACACATTCATTTGTTACCCCACTTACATGTGCCAGTCCATGACAGTAGGGAAGACCTTGTCTCTTTCATCCCCTCATATATTGCCTATATCTGCAACATTTCAAACTTTCAGTCAGTATTTATTGAGTAAATGAATGAACCAATTCTTGACCTTTGTTTCAATTGGACCAGGAAATGTTTATTATACTTCTTAACTATTCTAAAATAGCATTTGTATTGGGAGAAAGAATCAATTCTCTTGAAGAATTGGTTCAAATTTTTCATTTGAATTGCAAAATAATAAGGACAATTCAAGTGATCATCAATTGGGAACTAGCAGCTGTTTGGTCCAATGCAATGCAGCTATGTTTTTTAAAGATAGAGGAAAGAGCTCTGTGTACTTGTATGAAGAGGCCTCTAAAACCACATTAGTGAGAGTGGATTGGGTGTGTGGAGTGGTGAGAATTTAGGACCTGTTGTGTACAGCTGGTGGAGAAACGAGAGTCATATTTGGGATACCAAGGAGCACAGTGTCTCCTGGGAGGTAAGACTGGGATTAAATACAAAACCTTCAAGACAGGAAGTAGGCATTTTTCAATGTGTGTTCTTTATGGTTTTTGAACCATTTGAAGGTATTATACCAAAAAGTAAAAACCAAGATGAGTTTGCTTTTAAGAACTCAGTGCTGAGTGCCTCCTTTAGTCGAAACTTTCAGTCTTCAGCACCGGGAGTGGGGTTGGGGGGTTGGTAAAATTGAAAGAACTTGATCCTAATTCTGTTAGGAAGTTGGAGTACAGCCAAGAGGGCAAGTAGTTACTCGCCAGCACACAGACCAGTCCTGCTGCTCTCTTGCTACCTGGCCCTGATGCCAAATAGGACATTTGAGACCTTGAGGACTTCACCCCAGGGGAACAGCCTTGTTGCCTCTGTTCTAAGAGAAGGCTGCTCTTTCAGGCTTGGATTTCTGTCATCGCTTTTTCTTTTTTTTTTCAATTCCATTGATCCACCTGATTTTTTTTTTTTTTTTTTTCAATACAGTTCATTTCTATATATCAGTCACGGATTCCCTTGTTCCCACCCCCCTCACCTTCCCCCCAGCCTACCCCCTATTCCCATCTCCTCCAGGGCAAAGCCTTCCCCACAGATTGAGATCAACCTGGTAGACTCAGTCCAGGCAGGTCCAGTCCCCTCCTCCCAGGCCAAGCCAAGCGACCCTGCACAGGCCCCGGGTTTCAAACAGCCAACTCATGCAATGAGCACAGGATCTGGTCCCACTGCCTGGATGCCTCCCAAACAGATCAAGCCAATCAACTGTCTCACCCATTCAGAGGGCCTGATCCAGTTGGGGACCCCTCAGCCATTGGTTCATAGTTCATGTATTTCCATTCCTTTGGCTATTTGTCCCTGTGCTTTATCCAACCTTGGTCTCAACAATTCTCGCTCATATAAACCCTCCTCTTTCTCGCTAATTGGACTCCCAGAGCTCCACCCGGGGCCTAGCCATGGATCTCTGCATCCAGATCTCTTACATCTATTAGGTCAGAGGAAGTTCTGGGCAGTGCTTTCCCAACTCTGAACCTGTAGAAAAGTCTTACCTTGAGAAATTTCCTCCTTCAGTTTTCTTTTTAATATTTTTTTGTGAGTTCAGTTCTGAGCTGTTAGCCAGACAGATCCTCAGCATATTCTGCAACAAGAGAAAAGCATTATGTCACCCCTGACTAGTGCACAGTGATCCCAGCCACACTTGCCTATCAAGCACTTGAAAAACAACTACTGTAACCAACGGACTGGTTTTTCTTGTGTTTTATTTCCATGTTTTCATTAGTTCTTAGAGAATTTCATACAGTGTGTTTTGATTATTTTTACCATCACCTGCCACTCCTCCCAGATCTACGAGGAAACTGTTTTCTGGACACAGCAGGGCAGGTGCACATATGAACTCTCAGTGGTTGTAACAGCATGTATAAGACCAGCTCAAAAATCCCAGCGTGGAGAAAGGAGGTGGGCACAAGGTTCCAAACCTTAGCTGAGGAGTTATTAGCAATGAACTGATTTTAAAACTGTACTTATATTAACATAAACTGCCTCATGTAGATGATGCAGGTAGTCACATAGCTCTGGTTAGAGCAGTAGAGGTACCTCTTGGGTTAACTATAACCCTGTAGTTAAAATTCTTCCTTCTGGCCAGGCGGTGGTGGCGCACGCCTTTAATCCCAGCACTCGGGAGGCAGAGCCAGGCGGATCTCTGTGAGTTCGAGGCCAGCCTGGACTACCAAGTGAGTTCCAGGAAAGGCGCAAAGCTACACAGAGAAACCCTGTCTCGAAAAACCAAAAAAAAAAAAAAATTCTTCCTTCTGAAAAAGCCATTTATTCACAATTTATTTTATTTTATTTATTTATTTTTTTTTTTTTTTTGTTTTTCAAGACAGGGTTTCTCTGTGTAGTTTTGGTGCCTGTCCTAGATCTTGCACTGTAGACCAGGCTGGCCTCGAACTCACAGAGATACACCTGCCTCTGCCTTCCAAGTGCTGGCATTTAAAGTGTGCACCACTGCCACCTCGCTCACAAATTTTTTTTAAAGAAATTTTTTTCTTTACTTTTTATTTTTATACATACTTTTTGAGACAGGCTTTCACTATATAAACCAGGCTGGCTTTGAACTCACAGAAATCTGCTTGCTTCTGTTTAGCAAGTTTTGGGGCTAAAGGCTAACCAATTATTTTTTAATTGATTTTAATTTCAATTGGATCAAAAAACTGGATCAGAAACACATATACTAGGAGTCAAATGTGGTTATAACTCCCAGGGATAGCAGCATGAGTATGGCAGTCAAGGCTCTGGTCCTCACAGAATTTACAATCTAATACCATGAGCCGACTAGAGCCATGAGCTTATCCAGCCTGCTGCCCATTTTAACAACTTTGTGAACTAACAATAGCTTTCACATTTTTAAATAGTTGGGGAAGAAAAGTGGAACAATACTTGGTAACACATGAAAATTGCATGAAATTCAAGTTTTAGTGTTCAGTGATAAGGTGTTTGGAAGTATCTGACCATGTTTATTTATTTATGTATTACCAACATCTGTGGCAGAGTCAAGTATCATAACACAGACAATATGGTCCATAAAGCCCAACATTTACCAACCCTTGTTTTATCGAAAAGCAGTAGGCTAGGTGCCATGAGGAATATTTGCATTGTTGAATTCAATCTTTGTTAAACATACTTCTCTGTCAGAGGTTCTATCATTCTCTTTACTAATAAAATGTAAACTGAGATTCATAGTGGTTCATTATTCAAATAGAGTCACAATTACTGAGTGGTAAATAGAACTATTCCATGATTGTATGACTCAATAGGCAATGGACTTAGCCAACACCCTAAAGACCATTGTTTCTCTCACCTGAGCGTATAAACTTGTTGTCTGGAAAATCTTGTTAAAAGATTGAGATCCACTAATTCAACAGTTCTTTAGTGGGACCCCAAGACTATGCATTTCTGACAAGCTTCCAAGTGGTGTTGACGGTTCATAGATCCCAGGCTCTGAATGAGTGACACTCAACTTGGGTCATGCATTACAACTCTAAGGAAATTTTTTAAAGCAGCATAGGCCCACTCCACCAAATGCTTATTGGTCATTGATCCAGGCCTTCAAGTTTTTATAAAAAGCTTTCCTAGTGATTTAATGCATAGATAAGATATCAAGTCACTGCTTTGCTGGAATCCTGTTGGCCCAAAGTAAAACCATTACAATGAGAATCCAAAGACCCAAGTTTGAGCCCTGACACAATAGGATAAAGGCTGATGCTTCCTCTGTTTGAGGTTCATTTTCTTTGAAGGTGAAAAACAAGGAGACCCAAGCTGGATGACCTCTTGGAAGGTTCAGACAAAGAGGTAAGACATGAGGGGTGCCTGGGTTTCAAATGTATCCAGTGCATTAGCATGATGCCCAACCACCAGGTCCATGGAGGTTAAAGCTTAGCCGATATCTGCTATCTTGTCCTGTTTGGACACTTTATCATTACAGAAACAATTCCACATAGCCAGGCTGCCCTATCACACAGCTAGAATCACAGTCAAAATTACACTTTAATGATTATGAGAGTAGTATCTGTTTTATTGCAGGAAAATTATGGGAATTATAAGAAGGAGAAACTCAGTCACAATCCCTGGAACACTAAAATTGTATTTTTAATAGCCTCCGCCAAGTAAATGACATTGTGATCAAATGACTTCCCACAGAAGCAAGGGCGAGTAGGTGGCTGGGAAGAACCTCCCAACAGAAGCCCTGTTATTATATCTCCAAGCCTGGACTCGATGGTAGTGTGGGCTTCTATTGGGAGCATGGGAACTGCAGCCTGTAAACCAGACAGACCCTAAACATAGACAGTGCTTTCAGGCCAAGCTGGTACTAGACTATTTTTAGTTTCCTCATCTGTAGATAATCTGTGGTGTTTTGATGTGACTTTTGATATGACATTAGAGTATAAGCCTCTGTATAGTCACAAAAAGTTAAGAAATGCACGTAGAAAACAATAGTGTGTGGTAATCAGGAGAATGGACTGGGCCCAGACAGTTATGGACTTGAATCCAGCCCATGGCTCTTACTATTTTCTCTATCTGTAGACATGGATAATAACTACATACTTTGCAGGGTTTCTCTAAGGATTTAATGACAAAGAATACATAAAGCATCAAAGCACAATGTTTGGCACATAGAGATGCCCAGAAAATGATGGTGAGTGGGTAAAAATGAATAATTATGATAAAACTTAGGTGCTTTGGGGGTTTTACTACTCTGCAAACAAAACTAAATGCATGTCATTTTTGCTTGTTTTTTAGCTGGATTAGTCTGCATGGAAATCCCAAGTGCTAAAACATCCACCAACACTGATGCTAGTTAGCACTTGTCACCATGGCGATGCTACTTCATGCTAAGTGTTTTCAGCGTCTAGCAATTACTGGTTCTGTGAGAGTCTTGTATAAAGAGTATAGAACAGCAACCCCTCAGAACTTTTCTAACTATGAGTCCATGAAGCAGGACTTCAAAATAGAGATTCCAGAGTATTTCAATTTTGCAAAAGATGTCCTGGACCAATGGAGCAGTGTGGAAAAGGTACAGAGCAAATGCCAGTCAGACTATCAGTGCAAGTGATCACAGCCCCAGGGGTGGTTAGCAATGACTGTAGCGAGTTCTGCTGCAATGAAGGGGTGATCAGTGGAAGTCAGTAGTTGCTACTGACATCTAAGGATAGCGGGGCACTTCTGAAGTGAGGAACAGCCCCAGGACAAGAACTTACCAGGCCTACAAGGCCATCATGGCTGCTTGAGAAAGCCTATGTTATATTAATGGACCCTTTTTAGTTTTTTTCTCCCAGTTTTAAACAAAGAGGAGTAAAAAGTGATTTCAAGAGTCAAAATGGAAAGAAACAAAGTATAGCTACATCCCTGGGGGGATGACGGGATGTAAAAATTCTAACTTTTGAGAAAAAAAAATAATCATGATAAATGAGAAAGGACTAGTCCCAAAAAAACCTGACATGGCTTCCAGCATGTAGAAATAAGAACCTTTGAGTGATTTGTACTTACTCCATGTACATCCTAATAAATAATTTGTGAGTTTCTGAAGAGAATATGTTTCATTAAGTCAGCTGAAATATAATTTAACTGTATAGCAGCCTCTAAATCCATGATTGCTGTGCTTTCCTCAGGCTGGAAAGAGACTTTCCAACCCAGCCTTCTGGTGGATAGATGGAAATGGAGGAGAAGTGAGGTGGAGTTTTGAAGAACTTGGATCTTTATCCAGGAAACTTGCCAACATACTCACAGAAGCCTGTTCCTTGCAAAGGGGAGACAGAGTAATGGTGCTTCTGCCCAAGATCCCAGAGTGGTGGCTTGCAAATGTGGCCTGTCTGCGAACAGGTTGGTGATATTCACACTCCTGATCCCATATCCACACATTTAAGTAACCATGAGACATTTATCTGGGTACAGTTCGCTGTTTGGCAGCATTTCATAACTCTGCTCCAAGGGTCATACATAGGTGCATCTTAGAAGGCTACAGCCATTTCCTCAACATTCCTTTAATCTCTCCACCATTAGACTTCATGACCCTATTGTGGTTAATGTTTTTTGTTAACATTTGTGGTCATTCCCATCTCCTGACTTTTCTGCATACTGTTTGCTATGCTTGGAATATCTTTCCCTCAAAACTAAGTCCATAGTCAACTCTTATTTCACTTTCAAGTGTCAGGTGTCAAGATTTTTGGTTTTGGTTTTTGTTTGTTTTTAAAGATGTAATTACTTAATGTGTATGAGTGATTTCCCTGCATGTGTGTCTGTGTGTTATGTGCATGCCTGGTGCCTTCAGAGGTCAGAAGAGGATGTCATCAGATCCCTGGATGATGTGAACCACCATATGGGTGCTGGGAATAGAACCTGGGTCTTCTGCAAGAGCAGCCAGTGCTCCTAACCTCTGGGCCATCTCTCTAGCTCTCTCACTTTTCAGTTTAATGTTATCTTCTCAGACAACCGTACCCTGATGTCTCAACCTGGATGGTATCTTCTTTAGGCATCTGTTATAGTTACTGTTCTATTGCTGGAAGAGACACTATGACCAAGGCAATTTATGAAAGAAAAGCATTTAATTGGTGGCTTGCTTACAGCTCTAGAGGCTAGTCCATTTCCATTATGGTGGGAAACAGGCATGGTGCTGGAGCAGTAGCTGGGAGCTGACATCTGATCCACAGCAGGAAGCAGAGAGAAGAGGCAAGACTGGGCCTGGCATGTTTGAAACCTCAGATCACACTCCCACTGAAATACTGCCTGCAACAAGGCCACACTCCTCTAACAAGGCCACACCTCCTGATCCTTCCTGGATAGTCCACCAACTGGGAAGCAAATATTCATTGGTCTATGGGGGCCATTCTCATTCAAACCACCACAGCACCCTAGAGTAATATATATGACTATTTAAACTTTTGGGGCATAGTATTTGTCTACATGTAACCTGCAGTTCCCATGGGTTAGGTATGCCCCTAAAAGGCCATTAACATAGCATATCTAGAACCTTCAGTGATTAGCATATAGTAAATGTTCAGTAAAATATTTGTTGAATTAATGTTCTGATTGTGGTAATATATCACTATATCAAGTGGCCACTCTTTTATTAGAGGATAGCTAGTATATTCACTTCATATACACATATGAATTATACATTGGAAAAGCAGAGCCTATTTTCAAACAGTATTTTACAAAATGAGTGCACTCATGAACACTGCTTAAGCTCAATTTCTTAGTAGAGCACTGTTTAACTGGCAGGATCAGGTATACATTCATACTAAGACAATAAAGGAAGGCAATTGAATGGCTGCTGGAGAATCTTAGCGAGGGAAAACAGTACAGAAGGAGCAAGGGGGTTTTGTAGGCAGACTCTAGCCAGGAGCCTCTTCCTCTGTTTGTCCTGTAGCCTCTGCACCTCTTGTCTGTCTGCATCTTTCCTGTGCTGCCTCTTCACTCCTCTTGGCTAACATTCCTCTCCAATTGGGCTGTGTGCAGCTTTGATTGCTATTCAGATGCTTCAGGCTCCGGATCCTGTGTGACCCATCTGGTAATCCACTCAGCATCTTAAGTGTTTAGGCAAAATCTGATTGGTACAACTTTAGGATAAGCCAGTTAGAATAGGTCAGAGGCAACTTTTCCTGATTCTAACGTGATTCCTGGGGCTCTCCATAGGAAGGAAGGTAAATTATCTTAGATGGATTTGAGGGAGAGAATGAATCATAAATCCAATAGTCTTAAGAATGTTAGTGTTAGTGGCACATAGTCATTTGTTTTCCTGGTCATTTTTCCCATAGAGGCTGGGGAAATGACCCAGGCCTGAAGAGTGCTTTGCTGCTTAGCTGTGAGGACCTGAGCTTTGGATCCCAGTACCTAGCTCAGGCATTTCACAAATACCTGGAACTCTAACTTCAAATGATGTAATGAATGCCCTCTTCTGGCCTCTGCAGGCATCTGAACATATATGTACGTATACTCATAAAGACACGGACACGTGCACATATGCACACATGCACACATGCACACATGCACATTAAAAGAAACCCTCAAAGCCAAGCATGGTGGTGTACATCGTTAATCCCAGCACTCAGGAGGCAGAGGTGGGTGGATCTCTGTGAGTTCAAGGCCGGCCTGGTCTACAAAGAGAGTTCCAGGACAGCCAAGGCTGTTATACGGAGAAATCATGTCTCAAAAAACCACACACACACACACACACACACACACACACACACACACACACACACACAGAGCTAGTTGTAAATGGATTTTTCTTTGGGCCGCCAACTCACAAATAATGACATGGAGACTTATTACTATTTATAAAAGGTCAGCCTAAGCTTAGACTTGTTTCTAACTGGCTTTTAAAACTTAAATTAACCCATATTTTTTAATTTATGTTCTTCCATGTGCTCGTTACATCATCTCCATTATGCCCATCCTGGTTATTCCACATCTTGTGCCTGGTGACTTTTCCTTTCTTCTTTCCAGAGCTCTCTGTCCTCAGAAGTCCCACCTAATCTCTTCCTGCCTAGCTAATGGCCATTCAGCTCTTTATTAAACCAATCATAGTGACACATCTTCACATAGTGTAAAGGAATATTCCACAACAGCTAGTTGAAAATTGAAGTCTTAACTCAATAGGACTTGTATATTGCTTAGGATTCTATACATAGATGATAACAAGATAAAGAAGGCAAAGATATGGTTAATACATCAGTCTGGATAAGGCCTGTGACTATGGGACAGAGAGAAGGACGGGGAGTAGGAAACTTCAACATATTGTTAAATTCCGTTTCTTACAAAGAGTGCCATATATTGCTTATTTGTTAGTTGGAAACAGAAGGTGTCCATATATTTTTTCTATTTTCACTTTCATATGTGGTATGCTTTGCAAATTTAGAGAAATGTAATCATAAGGCGACTTTAAAGGAATTTTTGCTTCCACTGTTTGTTTGTATGGGTTTTTGTGTGTGTGTGTGTGTGGTGTGCATTCGTGTATAGGTGCCATGTGCCATGTGGAAGTCACACAGCTTTCAAGAGTCTGTTCTTTCCTTCTACCATGGGATGTGGGGATTAAACTCAGGTTGGCATGCTTGAATGGCAAGCACTTTTACCCAATGAACCATCTCTCTGGCCCATAAGGAATTTTAAAGCATTTAAGAACTATTAGACAGCAGAGTAGTCCAATGAATTTTAATGTGCTTTCAGAACAAGGACAGTACTTGGCAATGAAGAAGAGCAATGCTCACCTACAGTTCTAAAAGTGTGACGTTGGCCCAGTGGCATAGGTATCCCCAGGAATTTGTCAGAAACAAATTTTGAACACCTTCTGAACGTAAAATTCTGGGATGCAGCCTAGAAATCCATGTTTTCACATAGATTTCAGGGATTCTGATTTACATATCACTTGGGAAGGGTAAAAAACATCCAGAGGTAAATGCCATCTACCATCTCTTGAAGATTGGGGGCTAAAAATGGTGTAGTCCAGAAGACAGCTGTATGACAAATACATAAGTAGGTCCGTAAGCAGATAGATGACAGATTCCTTTTTTAAGGATTTATATTTGTGTGTGTGTGTGTGTGCATGCATGTGCACAAGGGCTGGAGTTACACGAGCCCTGTGAGATGCCTGATGTGGGTGCTAGGAACTAACTCGGGTCCTCTGCAAGAGCAATGGGTGCTCTTTATCACTGAGCAATCTTTCCAGCTCAGGCGATAGATTCTTTTATTTTCAAATTAATTATTTTTTATTTTTAATTGGTTTTTTAATATATTGTATTAGTCAGGGTTCTCTAGAGAAACGTAACTGTTAGGATGGATACAAATGTTCATATATATTCATATACATGGGATTTACTAGAGTGGTTTACAGGTCTGACTAATGCAACAATAGCTGTCTCTCAATAGAAAGTCCAAGAATTCAGTAGTTGTTCAGCCCACAAGGCTGAGTGTCTCAGCTGGTCGTCAGTATACATCAAAATCCTGAAGAAGTAGGCTCTAATGCCAGTGAAGGAATGGACTTGCCAGCAAGAGTGAGGGCAAGCAGGAAAAAAGCGAGCTTTCTTCTTCCATGTCCTTTATATAGGCTGCCACCGCAAGGTGTGACCCAGATTAAGGGTGGATCTTCCCATCTCAAAAGATCCATATTTGGGGTGAGTCTTCCTATTTCAAATGATTTAATAAGAAAAAAAATCCCTCACAGGTGTACCCAGCCACTTGGGTTTTAGTTAATTCTGGATGTAGTCAAGTTGACAACCAAGAATAGTCATTACATACATTTTAATTAAAACGTAATTACATTACTTCTCCTCTTTCCTTTCCCCCCTCCAGCCCCTTCCATATCCCCTCCCTCCAATGCTTCCCACACCCCTCCCTGACTCTCAAACTGATGGCCTCTTTAGTGTTACATATATGTATAGATAGATGCACAACCGTATAATGCAGCCTGCTGAGTCCTTTGTTTTTGTCTGTGACTATACGGTTTCAGAGCTGACCACTTTGTATTGGATAACAATTTGGGTGTTCATTCCTGGGAGGGCTAATTCTCCCACTCCTAGCAGTCATTAGTTGCCTGTAGCTCTTTGTCTAGGGGTGGGAGTTGATGAGACTTCCCCCCTTCCAGATTAGCAAGTCTATTCAGGCAAAATATCCATTCATTCTTTAAAAAAAAAAGCTAAGAGTTCAGATGTATTAAATTTTATTCTAAACTCATTACATGCTTTAACTCATTTAATCCTGGAATAATCCTATAAGGGATGTACTTTTATAATCCCAATTTTACAGATGCAGAAACTGAGGCTTACAGAGGTGAAGGGCTTATTGGAGGATGAAGTTTAGGGGTGTCTGGCTCCTGGACACCTACACACTACACTTTACATTGTAATTGACTACAGGCAAGAGGAGGCCACAGAAAATATGCATACCTCAAGAAAACTAAAACAATCAGTGCATTGTAAGAGGCACTGGACTGGAGTGGTTACATGTACAGCTCTGGAGTCCAGCTGCAGATTTGGATTCCTGTAATTTCACTTGTTATTCATAAGCTATGAGACTTGCTATGAATAGCTGTTTACACTGGAGATGCTTGGGCAGGGATTGAATGAGTTAAATATACAAAATAGAATAATACCCAGCACTCGAGCCCAACAACCAATACTGAATATCATTTTTCAATTAAAATTCCTTCAATCTCAATGTTATGGGTGATCTTCAAACACAAGAAAATCACTCAACATTTAATGCTCTCTTGTTAGGGCAAAAAGGTCATAGACTTGGAGACCTCTTCAAAGGCAAAAATCAGAACAATGAAAGACAAATAGATATCTTCCCTAGTTAATTCACTAACTCATTCTGAGACACATAGAACGTGAATGTTCTAGCTACGGTATCCTAACTATTATAATAGAGGTTAACCTTGCTTTTAAACATTATTCCTTTTCTATTCCTTTAGGGACGGTTTTAATCCCAGGAACCACTCAGCTGACCCAGAAAGACATCCTCTACAGACTACAGTCTTCAAAAGCCAAGTGCATTATTACTGATGATGCTTTAGCCCCAGCAGTAGATACTGTGGCAGCTAAATGTGAAAATCTCAGCTCCAAACTAATTGTGTCTCAGCACTCCAGAGAAGGGTGGGGGAACCTCAAGGAGATGATGAAGTGAGTAGCTTCAATTTTAGACCAGTGCCCTACAAAGAAAGGCAATAATGAAAAAAGTATCCAATTCAGTAGATGTGAGGTAAATGCACATGAAAACAATAATTAACAAGAATAATCAGTGATCATCACAGAACTAACAGTGCCAAGCTTTAAAGTAAGAAGGAGTCTGGTTGACATTTTTAAAAAGCATTCCCTGAGATGGAGAATGGTGTACAAGAGGTTTATTAGGGAGTTCTCTTGTGAAACAAGGGAAGGGTGTAGGATTGAGCAGAGGAAGAAATTAATTTTCTATGTATTCCCTATGAAGCTCTCAGCTAACACACTGGGAATCCTGGCCTTGAATGGATTCTTAGGGATGTGAAAATCTACAGTAGGTGACCTTGCTCCTACACACCCACAGTGATCATCAGTTTGGGATGGGGGCTGTCCCCAGCAGACTTATGATTGTGAAGGCAGCCACTCACATCAGACAAGTAAGACGATAGAGACAGAGTTAGCTTTATCTCAGGACTGAATCCAAGTTATTGATTCATAAGCTGAAGAGGCCCAGGCACATGGGTTTTCAAATCCTCCTCAGAGGTTACAGTCAGGCATAGAAACACTGTAGATTGTCTTTTGCAGATATGCCAGTGACAACCATACCTGTGTGAACACGAAGCACAATGAGATGATGTCCATTTACTTCACCAGTGGGACAACTGGGCCTCCTAAGATGATCGGACACACCCACAGCAGTTTTGGTTTAGGATTATCTGTCAATGGAAGGTACTTACACAGAGTGATTTGTGGACTGGCCCTTTAAATTTGTTTTCCAACAAATTATACATTTTTGTAAATTTATACATTTAAATTTCTACATAGATTTATGTGCATGCAATTCCTATCAGTTTAACAAATTTATACAACAAGGCTATTTGTATTCCAGGTTCTGGCTGGATTTGACAGACTCGGACGTGATGTGGAATACTTCAGACACAGGCTGGGCAAAGTCTGCATGGAGTAGTGTTTTTTCTCCATGGAACCAAGGAGCATGTGTGTTTGTACACTATTTGCCCCGTTTTGAGTCAGCTTCCATCTTTCAAGTAAGGCAGACTAGAGGAGGTTTATGGTTAGAGATGTGTTAGCATTAGTGGTGTCACTGATGGGACGGGTAACTAAAGTAAATGCAGAGCTCTACATCTGCAGAATCTGCAAAGACAGGAAAAGATTGGAATACTTTAACATGAAAAGAAACAGTTTCACATTGTGCTGTGCCTCCAGCTGACTGAAATAGTTCAGTTGAGACACTCTGCTCTTTCTGAACTGCAGACCCTCTCTGAGTTCCCCATCACCGTCTTCTGTTCTGCGCCAACTGCCTATCGGATGCTCGTACAGAATGGTACAACCAGGTAAGACATGTTGGTAAACGGATGCTCAGTCAGGGGAAAGAGGAGGAAGGGAAGCTAGGAAATGAAACACTTGTCTGTCCAAACCACAGATCCGACTAGTCGGTATAGGATTTAACGGTTTTTTTTTCTTCTCTTCCTTCTTTGCTTTATTGCTGACATTTTAAAGATGGTTGCTGTGACCAAAGCAGGCTCCCATTAACATGGAGAGGAAAGGGAAGATTAGACCATGTCTAGAGCTCTAAATGCAGTGGTTATGATAAAAAAAGGGGGAGGGTATTTAATCTTTGGGGTGACAGCTATTACCTGAGCTGAGATAGTAGACAGGTTGCTTCTTTTTGCAAATTCTCCCAGAAAACAGAAATGAGAATGTATGCTGTAAATCTACTGTGATTCCATTTGAAATGCTTGGTTGTTGCTCTGAAAAGAAGACACTGTCACTGTGCTCACAGCTCAGCACTTCTGGTCTCCTGTGTTGATACAAAGCACAGCTCTTGCTCCAAAGAGAGTAAGACATAGTTTGTTCTGAGCCAAATACTACTGACTATGGGTCAGGGACATAGATTCTGATGACCTTGAATGACATGTTTCACTGTGGAAGCAATTACATGAACTTTCATAGTCACAGAACAAAAGGAAGACATGAATCAATGCCTTTGCCCAATACATTGGTGACGGCATCAGGTTGGCAGCCTACAGGGGAGCTGGAAGGGGACCTCTTCTGTAGGTTTCTGATGTTATAATAGTCTCAGTTTTAGAGTTTGTGTAAACCAGTGGTCCTCTAAGTTTAACAATATTTTAAAAATTTTACCTAATAAAATGAGGATAAGATTAGGTACACAGATTGGTAATAAATGATTATAGAGTGCCAAGAATAATTTTGGCCCTCTATCTCATCACAGTCATGAAGTGCTGCCCCTCAGCCTGTGAGATCTTCATAGAGAACTTCAGTTCACAATTGTGAGGTGCTTTTTAATTGATGATTTAAAATAACATTATAGAGCTGGGTGTAGTGGTACACTTAATCCCAGCACTTGGGAGGGAGAAGCCAAGTTCGAAGCCAGAATAGTGTACATAGCAAGTTCCAGGGTTACATGTCACAAGTGTGTGTGTGTGTGTGTGTGTGTGTGTGTGTGTGTGTGTGTGTGTGTGCATAAGTGTATGTTTGTGTGTGTAACTATGAGGGTACCTTCCCTAAAGATGCCATGGTATTTCTTTGCAACAAGTAATCCTCCCAGAGAGAAAGAGAGAGAGAGAGAGAGAGAGAGAGAGAGAGAGAGAGAGAGAGAGAGAGAGAGAGAGAGAGAGAATAAAAGAACCTGGCATTAGATCAATCTGTTTCTGGTATCAGGGTGCTACTTTATATTAGAGCAATCTGCTTATTTTGTATTAACAACAGTCCTAATTCCCATGTCTCACCATTTTTCCTTCTCAACCAAACTCACTCCATGTTGTTGGAGAAGCTATAAGTTCAAAAGTCTGAAGCACTGTGTGAGTGCTGGGGAACCGATCAACCCTGAAGTGATGGAACAATGGAGAAGGAAGACAGGCCTAGACATCTACGAAGGATATGGGCAGACAGAAACGGTACCTGCCCCGCTGAAGACAGGGCTGAATGGGATTAATCAGATAAATAAAAGCCAAAGTGTCTAATGTGTCCTTATGATTGCTGGAGGGATAAGAAAAGGTGTGGTTAGTAAACATTTTTTTTAAATAAAGAAAAGCTTGAGAAAAACTAATTGCAAAAAAAACCCAAAAACCTCAATCACATTTTTGAGAAAAATGATTAACTAGTCGGGGTGAGAATGTCACAATATTTTTAATGAGAAAAGTATTGGCCCTATGTGACAGAGAACCCTCTAAAGATTCAAAAATAGAAAGCTATGAGTGAGTTTCTGGTTCCCCAAGTATTGAGTCTGCTGGGAGAGTCCTTAGAAAGCAGATGCTAAAGCATTCCTGTGACCCTAGTACTCTAAAGGTAGAGGGAGGAAGATCAAGTTCAAGGTCATTCTCAGCTACATACTGAGTTCAAAACCAGCCTGGGATATGTGAACAAGCAAATACATAAAAGATAAGATAAAATAAAATGGACCCTTTAAAGAACTCATGCAGATAAAAACAATTATGGGGGAGTGTATCTTAGTGGTTGAGCACTTACCTAGCATATGAGAGACCTCAGTTCAATCCTCAGCACCACCAAAGAGCACTAGAGAGAACTAATAAAGTAAGAACAACCTGCTTATTTTGTAATAGAAAGGGTGATAAGACCAGCAGAGAAATAGAAAAGTTGACATTTCCATTGGGTGTGACTTATTTATAGTGTTTGAACTTCTAAACCCTGAGAATTATTACCTAGAAATGTTGAAATTCCAAAACTAAACAGCAATAAACATTGACAAATTATTTAAACACAACTAGCATATCATTCATTATATTAATCTAAGTACAAATGTTAATATAATCATATAATTTATTTTCTTACATCTTATTGTGCATAGTTGTAAGCTGTCAATATCTATATTCCATGAGAGCAGAGATTTTATGGGTTTAATGTTGACCCTGCTTCACAACTAAGTTCTGTTGAATAAATGCATGATAGATGAAGTAGTATTTTACATTACATATGGGGTTAACTTACTTTCTTCTCCTTAACCAGGTGCTAATCTGCGGAAATTTCAAAGGGATGAAAATTAAGCCTGGCTCAATGGGAAAGCCTTCTCCTGCTTTTGATGTGAAGGTTTGCATGTCCCCTTCCCAGAGAATGTTTCCTCACTACATCCACCCACACTCTTTTTGATGTGATAATTCCATGCTACTTCTATACCTTAAATTCTATACCAAAAGAGAACTGGGTGAGAAATGTTGGCTTAATACTGTCTTATTGTTGTTGCAAATACCTATATTGTACCATGAATTCTGGGCATTTAATTTCCAGAAATATCCTGAAGCTATACTAATAATAGGACCATTTGCAGGTGAGTATGTAGATAAATTAAAGAACTCACTCACGCAGCCAGAGCTCCAGATGGGAACACAATCTCAAGCAGTCTGGCTCCAGCATGCATACTCTTGGCCACAGTATGCAGTGAGGGAGGATTGGACCTTCTGAAAGTATCAACCAGGCCCAAAGTGGCACAAGTTCATAGAGATTGCAGCACACACTTCTCTGTCTGCCCATCTGTTTCCAAGCTTTCCTTAGCTACAGCCCTTATTACCATCTGATGCCTGGCTTTGGAAAGCATTTTATTTCCCCATCTGTATACTTTGCACAGAGATAAAGTTTTCTCAGGTCAACCCAGCTTCAAAGCTGGGTGTAGACAAAGGATTTGCAATAATATTCATATTTAAAAAAGGAAAAAAGCAACAGTGTCAAAAAGGCAAAAATGGATCAATTTCCAAAGGACAGGGCTCAGACTTATACTTGATTGAAGTTTAGTTGTAGGTAGGATCAATATTTCTCAAGTTCATCATGCAAATCACAAGGTTACTTGTTTGAAATATTCACTCTCATTTCTCTTCTCTGGAACATCTGACTTAATAGTGTGACACAGAACTCTGGAATCCATGCTTAACAAAGACATATTGCCAAATGATAAAAGCAGGTTGTAAAACTTCCTAAGCGATGTTCGAATGTTAAATGTTCTTATACTAAAAAACTCAGAACCAGATATCAAGTGAAAGCTGAAAGATCAGAGAAGCAGAACAAGCCACAGCCAACCTCACTGTGCCAACTCCTTAGCTGATCCTGTTTCCTTAGAATGAAAGCCTCTGAGTCCTCACCGGAAAGGGTCTCAGCTGAAATGATTTAGTTCCTGTTTTCTCATGCCTTATATACCTTTCTCCACTCTGCCATCACTTCCTGGGATTAAAGGTGTGTGTGCTTCCCAGTACTGGGATTAAAGGTGTGTGCCACCACTGCCTGGCTCTGTTTCCAGTGTGGCCTTGAACCCACAGAGATCCAGACGGATCTCTGCCTCCCAAGTGATAGGATTAAGGGTGTGTGTCACCACTGTCTGGCCTTTCTGTCTAATCTAGTGGTTGGCTCTGTCCTCTGATCCTCAGGCAAGCTTTATTAGGGTACACAATATATCACCATAAAGCAATGCCAGTTTTTTCTGTCTATAATTGTCCCAAAGGACATTACCAAAACATTACTAGGTGGTAGAAGTGAGGAAATGTTTTACTATCCTTTCACATTTTGCTTTTGCATTTTTTGTAATATTTTACACATTGATAACTTAGGTAAATAATATATTTAAGAATTCAATGTAGGGCCGGGCGGTGGTGGCGCACGCCTTTAATCCCAGCACTCGGGAGGCAGAGCCAGGCGGATCTCTGTGAGTTCGAGGCCAGCCTGGTCTCCAAAGAGAGTTCCAGGAAAGGCGCAAAGCTACACAGAGAAACCCTGTCTCGAAAAAAACCAAAAAAAAAAAAAAAAAAAAAAAAAAAAAAAGAATTCAATGTATACTTAAAATGTTTTTAAGTATATATTCCGGCCAAAATGATTCAAAGGTAAAATTTCAGATGTGGTATTAAATTAAAATTCCCTTAAATAAACTGTCCTGTTTTATTCTAGATTTTAGATGAAAATGGCACTATTCTTCCTCCTGGACAAGAAGGGGATATTGGTATTCAAGTTCTTCCTGATCGACCATTTGGCCTTTTTACTCATTATATAGTAAGAACTTTATTTTAAAAATCTGTTATCTATTTATTCTTCAAAAGTGTAATTTCAGCATTTGGGATACAGAAGCAAGAAGGCCACAAATTCAAAATCATCCTCAGTTACTACAAAGCAAGTTTGAGGCCAGTCTAGAATACATGAGACCTATACCAAAACCAAACAAAGTATTTGGGAACATTCTTATTTTTACAAAACAAGCCTAGGAACTTTGTCTTTCCTTGAGAGGTTCATTGCCCTAAATAATAAGCCCACATACAGGCAATTAAGAAAATAATGTTCTTGCCAAATAACATATTGGTGCCCTCTTCTTGGAAGGGAACCATAAAAGGGGCCTCTTATCTATGCTTTCTCAACCTTTGTAGATCCCTTTCAACTAGCAAACAGGACATACTTACTTTCCTGACATCTGATTAGCTCTCTATCCACTCCAGTGGAACTAGAGAAACAAGGAACGGGGCCATGGAATTAAGTAAATTAATTTCGCTAGAAGCTTTCTTATCTCTAATCATGGTATACAAATTAGAGCAAAGTTTATATCAATATACTAAGAGGTCCAGATCATTCATACCTGCCAGTGAACTTTATGGAAGGCAGCAATTTTTTGTTTTCTTCTTATGCCAGTTATGGAACTGGTCTCTTATATAAAACAAACCAATGCAAATACCACATCCCTCTGAATTAAGCATTGTGCTTTCTTTTAACCCTTCTCTTTTTTCCTGCCAGTGTTAGATGTTATTTAGAAAAAGGCTTAATTTTGCCTACTCTCCAGAGCTTCAGGCTGCTGCAACATTTATCTTATGATCTACATAAAACATTCTCCAGGAGTTGCACCAAGTCTTTGGAACTGTAATTTATTTCTTTTATGCTGGGTTAGATCCTTGCTGGCAATTCATTCCTACTTCACTCTGGCTCCTCTTCATTCTGAGGCTTCTCAAAGGAGCCAAGCTCTCTTTTTCTTTGAACATTTAAAAATGACAGAACAAAAGAGTCACATTCATAATAATATTAACAAAACACTATTTGTTTTGCAGGATAATCCTTCAAAAACAGCCTCAACTCTACGAGGGAATTTCTACCTCACTGGGGACAGAGGATATGTGGATAAAGATGGCTACTTCTGGTTTGTTGCAAGATCAGATGATGTTATACTATCCTCTGGGTAATTTATTTACCTTTCCATGTGTGCATGTCTGTTCATCAAGCATTCTGGTTTGAATCTATAACTCACCCTTATGAGTCCCTGTCATATGTTTCCCTAGCTACCGAATTGGACCATTTGAGGTAGAAAGTGCTCTACAAGAGCATCCTTCCATTGCAGAGTCAGCTGTTGTCAGCAGCCCAGATCCCATCAGAGGAGAGGTAAAAGAACTGATTCATCTCGACTTTCAATTGTGTTGATCATCCAAACATATACTTCGTTTATGTGTGTGGCTTTGTGTGTGCTATAAGCATATATGTGGGTGTGATTTTCCTGTGTAGGCACATGTGGATATTGAGATACCTGCCTCAGTCACTTCTTCACCCTAGTTTTTTGAGACAAGGTCTCTCCCTGAAACTGAAGCTCACTGTTTAGGCTGGGCTGGTTGGTGGGCCAGTAAGCCCCTGCCCACTACCAATCTCCTCCAAGCAGTGCTGGGGTGGCAGATCTGCACTGCCATGCATGGCTTTTTCCCACCTCATGAGGCTGGGGATGCAAATCCAAGTTCTTATGCTTAAGCAGCAGGCATTTTACTCACTGGACCATCTTCATGGTCCCTAAACACATACTTTTAAACAGTATTTCACTTAAAACGAATTACTTTACATATTAATGTTGTCATAAAACACAGGTGGCTCTCCTTCTGAGAATATTTTTCCTAAGAGGTCTTTGATGCCAGAGGATAACATGTTGTCTTCACAGATGACCAGTTTCACTCACAGGCTCTTAACTCTTCCCACACCTTGCTGTCATCTTCGGTTCTATCTACCTAGACAAGTGCTTATCTGGGACAAGATGGTTGTGGAGACTTTAGAACCAGGGTTGGCTTGGAAGGCACCAGGTATCCCAGAATACAATACAGCCAAGATCTGTAGATGGGTTACAGTTCCTCTATAGTTCTACAGTCTTGGTGGAGTGTTGACATTAGCCAGAGTGAGGGGAAAAGTTTGACCTTCTCAACACTGGTGGGCTGCAACACCTCCTGGCAGAGGATAAAAGTGGGTGCCTCAAGGCATCCATGCACAAAACAGCAATGTGATGCATGTCACAGGCAGCCTTTTGCTTTCTGTGGCTGGCTTGTTCTAGGAAAGGGTTAACTAGATCTTTGATTGGGTAGTAAGTTCCAGAAGAATTGATCCAAATCAGATAAAATGAAGACTTAGAGACACTATCCCGAATACTGCTTTTTGTTTGCCTATAACTCCTGTAGCTTACTGTGCACTGTCTGTTGCCCATTTTAAGAATTCCTAATACAGCTGAGCCAAACTACATTTGACAGTCTTCATCAATTTTTAGCTTATTCTCAAGGTGAATTATCTAAAAGCAAAAAAGATTTTAAATGATCATTTTCTTAACTGCTGCTATGTTGATATTTTCCCAGTTGAGTTTCATACTTTAAATTTTTAAGGGATTTCACAGGCTGCTTTGCTTTGAAAATACTGTTTTCAGGGAAGATGTAACTTAACAGTGAAGAGCTTGAGCAGCTTGTGCAGGGCCTGAGATTTGACTCCCAGTCTCCCTGCCCCCCAGGCTCCCCGTGGTTTATGTTTAACTACATTTTCCTTTTTAAAAACGACTTATTTGTATTGTATGTGCATTTGCCTGCATGTGTGTCTGTGGGAGGATGTCAGATCCCCTGGAACTGCAGTTACAGACAGTTGTGAGCTGCCACATGGGTGCAGGGAATTGAATCTGGGTCCTCTAGAAGAGCAGCCAATGCTCTTAACTACTGATCCATCTCTCCAGCCCCTAATTACACTTTCAAAAAATTTAAAATGTGTGAAGTGTATGCTTCCTATAAGCTATTTTATTTATCTACTTACCTGTTTAAGAATAGGTCATGTGATGTAGTTCAAGAAAGATCCTCCTGCCTCTGCTTCAAAAGTGTGGGGACTGGCCTTGCGTATGGTAGGCAAGTGCTCTACCACCTGGCACACCCCTGCTCCTGGTCCCTAACCTCAGGTATTGACAAAGAAGGCGCTTACGTTCACATTCTGACATGAGACTAACATATGTGTTAAAACAAATTTGTGTAAAATATGTACAATCATGTAATAATACAATTAGAAATAATGGATATTGTAGACAAATTTCTAAACAGTCTTATTAAATAAGAAACACAGAGCCAAATACAGGGGTATTAGCTGAAGAGATCAGAGAAATGGCGAATAGCCACGACTAGCCTTAGCTTACCACCACGCCATAGCTTTCCCAGATAGAGCTTCTTCCTGTCTAACCTACACTTTTATTGCCTTTCTGTTCTGCCTTCTCATTGGCTCTAAGCCCAGCCACATCACTTCCTCGTCACTGCCCGTCTATGCAGACCTCCAGGTCTCTATGGTTGGTACTGGGATTAAAGGTGTGTGTCACCATGCTTGGCTGTGTCCTTGACCACACAGAGACTCTGCCTGCCATGTAATCAGATTAAGGGCGTGTGCTACCACCACCTGACTTCTGTTTATGGCTTCGCTATGACCTCTGATCTCCAGGCAAACTTTATTTATTAACATACAAATAAAATCACATATCAGCACAAATAAAGTATCACCACAGGATATCAATGTCACAAGAGAAAGAGAAAGCTTGGGGGGGGTATTCTAAATTAAAGGATATTTTCAGAGTAGATTCAATAATCTACCCTCTATTCTTTTTTTTAAGATTTATTTATATATTTTATGCATATAAGTGTTCTATTTACATGTATGTTTGCATTACAGAAGAGGGCACCAAACAGAAGAGGGCATCAGATCCCATTATAGATGGCTGTGAGCCACCATGTGGGTGCTGGGAAATGAACTCAGGACCTCTGGAAGAGCAGCCAGTGCTCTTAACCACCGAGCCATCTCTCTAGCCCCTTCAGCAAAGACATGACAACAACAAAATGCTAGAAGTATAAGTGTGCACTACTATGCCTAGCAGGATAAATCTTCCTTAAAAAACATGATTTCCAATAGGGACAAAGGGATTAGATGAGCTCTGTTATTTCTAAAAATGATGTTTAATATTTTAAACACTATTTGTAAACCATGGGAACGTGGAAGGAAGGAGGAGCAGTGAAAGGAACATAGGCATGCATGCAGGCAAGGACACCTCAGAGGTTAAGAACACTTGCTATTCTTGCAAAGGACCTGGGTTCAGTTCCCAGCAACCACACAGGGCTCAGAACACTCAATAACTTCAATTCTACAGTATCCGGTGCCCTCTTCTGGCCACCATGCACCAGGTCCACACATAGTGCACACACATACATGTAGACAAAACACTCATACACATTAAATAGAAATACGTAAATCCTTAAAAAAGAAAGGAACAAAGGAAGATTTGCTGAGATGGCTAGGCCCTTCCATTCCTTAGCTTGTATAGCTCTAAGAATCTGACAAAGGTCACAGGCCACTGTTGGACTTGGATATACACAGTGATGGACATGCTCTACACTGGCATCCTCTAGTAAATAAACATATAGGGGTACCAGTCACATGGCTAGATTGATTAAAGAGACCTAATTTAAATAGCCACACATTGCTAGTGGCTGCTACATGGACTGGCCCAGCCACAGACACTTCTATTTCAGAGAAACTTAGAAGCTTACGTAATTATTTTTTTCAGAATTACATTTATTTATTTCCTGTGTGTGCACGTGTGTGCTTGTGCCATGGTGCTCAGGTGGAGGTTAGAGGACAGCTTTTGTGAGTTAGCTCTCTCCTTTCACCATGTGAGTTCTAGGGACCAAACTCAGACGTCAGACTTGGAAGCAAGTGCCTTTCCTCCTTGAGCCATCTTGCTGGCCCAACATGATGGTTTTTTAGGTTTAAAAAGCACCAAAGCAAAGCAAATAAATGCAAACCCCCTAGTCTTTGAACTTTCACTCCTGTACCTGAGATCTGCCATTTTTTGATGGCTTCCTATGCTCCAGATGCTATCCTAAGCCTCATATTTAGGCTAGCTTTTCAAATCTGCACTCTTATATAGTAAGAAACTGAGGAACAGAGAGATGATCTTAGCTTATCAAGATCACACAACAAACTCCTTTGGGGCAAGGTTGTCTGACTTCAGTGTTCATATTTTTTTGTTTTGTTATTTTGGTCTTTGGTTTTTTGAGACAGGGTCTCTGTGTAGCCCTGGTTGTCCTGGAACTTACTCTGCAGATCTCGCTGGTTAGGAACTCAGAGATCCACTTGTCTCTGCCTCCTGAGTACTAGGATTAAAAGCCTGTGCCACCACCACCACCCAGCTTAGTGTTCATGCTTTTTTTTTTTTCAGTGTTCATACTCTTAATCATAATGTTACAATGTTTTTTGTGAAGTTAGTATTTTCTGTAAAGGCTTATAAAAACTTAGGAAGATAAAGTACATGTTATCAAAGCTATAAAAGTTAACATGTGAACTAATGCCTGTAAATGGTTTTAATTTTTTTCAGTTAACAAAAATGTTCATAAAGTTGCAAAAATAAAATAATAAAAAATAATAGGATAAAATTCTACCCACAACAAACACATGTACCGCTGTATAATTTCCCAATGATATCAACTTGTTAATTAGGAATATTCGGGTTTTTGATAAAGACAAAAAAAGGTAACTGGTCATACATTGTTTAAAAAAAAAACTTCCCCAGTAAACAATTTTCAGTGTGTAAATATTTTAGTTACAAGTTGTCAATTCTCACCAAATGACTTTTCTAAGTGACTGTTTCAAATAATTTTTGATTAAGCTTTCCTCTCAGATTAAGGAGTGCAGAAAATAAGTTTAATAAGATTTCAGTTTCCTAGTCAGGTGGTAGTAGTGCATCCCTTTAATCTCAGCACTCAGGAGGCAGAGGCAGGTGGAGCTCTGTGAGCTGGAGGCCAGCCTGGACTACAGAGCAAGTTCCAGGACAGCTAGGGCTACACAGAGAGACCCTGTCTCAAAAAACAAAAACAAAAAAATTTTTTTTCAGTTTCCTAAGTACAGGGTAGTTAATCGCAAGAGTTGTAATAAGGGCCTCTCTAACTCTAGCCCGCGCTGGAACTCTGGATTTGGTGGTAAATACTATTGCCTCAGCTAGAGTGTTGCGTCTAGGGAAGAAGCAGTGAGTGGCAGTGCTGGCAGTGCCCGGGAAAGAATAAAACAACTGGACAGGATCTCACTCAGACTTCTTCCTTCTCCAGTAAAGTCCAAAACAGTCTGGGAAGAACAGGCTTTAGGGAACAGGCCTTGTGGGTACAGCCACAGTCCTCATTTCTACTCCTGCTTCTCAGTCATGTAAGTGGGCCAGAACAATAGCAAAGTGGTGAATGGAATCGCTACAGCCTCATATAAAGGACGCATGGAAAGGGCTGCGTGTGTAGCTCGAGGCTCAGAGAGAGAATGCTTGTTGAGTTTGCACAAGTCTCTGTGTTTAATCCTTACTGAGGAGGAAAAATTAAGCCAAGTGGAGTAGTGTAATCCAGTACTTGGGACGCTGAAAAAGGAGAACTGCTGTGAGTTCAAGGTCAGCCTGATATACATGACAAGACTATCTTAAACCCTCTCCAACCCCCCAGAGAATCCCTGGGCTGAGTGAGCCGCTCCCTTCAATGAGGACTGGGGCTGAGTAGGCCCTAGAAGCTGGTTGTTCACAGAGGTTGTACTTAGTGTACTGCCAGGTTTCCAACAGGAAGCCAAGGACACAGGTAATCAGACTCAGATCAGAACGTACATTTCAAACTGTAGTCAGAGGGGGTGCTCAAGGGTGATCCTGAGCCAAGCAGGTCCCACCAGCTCAGTGGTACTGAAAAGATAGATAAGAAAGAACTTCCTGGGTACTTAGTTAGCATTAGAGCACACAGTGAGGACTAAACTGCAGCATGCCCTCCCTCACCAGTTCACTCTCCCAGGAAGATTCACAGTGAGCCAAAGCAGACAAAACACATCAAGGCACAAAAGGAATAACTCATTGGATGTTTTACATATTTACTTTAGGTAGTAAAAGCTTTTATTGTTCTGAATCCTGATTACAAGTCACATGATCGAGAACAACTGAAAAAGGAGATTCAGGAGCATGTAAAAAAGACTACAGCGCCATACAAATACCCCAGAAAGGTAGGCATCCCTGGTACAACTGTATCTGTTCAGTGCTTTGGAAAATTTTTCAGCTGTTTGTTTTTTTCCTTTCAAATGACCTTTCTCCTTAAATATGCTACACAAGAGGTTCCAAATAGAACTAATGATAATAGATAATCAAAACTTTTGAGGTTAAACTGAAGCCCCTAATATAATTCCGTCAATTAGCTTATAATACTAAAGAAAAACTTCAACCATCCTTTCACCTAGAAGCCAAAAGGGCTATTAAATAATTGGCATGAACTAAAGCGTCCAAGCGCTGGACTAATTTCTTTCCTCCTTTTAATGCCAACAGATAGAATTTATTGAAGAGCTGCCAAAGACTGTCAGTGGGAAGGTCAAAAGAAATGAACTAAGGAAAAAAGAATGGAAAACCATTTAAACTTATCCACTAATCGTCCGAATATCTATAAACAAACAAAGTGTCTACAAGTCTGCAGGAACCACCGGTTATATGGGCAGGTTGCTTCTAAACTGGATTTAAAGTATTTTGTAGTAATGACATCAGAGACTGAATTCTGAAATCAAACAGTCAATCCTTATACTTTCATGTAAATGTTCCTGTAATTTGGCAACATAAAACAATGTCATTGGTTGCTGAGATGTTTTAAAATCTATTTCAGGAGCAGTTTCCAAAGCAAATCTCTGCCTCACTGGTTTTCAAAACTTAACTGAATAATTCTAATATGTTAATATACAAATCAGAACAAATCTTCAAGCTTTGAAAAAACTAAGTGACTTGTTTTTAGAAAATCGTCATAATTCTTAGAATATTTACCTGAAATTTGAGTAAGGGTTTTGTTAGTCCTATTTTTATTCAAGTAATTTGAAAGTAGTTTGAAATTTGCTTCAAGGTCTATCTATAAGAGACAGCTGTCAAGCACTATGGCTACTTAGTAAATTTAACCTAATAAATGGTTTATAAAAGTATTTTTTCCTGGTGGTTCATGATAGTTTGATAAATTCAGCAAATGTTAATATATGAAATATAGTTATGTGACATAATCCAAATACACATGCTAGGGAATTTAAGGAACGATGATTCTGACAGGAACAGACAACAGACAGTTGACAGCCGACTTCTGGGCAAGAGTGGAAGTCATGCAATCTGCTTCCTTCCGTCAGTGTGAACTGCCTCGGTGTGGCTTTAGCTCCAGGTATGCTGAGACCTCGGAACTCGAACCTGACACTTTTATGAGAGTTTATCAATTTCTCATTGACGGTCTGAGTCGTAAAGGATTTTTAACAGGAATATTCAAATTTCTGTCATGAATATGGCTTGTTTCTGGAGAGCTGAAAGTGAGTCCTTCTGAGGAACGAGATAGAGCTTTGCTATTGCCTCTTTCCTTTTGAAGTGTTTGTTCCCATTTAAAATAACCGCAGCATTTTCTGTCTTCTTGGTATTTCCCAACAGGGCAACAGTAGAAGGCTTTCCCATGGTTTGGCCCGTTATTAGAAACAATAAGCCGCTTAGATCTTCTGCCACACTTGCATAAGGGAGGTGTCATCTTCCCACTCTCCCAAGGCTCTTGTAGATTAACTATGGATGTTAATATGGAGGAAAGAACTTTCCGGGAAGAGGCTCCTGGGGAGCAAGTAGATGATGCAGGCTTTTCTTCATGAATACTGAAGGTTTGCTTTTTCGCTCGTGGGAAAGGTAGGGGACTAGGTGAATTCCTTTTAGTACCACCTAAGGGAAGAGGTTGTTTCCTCAAAACTGAAGGATGTGATGCATTGGCATTAAGACTGTTGAAGGTAAATGGTTTGCATCCAGGTAATTTAAAAGCAGAAGTATCTGAACCTGAATGTTTAGCTCCCTTTACATTATAGACGGTACTATGGGGACTCTTATACACAATAGACTTAGATATTTCAAAGTTTTGAGGAGTTTCCTTGAGGTCTTCAAAGTTTTCATAACTAAGAATTTCTGGTTCTTTTAAAACCATCGATCTCTCTCCAGAATTAAAAGAAGTATCTACATTTGTGTCACTAATCGAAGGCACACAATCTTTATCTTGTTCAGCCTGAGATGATGGAAGTAAAACTACATCTTCCCACTCAGCCAACATAGGTAAACAGTCAAAAGTACAGCCCACTTCTGCATTAGAAACAACATTAACAGATGGAATGGTCGTAGATACAAGTACCAAGTTGGAGTTAAGTGCTGAGGACTTTGACTTGTCATTCGATGCAAGCTGCTCACTTTTTCTTTGCTTCTGCATCAAAGTGGGGGAACCCAATTGTTCCCCAGAAGTTGAGGGCTTAGTAGTGCAAAGAGGAATGCAACGTTTGTTATTGTGAAGATCCACGTTTAGTTGTAATTGTTCCTTTATAGACGAATTCACACAAACTAAATTCATTTGAGCATCTTCCTGGGTATTTACTATACTTTTGGGCTCCTTTTGATATATGCTGGGACCCTGGATGCTAACGTTGCAGGCAGATGTTTCTTCAATTTGATCTGTACCCAAATTTTGGACCAAAATCTTGGGATTCTTCTTAGTGAGAACCTATGATTCCACAGACAAATCCACTGCTTTAGAAACTGTGTAATTTCTTCAGTAGACATTATATATGACGAAAAAAAAAAAAAAAGGAAATGCCACTGGTTTGAAACCAACATTTTAATGAACCTATGACTACTATTCTAGAGCTCAAAATGACAGAAGAGGCAAGACACACTAACCTTGTTCAAGGACCTGGTAATTTTCATTAGGCAACCGTCCCTGATCATTTTCCAAGCAAGAAGAGCAGTGTTCCGAGAATCATCTAAGCCTGAGGAAATAAAAGTATCAAACACTGAATGTCGTGGTACTAACAAAGAAATAACAGAAAACAAATCGCATTTAAACAGAAATTGGGGCACATTTTTCATCTTATGACCACCTACTGAATTTAAAAAAATCAGAAATTGGTCTGTGGGAAGATGTGACAGCATTGCCAATGCAAGATGCCTTGTATTTACACAGGTGAAAATTTGTTAGACAGCTTCCAAAATTGTGACCAGCATTCTGTGCAGACCATCATTTGTTCAGTTTTTTTCACTAGTCCATCATATTATCTGGGCACTTATGTTTCTGTTTGATGTGCTTATTATTTATCTATTTACTTTTAAACCAACTAGAACCACTGCATGGTGGTCTTTATTTAAATTCAAGAAAGTGGTTATTCAGCTGGGCGGCCAGGTGGCGATGGAGCTCACCTTTAATCTCAGCACTTGGGAGGCAGAGGCAGGGGGATCTCTGTGAATTCAAGGCCACCCTGGACTACAGAGTGAGTTGCAGGACAGCCAGGATTGTTACACAGAGAAACCCTGTCTCAGAAAACTGGGGAAAAGGAAAAAAAGAAACTGGTAATTCAAAAACCAAAAATAATTTGAGTTATATAGGTTAGGAACATTTTTTAGGCTGAAAGGTTTTAATAATGGCACTACCCCTAAATGAAACTAATATGAGAGATTTTACAAAACTCAAATGACTTACATAACAAAATGATTATCAGTTTATACGAACCAGAATGTTCCCGTCCTGAAAATTCTATTCCCACTTCCTGCAAGGCGCCATTTAGTCCTTTGGGTTTTCTCTTATAAAAAAGCTAATCAAATAAAAAAAAAAGACATTAAAAAATATAATGACTATTATAGAGACTATGAAGTTATTTCTCATAACTTTTAGTTCTATCAGATTTGGAATTTATTATCGCTGTGCTGTCTCATATATTTTAAGATATATATTTATGTGAACATTCCAAATTAAGAGTATCTTATTTGTAGAAATTTGCACCAGTAAGATAAAATACAGCCCCCTTTCACCAGAAACAAAGTGAACACGCTCCCATCTTTGATCCTTACCTTGTAAGTTGCTCTAAGATCAATCCACGAGTTTAGGAACACGGGTTTTAAGAGCTGCTTTCTTCTACATTCATACTCTAGGCAAACCCCCAAGTCCCAGTCTGAATTAAGGGGATTGGAACAAAGGACAGTGATATCAGCGCTTCTCCACTTACAAATAAAATATACAAAACATGATACAGTAGAGCAGTAAGAGTTAACTGCTATGCTAATAACTAATGCTCATATGTTCTATATTACTTTACACCTCATAGAACTCTCCAGTAAGAAATTAAGTTGGTGACTGTTTCAAAATAATATCTTCTGTGTGTGTGCAGGTGCCTATGTGTGTGTGTGTGCACATGTGCTGGTGTGTGTGGGTGTGCACATGTGCTGGTGTGAGTGTGTGGGTGTGCAACTCAGAGGATAGCCTCAGGTGATTCCTCAAGTGCCACCCATCTCATTTTGAGACAGGGTTTCTTATTGGCCTGCAGAATCATGATTTTAAAAGTATGAATGAATTTGCTTTTCTTAGTTAGCATCTGTGTAGGTAGAGTTTTCCTGACTGGCCCACAGTCAGGACAAATCTCTGACACCCGCCAGTCCCACAGCCACTCAAACCCGACCAAGTAAACATAGAGACTTATATTGGTTACAAACTGTATGGCCGTGGCAGGCTTCTTGCTAACTGTTCTTACAGCTTAAATTAATCCATTTCCATTAATCTATACCTTGCCACATGGCTCATGGCTTACCGGCATCTTTACATGCTGTTTCTCATCACGGCGGCTGGCAGTGTCTCTCTGACTCAGCCTTCCACTTCCCAGCTCTATTCTCCTCCTTGTCCCGCCTATACTTCCTGCCTGGCCACGGGCCAATCAGTGATTTATTTATTGACCAATCAGCAACACATTTGACATACAGACCATCCCACAGCACATCTGTGTGGCCCTTGATTTTCTTTCCCAGGTCAATGAGGTCAACAAGCATAATTCTAGGATAACAAGAAAAAAACTAGAAATCAAGGACTACACTGTGGGAATACTGCTGCTTTTTTGGTAAGTGGGGTATATGTGTATGTGGTATGTATGTGCCACATGTTCACAAGTGTGGGGGTGCGGATGTGTGTGTACATGCACATGTACATATATGCAGAGGTAAGACTGACATCAGGAATTTCCACCTTATCTGTTGAGGCAGGGTTCCTCACTGAGCCTAAGACTTGCTGTTTTAGCTGTGTGGCTAGCCAGCTTGCTCTGGGGATTCCTTGTTTCCACCTCATGTCCTTGGATTACAGATAGACCACTGTGCCCATGTGGCTTTCACATGGGTTCCGAGGATCCCAACTCTGGTCCTCATGATTGTGTAACAAGCACTGTATCTGCTGAGCCACCTCCTCAGCCTCAATGCTACCCATTGTGATTTATAGTCATAACTCATGTTTTTACCTGACCAAGTAACAAAAGCACACAATTTTACTTCAGAAGAAGGCTCTGAATCCCCAGTAGTAAAGATGATTTTCTTCTGCTGCTGAATCTTATGAATCCATTTACAGAACTGGGATAAGCAAATCTTCAGAGGGACTCCTTCATCAACTTGAACCTGATTTGAGCCACAAAATCTGAAGTCAACAAATGAATTTCTGATATTGAGTATTTATTACAACTCTGCACTATGGGGAGACAGAACAAAAAAGTTTATCTCCTACAAAGACAGTAAGATGTATAGTAAGATGTAATACTGCGGTGACTCGAATTCACCAAGGTCAGAGAAACTAGGCTGGTACACAAAAGTTTCACAGAAGTATAGTCTTTAAGTTTACTCTCACAGAAGTAAAAGACAGAGCTACATTACTCTGTAAAATAAACTGTCTCTCTGGAGCCCAAACCCTGGGCTTCATGCATCTTAGATAAGCATCTCACACTGAGCTATAACCCTTGACCTTTATGTTTATAGCATTATTCTGATTTTTTTCAACATTCCAGTGGACTTTGGAGGGGGAGCATTATTTCTCTTAACACTGAATAAATTTAATTCCAAGTGGTATATAGCTTTTATTTTTTGAAACTGATTTCTGAACTTTTAAAATTTGCATCATACCTGTTTTATCCCTGTCAGTTCTGTGCAAAATTCAGAAAGAATTGGATGTTCTTGAGGCTGTACATAAGCATGAAACTCAGATTCAATCTCTCCAGTTGCTGTACTCAACAAAACTGCTGGAAATTCAACTAATGAAAGAATCATGGATTAACACTTATATACATTTTTTAAATTTATTTATTTATTTTGAGGTAGGATCTCAATACGTAGTCCTGGAAATTGATATAGGTTAGTGGTTCTCAACCTGTGGGTCAGAACCCTTTTTGGGGGGTCAAACAACCCTTTCAAAGGCATTAAATATCAGATATTCTGCATATCAAATATTTACATTATAATTCATAACAGTTGCAAAATTAGTTATGAAGTAGCAACAAAAACAATTTTATGGTTGGGGGTCACCACAACATGAGGAACTGTATTAAAGGGCCGCAGCATTAGGAAGGTTGAGAACTACTGATATAGACCAAGCTGGCTTCAAATTCATAGAGATCCACCTGTCTCTGTCTCCTAAGTGCTGGGATTAAGGATGTGTACCACCACACCCAGCCTGAATATACAAATCATCCTAAACATGCACTGCTTTAATAACAGCATTATTAAACAATCAATCCCAGCAAAAGCTTATTAGAATAAATAACCAAAGCTGTGAGAAACAAAATTATAATAAAGCTATATCAAGGAATAAGTCAAAATATCAAAGTTATGTGTCTATTTAGTTTCACAATTAAATATGAAGACTACAAGAGCCTTAAAATATACTCTATTATTGCAAAGCCATTGTTTTCCAGTTTCTATCCAATCAAAGTTTTAAATATAATCTTAAAACAATTAGCTACTTTGCATAATCACATTCAGGTATTTGGCATTTTATCCTTTAAGCCAGACAGTTTTTATACTAAACTACCAGCTTACAGCATTCTGTTTTCTTACTAATTCATATCCAGAAACATTAAGACTCATTGAGCACTAACTTTGCCCACTGGCAGTCCAAACTTACTTATTTCAGGGCTATTGTGGTGTTTCCCATCTTTCCAGCATGTAGATTCAAAATCAATAACAATTAAGTAGTCATACGTCTGTTCTGCAAAAGACCAGAGTATCTTAGGCTTTGTCCATGTTCCAAACCCAAGGCTTCCAAATGAAAACTAAACATGGGACTTACTGAATCTGCTTCTTCCTGGATTCCCACTTGCTGGTGCAACTGACTTTCTCCTAATTAATCCAAGCCGTCTAAAAATGCAAAATCCAATAAGATCAATAAACGCACTTATACTGCAGTTAGAACAAGCTATCAAACTAATAGCACTGAAGAAATGGCACAGTCCTCATTAGTGTACTGTAACTGGAGTTGGATGTGGGGCACACACCTGCAAGCTCAGTGCTCAGCAGGCCAAGGCAGAATTGAGCTTAAGAAGACTTTGAGTACATAGCAAGACCCTGTCTCAAACAGCAGCTGTGTACTGACTGAAGGAAGCTAGAGCTAGACTTTACAAGATCCGGGTTCTTGTGCTAACTGCCATCCTCTCTTGGGTGTGCATTTTACCTGCATGGGTCAAGTGACTTGGCAAACACCAATTTTATCTATTCTCATTTTATACTAGTCCTGAGGAACTCAAACGGCTGTAAACATGACTAAAAACCTTCAGCTATTTTTGTACTTTTCAAGGCCTTGCTTACGTTCTCAGGAGATGATGCCTGTTCCTAAAATCTAGGGGAGGAAGTAAGACAACCAGAGTACAACTGGAAGGCAATCTATGATAAAGGACCCCCAACAGCAAGATACTGAGTCCAAAGAAGGAAAAAAGGTTAACCATGGTCTCATATGTAGGTGAGACAAAAATCTGTTGCATACAGCTTTAACGAGAGGATACCTGGAGTAGTTACTTTGGCTTTTTGAAAAAGACAAGAAGTGATGCCAGTGTGGGATTTGGGTTAAAAGCTAACATTTATTGGCTATTTCACCAGCAAATATTAAACTAAGGTGGTAACTGCTTTTAAACAATTCCAGGTGGTAGATATGTCTGCAACCCTTATTTTATGCATGAGAAAACAAGGTAATTTGCTAAAGATAGCTATAGTATGTTAACCTTTGGTAGGATTCTCCAACCCTGAAATCCATGCTATTTACTAACACATCACATAGCTTTTCCTTCGTTTTGGATTTAGTTTTATTGTTGTTTTGAGACAGTCTAGCTATGTAGCTCCGGCCTGCCAGAACATGACCACCAGGCTGGCCTCGAACTTGCCTCGCTGGTATTGTAGGCGCGCTCCACTATGCCTGGCATTGGCACACTGTGTCGACAAACTTCAAATGTGTCCGCAGGAGTTCTTACAATAAAATCAGACTAGGTAGGTCACGTTGACGCAGTGGGTGCAGTGGCACCTGCCTGAGAACAATCTGCACAGCACCGTCGTCACATTCCAGGCGTTTCCCAGAGCCTAGCAGGAACAGATCGGACACAGCACGCCGCTCTGAGAGAACCCGGTCCCTCGGACTCCTGCAACCTGGCGTGCATGGCGGCGTGAGGCCCGAGACCGAGGTTCCACCCGGGGCCTTTCCAGACCCACACACAACGGCTGCGGAAGACCGCCGCCAACCCTGCGGGGAAACCCCTAGCGTACCGCGCCAGCCGCTTGGTCGCCATGCCCGACACTCTGTCCTGAGTTCAACCGCCGGAAGTCGGCTGCCCTCACTTCCGGTCCGTTTAAACGCCGGCGCGGCTGAGGGGGCCCGAGCGTTTAGAGCGGCAGCGGCGGTCGTCGGCGGTCTGTGAGGCGCGCCTGGGGGCGGTTCCGGACCGGGAGGGCGTGGACCGAGGCTGGAGGAGGGCGAGCAGCTTCGCTCCGCCCCCGACGTGCTTCAGGTAGCGTTTCCAAGTCCGCGACGCCTTCCTTTGGGGCGACGTGGACGCCGAGTCCTCCCTAAGGGAAATGTCAGCGAGGGCAAAGCGCGGTAAACTGGTTTGAGCAGCTTCGAGGGAGAAAGTTATAAACCGTCACTCGTTCCCAGCGATGCGCCCGAGAGAAGCGGCGGCACGGTTTCCTGGACCCTGCGGGGTCCTCAGCTCCAGCTCATCCTTCCCTGCAGCCTGATGGAGCTAGAGACGGAGACGATCTCCAGGAGGAGGAAGGAGGGCCCGACCTCGGCCCTGGCGACAGAGCTGGGTAGGCCTCCGTGGGATCTTAAGGGCACGCTGCCTAAAGCCAAGGTGAGCAAAGGAGAGCCCCAGCAGGCGGCCCGAAGTCGTTTATGGCTCAGAGTCACTTGTCCCAGCCACTTGAAAGGTCCCTGCAAAAGGATCAGGGCTCACCAACTGACTGCACTGAACCCTGTTCTCTGATCTGTGAAATAGTGAGAACTTAGTAGCCGGGCGGTGGTGGCGCACGCGTATGGTGATATTTTATTTGTATTAAAATGTTATTTGTATGTTAATAAATAAAGTTGCCCGGGGGTCAGAGCTATTAGCAAGCCATAGGAAAGCAGGGCAGTGGTAGCGTATGCTTGTAATTCCAGCACTTGGTAGGCAGAGCTGGGTAAGTCTCTGTGTGTTCAGGGATACAGCCATTATTGGATACACATGCCTTTAATCTTAATACCAATCATGGAAAACCTGGAGGCCTATACAGACAGGCTGTGAGGAGGCGGTCATGTGGTTGGGTTTACAACCAATGAGAAGGCAGGACAGGAACTCTATATAAAGACTTTAACACAGGGGTAGCTCTGGTTCGGAGAGGTAGGACCACCGCAGGAGGAAGGGTAAGGTTTTAGCTCTTAGCTCTGACCTCTTGGCTTTCTTCTTTGCATTGGTTCTGTGTTTCTTATTTAATAAGAAGGTTAGATACATCTACACACGCGTTTAGTCCCAGCACTCGGGAGGCAGAGACAGGCACGTATTTCTGTGAGTTCGAGGCCAGCTTGGTCTACAGAACGAGTTCCATGACAGCCGGGGTAGTTACACAGAGAGAACCCTGTCTCAAAAAAAAAAAAAAACAACAACAACAAAACCCACAAAACTGACTTAATGTCAGGTACACAGAATATTTATTAAGGTCTGTGTAACGGGATATATTCTAGGAATATCCTTGTACACCTAAACAGAATTCTCTGCTTCCAAACAATTTGCATTCCTATTGAGCGGAAGTAAAGCTGATGACAGAAGTGATAGTCTTCTCTTGGAGTTTTGTGTATGACTTTTTGATTAGTCCCATTGTTGGTGATATTAACCTTGATTACTTAAGATAATAAGATGGTGGCTACCAAGCTGTCTAAACTCTCTTTGTAATTTTGTAGAGCACTCTTTTTCACCACTTTAATTTATCTGTATGAACTCACAGGTAATCTGTTTTGCTCCTTAAGCTATCATCTGTTCATTTATTTTTCGGTTCTGGGTATTGAATCTAGAACCTTGAGCACCATAGACAAATACTCTACACTTGAACCACACACACACACACACACTCACAAACACACCTGCACCTTTTTTTGATGCTGTTTCACTAAGTTATGAAGTTCGGCCTTCAATTTGCTCTGTGGCCCAGTAGGTCTTGAACTTGTGATTCTTCTGCCTCCTCAGTAACTGAGATTACAGTCCTATACTACCAGACTTTACTATTTATTTTTTTAATTATTATTTTATGCTATTGGTATTTTGCCTATATGCATGTCTGGGTACTATGTAGATGCCTGATGATGCCCGAGGAAGCCAGCAGAGGATGTTGAATCGCCTGAAACTGGAGTTGTAACTGGCTGTGAGTCACTGTATGGATGCTAGGAATTGAAGTCCTCTAGAGGAGCAGCCATTGCTCTTAAATGCTGAGACATCTCTCCCTCTGGCTATTTATTCTGATGCTCTAAATAGCCAAGATTTGATCATTAACTAGCTTTTGTGTTATGACATGGCTGTATCACTCTGAGAACGTTATTGCTTTCTGGTGAGAAGGGGCATCTGCTTTCTCTGTCCTGGGCCCCTGGAATCAGCCTCGTTCTTCTTAGTGAAGAATGACATTTGTAAATTTAAAATGGGGGTATTATAGATGGCTTTATTCTACTAGGATGTTGGTAGTCCCAAAAGATCATGTTAATGGGTATGCCTGTGTATTTGTAAGTATATACAAACATGCATTTACATCTAGTTTCCTGAATTCACAATAAATGTGTGCTTTCCAATCAATTTATTTCTAGTCAGAGGTCTTTGTAGTTCTTCCTTTTTTGTATCTGCAACTTCCTTTCCTGATAGAACTACAACTCCTATTATCTCCAATGATTAATCTTTAATCACTGTCACCACCTCTTGTTCCCACATCTTTGCCCTGCTCAGATCCAGATCAAATACATTTGAAGAGCCCTCATTATTGTAACAGGCTTTGCCAGCAACCCTATTACACAGACACTTACCCTGTTCAGGCTCTAAATCCTGTACTAAGCAACTACCACACTTTCAGCGTACCATAGCTCCTAACATCCACTGCCAGGCCAAAGTGTATTCCTCAGGCTGTTCAGGTACTGTCCTATGAGGATGTACTAGGCTTCTGTTCATAGTTCTGATCTATCTTTCTCATGAGACATCCTTTTTACTCTACTTAGGATCTTAGTATCCAATGTTTAGGAACAATGATTGTTTATTACCATATAGACCTCTATCTTGCTCAATCTTTATCAGTTGCATACAGTTTGGCTTAAAAGATAAGTCAGAATTAGCAATATTTATAAAGAAGTAAAATATGTATGGACATTTTAATGGGAAATTTATCCTGAGGAAATAAGTAGATAGATGAATAGTGATATCAATAATAAGAATGTTCATCCTAATATTTGTATTTTTAAAAAATATTTCACCAGCCAGGCAGTGGTGGTGCACGCCTTTAATCCCAGCACTCGGGAGGGAGAGGCGGGTAGATCTCTGAGTTTAAGGTCAGCCTGGTCTACAGAGCAGAGTTCCAGGGCAGCCAGGGCTACACTGAGAAAACCTGTCTTGAAAAACCAAAAAAAAAAAAAAAAAGTTTCACCAAGAAAGAGTTTTTAGTATAAAATTTTTATTATACATTTTAAAATGTATTTCTCCTGAACTATTTTCACATGTTAAAATTGGTATTCTATAACTGATAGGGAAAAATACAGATTAGGGTGGGGCTGGTTACAAAGCAAAAATGGATGTTTGTAAAGTCCCTTAGGGAAGTGTAGTGCAGAGATGAAAGAGCTTGGTCTTTGGAGTTTGCATTCCAGTTGTGGTTCTATAAGCTATTACTTCATTTCTTTGTTGTAAAATGGAAACGATGGTAGTCCTCACTTAAAAGTATAAGAATTAAATAAGTTATTACAAATAAATTTCTCAAAACTTTGGCTAGGGGCTGGTGATGTGGCTGAATAGTAGAGCACTTGCCTTGCATGTTCCCTGAATTCAATCCCTAGTACAGCTGCTTTAAAAAGTAGTTAATAGTAAATATTCAACATTGGCTTAAAGCCATTGTAGAAATTAGGATTTCTATTGATGTAATAAAACACCATGATTCCATGACCAAAAGCAGCTTGGGGAGGAAAGGGTTTATTTCAGTTGCATGTCCAGATCATAATCCTTCCTTCACTAAGGGAAGGCCTGGCAGGAACTGAGAGTATAAGAACCAGGAGGCAAGAACTGATGCAGACACCAGGGAAGAGTGCTGCTTACTGGCTTGCTCCTCAGGACTTGCTCAGCCTGCCTTCTTACACTGTTGAGGACCACCTGCAGGAGGCGGGGCACCACCCACAATGAGCTGGGCCTTCCACACTGCTCTTCAATTGAGAAAATAGCTACAGCCTTACCTATAGGCCCATCCTATAAAGGCATTCTCTCAGTTAAGAGTCCTTCCTCTCAGAAGACTAGCTTGTGTCATGTTGACATAAAACTAGCCAGCGCAGCTATGCAGAAATCCAATAATATCTGATATTTATTAAGTACTTAAGATGTGTTGGTGGCTAGCACTGATATATTGCACCAGCAGTCTCTTATCAGATCTCTCAATAATCTTATGATATAGAATTATAGTTACTCTACAGGTAAGGAAGCTGCGTCTTAGAATGGTTACGAAATTTGTTCAAGACATTGGAAGTCAGAACTCCTAACCATAATATTGTGCTGCTTCCCAGGAAAAAAATGAAAATAATAAATATCTCTGAGTTATATAGGTGTTTATCTAGTATGTATTTATTTCACCTTTTTCTATTATCTAAGCCTTTTGTAAAAAGCAAAAACCACCTTAATAATCAGGCATAAGTTCAAAACCTTTTATATATATATATATATTTTTTTTTTTTTGGTTTTTCGAGACAGGGTTTCTCTGTGTAGCTTTGCGCCTTTTCCTGGAACTCACTCTGTAGCCCAGGCTGGCCTCGAACTCACAGAGATCCGCCTGGCTCTGCCTCCCGAGTGCTGGGATTAAAGGCGTGCGCCACCACCGCCCGGCTTAACCTTTTATATTTTTAATGGACAAATATTTAAATCTATTTATAAAATTTGGCCTATTAAACAAATAATACTAATAAATTGTCAAAACTAACTAAAGCTTTGGTTTTAGTTAGGTGTACTCTTTTTGGGAAAGCATTCATCATCCATTCATCATCTCCTTATAAAATAAGTACTTGACAAAGCCTTTTTAAGGGAAACAAGGAGCTTCCTTAAATTTTTCTGTAACCATAGTATAATTCTGATTCTGATAGGTTAGATGTCACTGATTTGTGATTTGGTTACCTTGTCCCCATTGTAATACTGCCACAGCTTACACTATGCAATTTTGGCTCCAGCCAAGCCATACTACATGGCTTGACCCCAGAGTTTAAAGAGGCCTTCACTAAAACTCTGAACCAGTGGTTCTTAACCTGGGCTCGAATGACCCTTTCATGGGTGTCACTTAAGACCATCTGCGTATCAGATGTTTATGATTCACAACAGTAACAAAATTACACTTATAAAGTAGCAATGAAATATTTTATGGTTGGGGGTTACCACAATGCGAGGAACTGTATTAAAGGGTCACAGCATTAGGAAGGTTGAGCACCACTGTCCTAAGCCCTAGGGCAAATATACCCTTGCTCCTCTGTGTTTATAATAGCACTGACCCCTGCAGTGTTAGAATTATCCATCCTATATTCCCTAATGGAGTAGAGTTCTTGAAAGCATGAATTGCATTGTAATCATACGCCTATTTTTAGCACACAGACATGCATAATACAAAACTGTACCAATGTTTATAAAATATTCTAATGACATCATACCACAAGTGGCTCTTTTAGACCTTTATTTTTAATTAATTAGAACAGTCTTTGTGTTGATATGTATGTTAAAATAATCAGAAACTTGAATAATTGCCTTTTTGCCATTCATGAGCATTATGGTATGCTGTATTCTAATTTGTCATTACAGAAAACTCGCTTATCTACTATTTTATTTGCTGAAAATTATGAAGTAACCCATAGACAGCTGTGTGAGTTGCTGAAGTATGCAGTTCTGGGTAAATCCACTGTTCCTAACCCCAGGTATGAGATAAACTATGCATAGACCAGAGGTTTCAAACTGGTTTGTAGCTTAATGACATTTGTTAGCCATGTAGAGTATCCAGTTTTTTGTTTTGTTTTGTTTTTAATTAACAGCTGTCAATAATTATTTGGGAATTTCTGTATAAAAATCCAGATTGGTGATTTCTTCAAAAAAACTTAAAAATCTAGCAACCATCTCTGTACCACCTGGTATACTTACTTTATTCATTATTTCTGTCTGACTACTGTAGCTACTGTAGTTTGCTTCCCCTACTGTGGACTTGATAGAAATCTCATTAATTATTGTTTTCTTATTATAAATTAATACTATCTTAATAATTCTGGTTAGTCTTTTACTTCTTTTATAGTTAAAAAAGAGATGATATTATTGTTTGAATGCTGTCAGTGATACTAATAGTTTATGAAAATTATATTTTTATGTCTGTCTTATTTAGGGTTTCTATTGCTATGATGAAAACCATAACCAAAGCAACTTGGGGAGAAAAGAGTTTATACTTCCACATCAAGGTAAATCACTGAAGGAAGTCAGGATGGGAACTCAAACAGGGCAGGAACCTGGAAGCATCATGGAAGAATGCTGTTTATTAACTTGTTCATCATGGCTTGCTCAGCCTGCTTTCTTATAAAACCCAGGACCACTAGCCCAGGGATGGCACCACCCACCATGGTCTGGGCCCTCCCCCATTGATCACTAATTAAGAAAATGCATATGGAGGATCTTATTGAGGCATTTTCTCAATTGAGGATCCCTCCTTTCAGATGACTCTAGCTTGTGTCAAGTTGACAAAAAACTGTCCAGCACAATACCCATCGAGAGATTAGTAGATGCACACATTTCCCTGAGGCAGTTGTTATAAATTGTCTAGATTTTTCAGAACCAGCTTCTTTGTCAAGAAATACTGCCATCTGGCAGGGCCTAGTGGCACATCTCAGCACTCAGTAGGCAGAGGCAGGCAGATCTCTGTGAGTTTGAGGCCAGCCTTGGCTACATAGTGAGTTCCAGGACAGCCAGGACCCTGTCTCAAAAAAACAAAAGAAAAGAAGGAAGGAAGAAAGGAAGACTGCCATCAGTCTGAAGTCAGCCTTCATTTGATGTGCTGGTTTAGGAAGGGTTACAGAATATGTTGGAGATAAACCTTTGTAAAATGAGCTCAGAGTTCTGATTTAAAATAAATGTTCAGGTGGAAGGAGAGAATCAACTGCCATAAGTTGTTCTCTAACTTCCGCCCTGTCACACATAAAATAAGTATAATTAAAGTTTTAAATAAACATTAATAGGACAATGCATTTATTAATAAATGCATTGCATTTCACTTGACATTTGATTTGATTATAACAATTATTTGTCACAAAGATTTTTTTTAAGGTTTGTTATGTTCTGCCTGCATGTGTCTTTGCAGGCCAGAAGAGGGCGCCAGATCTCATTACAGGTGGTTGTGAGCCACCATGTGGTTGCTAGGAATTGAACTCAGGACCCCTGGAAGAGCAGCCAGTGCTCTTAACCTCCGAGCCATCTCTCCAGCCCTTTCACAAAGATTTTTATTTGAATTCTTTGAAGTAAGGACTGTCTTCCAGTTATAGAGTCATACAGAGTCAGTGGTTGGTGAAAAGTTTTATTAGCTGTCAGTCACTCTGTTTCCTGCTTGTCTTCTGTGTGCCTGTAACTGTCTGAGAATGTCATCTTAGCTGTGTTGGTTTGATTTTTTTTCAGCAGCTGGTGCCAGCTTTTACACCAAAACAACGTGTTTAGGTGGTTTGTATTCTGAAGGGAATGAGTCAGTTACACTTCAACATGTTCTATTTGGAATTCAGATTTCTCCAAAAGACATTCAGACATGTAAGATAAAGAAATTTTGCATTAGGGGCTAAGTTAGAGCCTCCCATTCTGAAGCTAGGGCATTAGTCTGAGAATGTTTCTCAATAACCTAGTTAAACATCAGGAAGGCAGGAAGGGTATAGATAGCAGAAGTACTAAGAGTTCTGTTTAGATTAGCTTTGTCGGTGATTTTCTTTGATAATCTAGCAGAAAAGTTATTCTATAATTATAGTATATAGCTTCTAGGTTGAATCTATTTTATTTGTAATATGGAATTTTTGTAAATTGCAGAATTCACATAAAATCTGTACCTCTCTTAAATCATAATGTTGGACATGGAGGTGCATAACTGTAATTGTAACACTTGACAGGCTGAGGAAGAAGGATTTGAATCCAGCATGGGCACAAGACCCTGTTTGAATTTGAATACAGCATGGACTATATAGCAAGATCTCATTTAAAAACAAACTAAAAGAAAAGAAACCTAAGAAAATTTTTTTAAGTTGGGTGCCATTAGAATACTATCTGGAGCTCAATAGCATCTGCCATCTAGAAAAAAGGCCATGTGCTCTTTTGTCTCAAAACATGCTCTATTTCCCCCTGACCTACTTGTCCATATATTCGTGAAGGATTTGAGTCCATGAGCCCCAATCTACCTTGGTCTTGATTCTCTTTTGCTTCCATTTTATTGAGTACTTTTCATATGCCCAGCCCTGTATTAATCATGCTCTGTTTATTGTCTTAATGACCACATTGTCCTGTAAGAGGAATTTTGTTTTATTTTACTTTTAAGGAAGTGAGTAACTCACCAAAGTTAACTAATACATTGTAGAATTGGAATTTTAGCCCAGATAAGTAGCTAAAGCTTTCAATCTACTCACCCTCATCTGTCCTGACTACCTGATGTGCTGTCTAGTGAAATAAAGAATTTGAAGTCCCTGAAAACATTTAAGTTGTAAATTCCTCTAACGTTGACCTTTTTACAATGTAGCATGAGAGGGAAAATTTCCAGGTGGTGATTTTATAGTAAATGTAGCTTCTTTTACTTCCTCACTTTCTTCCATGTTAAGGAAGCAGTTCTTATTTTATAGTACAAATAGTTAAAGCCTAGACTTCTATGAAGGTCTGAACCAACAATGAGAGTCTAGACCTTTAAGAGTATTTTGTCTGTTTTGAAGCATTCTTAAAAAGACTTAATATATTTTTCAGAAATTCAGCTTGCCTCCTCCAACATCTAATTTTCTTTTTGATATCATTGGGCTACAAAAGAAGAAATCAGCTAGAGGTTTCCTAGGACTACTGGAGGTATGACTTTAATTCTTGTTTGATATTTGTAAAAAGATGTCATGAATGTGGTAAAGTTTACTCTTGTAAGGGACAATAACAACAACAAAATCTTCAATTCTGATTAACTTAAACAAAAAAGTGTCTTTGTCTTTTTTTTTTTTGAAGAAAGAATTTTAAAGTGGGCAAGTGCCCAAAGAGGTTACACACCAGGAACCATTGGTTCATGCTTCAGAAACTGATTAACTTGGGTATCTAAGGATATTTGGATATCATTAATGTTGAAACTCAAAATTACTGTGAACAATTGTTTTCGGCAATCACTAAGTCTTTGTACCTACTAGGATATAGGTGGAAAGGAAGAACTTAGCTTTGACTAATGAAAGGGACATGGATATTATTCACATTGAAGAATAGATGGGAAATTTAATTGGTCCTACTTTTAGTACTATAGCTGTGACCTATAGGTACAGTAGTTAGAGCTTAAAGATACATAACCATGACAGCAGTGTTGTTCAGACCTGGCTACATCCTGTGACTAACTTACAGTTAACATTTATTTAGAAAGAATATGGGTTGTAGAATAGGAATTATCAAAGTTCAGACACAGTAAAAGTAAATATTGTCCAATAGTACTTCTTTGTGTTCAGAAATAATAGTTAAGCAACTGTATAATTGCACTGAGGCGACATAAAAAGGTAGGACTAACAGGCTGTTCCCTCCTACCTCCTTTAGAACTGTGTTTTCTAGTTTCCTTCGTCTTGGTGCTATCTTCTAATTTTGCTACATTCCCATTGTTCTCCTCCTAGTAGATGCCTATATCATATCTGCAGCTGTATTTGATTTAGCATACATTGTTGTTTAAATATCTCTGAGTCCATCATAGAGTATCATTTTAAGATCTGAGGTTCAGACAAGGGTCTTGAGTGGACAAGGCTGAAAGATACAGCTTATTGTGGATGCTGAGGGGAAGGAGGTGGTAGTGAAAGAAGCCAGGGATGCCACTTATGACTGTGTCTGCAGCCTTTGAGTTGGAGTAGTGATTTTATTCTGTAGGAATTAAGGAGCTAGAGGGGTTATGCTCATTGCTCTGTTCTCTTAAGATTTTATTTCATTTTTCCATCCTAAGTATATCCAAGTCCCCAAGGCATCGTCCATAGATCTCTCATCTTCCTTTAGTCTTTTCTTTGGAGTTTTCATCTATGTTTTCAAGTTTACTGTCTGTTTTCTATAGATGACTCCTGTGTCTTCATCTCTAGATTTGATGTCCTAGATTACAGTCTTTCATTGCAGCAGTTGCCTCCTGGACATTGTTTCTTGACTAGTTAACTTTCTTCTCAGTTACATCATAGCTAGAAACATCTTATCTCATCCATAAATAATAGGCTTCCATCTTCAATTTCCATGTTAGTACATTGTTTTCCTCTTTAGTCACCAGTCTTGAATTTTAGATTTCCTTTTATTTTGCTTCCCTGTCCCCATTCTGCATGGCTCATTCCTTTTACTCTTATAAATCTCTATTCAGATACCACTTTATCAGAGAGACCATCCCTGACATATAAACATGACAATGGCCATTTTCCTTGTCCAGTAATCCCTCTTCCTCCTCTCCTTTTACCTGTAGTTCTTATCCCTACTTGATATAGTAAATATTTATTTTTATTTATGTTTATAAATAAACACTTATTTCATTATTCATTGTCCATCTTCCCAACTGTAACTTAAATTCCACAGCAAATTTTATTATATACATAGCTAGAATAATGCCAATAAGCACTCATATATTTTCTTGATTGAATTAGTTTATGTTTAACATTTCTTTTGTATACTTTCCTATCTCTTCGGCCCTCTTACTGCATAGGCTTTAGTTAAAATATTTTTTGCCAGTATTACTGTAGCACCTTTCTAGTTTTGCTCTGCTCTATTTTTCACAAGTATTTGAGGTTAATATTTCTTAAGCTACTCTTTATATTTTGTTGCTTCCCTTCTCAGAAGCTTTTATTGTTCTCCACTATATATTGAGTGATGAAAAGTTCAAACTCTTGACCCTGGCATACCAATGGTGTATCATTTATCTCCACTCTCAACTTGACTCATAGATCTGTTTCTTTCTTACTGAACTGTCATTGGCAAGCCAAGTTCTGTACATTCTTGTCTAACTTGGTGTGCCCTCTTCTACTGTGATATGTTGGCTTTTGGGACTGTAAGGACCAAATGTCTGTCTTAATCAAAAAAGATAGTGTTTGGAGGATACATGTTGACTAGAAAGCCATCTGCAAGCTAAGTGCCTCCAGTGAAGAACTGTCTGTCCCTTTTCATAGCATCAGACAGACGAAGTTTTCAAACTGGTTGGTTCTCTTTATATTTTAGTTAAAATTCTAGACACAAGCAAGTGTGATCAACATAATTACCATTGTCCCATTTCAGAATGCAGTCCCACTTAAGAAGGTCCATGTACTTAACCTATTCACTGATCTCCCCTGGTTAAGGGCTGGTGTTGCTTGAGTAGATGGCAGGAGATTTAAGTAGATAAAGAGAAAATGGGCTGTTTGAATGGATAGGCACTATAACAGAGGTCTAACATACCATTTCTATTCTGCCTTCTCAAGATTTGGCACCTTGCTTCCTATCTTTAAGTATCTTTGACCACCTTAGATCTGAAGCACATTCTTCCTTTATCTTCTATAAAAAGCCTTATCATTTTAACACATTTGGAATTAATTGCCTCTGTTCTTGGTTTGTTCTAGTTTTATTTTTTGAGACAGGGTCTTACTATGTAGCCCAAGTTTGCTTTGAACTTGAGATCCTTTTGCCTCCTTCCCAAATGCTTGGATCACACATGTACCTCACCATGCCCAGCTTCTCTTCATGTTGTTATAACTATATGAAATCATATACACACACACCCTTTTACAAGTCAAAGATGAGTCATAATATCTTTTTGCCTTCACCATGCTTAACCTGTGTAAGAAGCATGCCCTCTAAGGTTTTTATTACTATTGAGGATGTGTATGTGTTTTTGTGTGTGTGTGTGTGTGTGTGTGTGTGTGTGATGTGAGTACAGGCACATTTGTGCCAAAGCGTGCACAGAAGTCGAAAGATCACTTCCAGGAATCAATTGCATCCTTCCACAGTGGGTTTCTAGATAGAATTCAGATCACCAGGCTTGTGCAGCAAGCACCTTTGTCCACTGAGCCATCCTGCTGGCCTCCGTGAGATGTGACACATTCTGATGCACATCTTTGCACTACCTTTGTTGTTTCAGGACCTTTAGTTTCTGCCATTTTAAAATCCAGCATCAACCTGCAGAATGACCACGTCATTCAAAAGTATGGCTGTGAGAAAGTGGGCTTGAATAGATGCCTTCTGACACAAGAGGAAATGAAAACATTTCACTTTCCACTACAAGGTTTGCTTAAACTTACTTAATCTAATATCACTAACTTCATTCAAATACTTTTGTTGAAAATCATTTTTTCTGGATGCTTTTGGGATAGCTTATTTATTCCATCTTGTAATGTGGAAATATTTTTAGTGTGGAATGTGGAAAAATGATGATGTTAGATTATACATAAAGGTTATAAATATCAGTAAAATGTTAATAAGAATGTTCCTTTTGTTTCTTTTTTTTTTTTATTTCTCTTTAGTATACTAGAAAGAATCAGTATTTCTTTAGCATTTTAAGATTTTTCCAAGCTGAGGCAATGCCTCAGTTGATGCATAAAGACCATAATTCAGATCCCTTCTACCCATGCTGGAGATGGCCCCTTGCTTATACTTCAGTACTCTGGAGGTGGACACAAGGGATCCCTGCAGCAAGCTGGCTAGTCAGATTAGCCCAATTGTCAATTGTCTCAGTTCCAATGAGAAACCCAGTTTCAGGACATAAAATAGAAGGCAATCAAAGAGAACAACAGATGTCAGTCTCTGGACTCCAGACACATGTACCCACAAACATGGAAACATGAACATACACAGGCACAGCATACACTGTACATAGTAGACCAAAAACCTTCTTCAGTATGTTAAACCTTCTTCATTGTATCCCTCTTTTTAGAAAGCAAATAGGCAAACAAAACAAACTAGCCATAATGATAATGATAATAGTGATAATAATAATGAAATCAAATAAAAAACTCAAGAAATACATTTACACACACACACACAAAAAAAATCCACAAAAACACAAAATCAGAAACTTGAATGTATGCTCAAAAGGTCAGACAAAAATGCCCAAACCAAGCACTAAGAGACAAAACATCTACAAAATACCATTGAGTTTTTTTGTGTTGACCGTCTACTGCTGGGCCTGGGGCCTACCCTTAAGTGTGGTGAATATATCCAGTGACATTCCATTGAAGAAAACTGATTTTTCCTTTGCAAGCAGATGTCACTTGAGAATAGCTTCTTAGAGGTGGGAGCCCTTGTCCACTTCTCCTGTCAGCTCTGGGACCCCATCAATTAGAACTTGTGCAGGCCCTGTGCTTGCTGTCACAGTCCTTTCATATACATACATATTTTAAGATGCTTTTACAGTAATAGGTTTCCATATGACCTCTCAAATGGCCCTTAGTATACCCCTCCCCATATGCCCTCCTTTACCCCTCTCTTCCATCTCTTTCCCTGTTTATCCTCCTGCACCAATCCGCCATCATCTCTCCATAACTATATTGATTTCCCTTCTGCTGGGGGAATGTCTTTCTGTGCGCTGCGAATATGTGTTGCTCTGATTGGTTGATTAATAAGCCGTTTGGCCTATGGCAAGGCAGCTTAGAGGCAGACGGGAAATTCAAAGAGAGAGACAGGAAGAAGGCAAGGGAGATACCAGCCAGCTGCCCAAGGAGCAACATGTAATGGTATGTAGGTAAAGCCACGAAACATGTGGTGATGCATAGATTAATAGTTATGAGCTAATTTAAGATATAACAGCTAGCTAGCAAAAGGCTTGAGCCATGGCCATGCAGTTATAATTAATATAAGCCTCTGTGTTTACTTGGGGGACGTGAGTGGGAGATATTTGTTCCGACTGCCGGTAGGCCAGGACACAGGAAATCTTCTGGCTACACCCTTCCTTGGGAAATCCTCCCCTCCGGCTAGTCTCTTACTCCATACCTAACCTCTATGAATATACAGATTATAGCACACTTATGGAATACTTAAAAGCTAACATTCATATGTAAGAGAAAATATACTGTATTTGTCTTTTGGGGTCTGGGTTATACCTCATTCATTATTTTTTTTCTAGCTTTTCCATTTACCTGCATATTTCATTGTAGATGTAATTCTAAACAGTTTTATTAAATAAGAAACACAGAGACAAATAAAGAGTTAAAAGCCCAAGAGGTCAGAGCACTAACGAATAGCCTTTAGCTTACCAGCTGCTGCCGTCCTTCCCCTGAGAGAGAGAGAGAGACCTTCTCCTGTGTGACCCGTCTTTTTATTGCCTTTCTGTTCTGCCTTCTCATTGGTTCTAAACCCAATCACATGACTTCCTTGTCACTGCCTGTCTATACAGACCTCCAGGTCTCTGTGGTTGGTACTTGGATTAAAGGTGTGTGTCACCATGCTGGCTGTGTCCTTGAACACACAGAGACTTTGCCTGCCATATGATTGGATTAAGGGCATGTGCTGCCACCACCTGACTTCTGTTAAATGGCTTGCTATTAGCTCTGACCCCCAGGCAGCTTTATTTATTAATATACAAATAAAATCACATTTCAGCACAAATAAAATATCACCATATTTTATAATTTACATTTTTAACAGCTGGATAATACTCCATTGTGTAAACTACATTATCATTATGCAGTCAATCATTGATGGATATCTAGGCTGTTTGCAATTTCTGGCTATTGTGAATATGGCTACAATGAGCATGGATGAGCAGATACTTCTGTGATAGGATATCGAGTCCTTTGGGTATATGCCCAAGAATGGTACAGCTGATTTTAAGGTAGATCTAGTCTCAGCTTCCTAAGGAACTGCCACTCTGATTTCCACAGTGGCTGTACAAGTTTGTACTCCCACCAGCAGTGAATGAGTGTGCCCCTTACCTAACATCCTTGCCAGCATGAGCTGTCATTTATTTTAGTAATCTTAAGCTTAATTTGCACAAGAAACAGGCACCTACCAGCTGCTCTGGCCATGGCACAGGTCTTCATTGAGTCTGTGGGAAAGTTTATACCACCCCGTAGTCAATAAAAAGGTTGATTAACTTTTCTGTTAGTTTCTCAGGGTAAACGCAAGCAATAAATCTCTAAGCTAAATCTTGTGTTAATAAACTGAGGTGAAAGTAAGTAACAAGGAATTAAGAATTTAAGGTTTGCCGGGCGGTGGTGGCGCACGCCTTTAATCCCAGCACTCGGGAGGCAGAGCCAGGCGGATCTCTGTGAGTTCGAGGCCAGCCTGGGCTACCAAGTGAGTCCCAGGAAAGGCACAAAGCTACACAGAGAAACCCTGTCTCGAAAAACCAAAAAAAAAAAAAAAAAAGAATTTAAGGTTAGTGAGGTTAGCACAGGATGCTTATCTTATCTGTAGGCAAGATGAAGCCAGGGCACATTTTTACCCTATCTAAGGGTTGAAAATCAACAATTACATGTGTAATTCTTTGTCCTTGAATGTCTGAAAATGTCTCAAATGAAATACTTTGTCTGGAAACTGACACTGACTAAATACCTGCTAATAAAGATAATTGCAGGAAGGCAGACTCTGAGTTTATGTTGGTAAAAAGGAGCAAAGACCGGATTGTGGGAAGGAGGATTTTTGACTGCATAACTGTTTTCTCACATAACTAGAAGAAGTTATCAATATACCTCAAATGCATAGGGAAATTGTGCCCGATAAATGATCAATCACACTGCTAAAAGCTTTTGGGAGATGAATCCTAAGGTTGTAACAGATGGAAAGGCTACAACTTCACACAAGAAATTCAATGTAGGAAACAACCAGTACATTCCAAAGGTAATAACACCAAACGCCTTCCATTTTGGTTTAACTCCTCCATCAGAATCCTTGACTCCGGTGGGTTGACCTTTTGAATACTAGTTGTCACCTGCTGTATACTCCCATGGCCTTTTGCTACCAGAAGCTCTCAATAAGTTTCTCTCCATTTAGGTTGATGATGTTGCCTGTGAGCTTGGTGTAAATTGCCTTTATTGTATTGAGGTTTGTCTCTTGTGTCCCTAGTCTCCCCAGAACTTTTATCATGAAGGGATATCAGATTTTGTTAAAGGCCTTTTTCTGCATCTAATGAGATGATCATATGGATTTTTGTATTTCATTCTGATTATTTGGTAGATTATGTTTATCAATTTATATACATTGAACCATCCCTGCATCACTTGGATGAAGTGTACTTGATCATGGTAGGTGATCTTTTTGATGTGTTCTTGTATTCTGTTTGCAAGTGTATTACTGAGAAATTTTGTATCTGTATTCATAAAGATTAGTCTATTTTCTTTCTTTCTTGAGTTTTTGTGTGGTTTAGGTATCAGGGTAATTGTAAAAATTGTGTAAAAAGAGTTAGGAAATGTTCCTTCAGTTTCTATTTTGCAGAATAATCTGGAGAATATTGGCATTAAGTCTTCTTTGAAGGTCTGGTAGAATTCTGTGCTGAATTGGTCTGGCCTTGGGCTTTTTAGTGGCTGAGAGACTTTAATTGCTGCTTCTGTTTCACTAAGGGTTATAGGTTTGTTTAAATTGCTTATCTGATCTTGATTAAACATTTATAGGTTGTATATATCAAAAAATTCATCCTTTTATTTTTCCACTTTGGTGGAGTGCATATCTGTAAAGTATGTCCTTAGGATTCTCTGGATTTTCCTGGTGTCTATTGTATGTCCCCCTTTTTGTCTCTAGTTTTATTAATTTGGATCTTCTCTGTTTGTCTTATAGTTAATTTGGCTAAGAATTTATCAATCTTATTGTTTTTTTCTCAAAGAAACAACTCTTCATTTCATTCATTTTTTGTATTGTTTCTGTTTTCTTGATTGTAGCCTTGAGTTTGATTATTTTTTGCTGTATACTCCTCTACTTCTTTTGGGCATTATTCTTTTTGTTTTAGGACTTTCAGGTGTGCTGCTAAGTTGCTAATATGAGATCTCTCCAAACATTTTATGTAGGTACTCAGTGCTCTATGAATTTGCCCCTTAGAACTGCCTTCTTTGTTCTGTACTTTTAGTGTTTTGATTATTATGTGTTGTGGGGAAATTTTTTTCTGGTCCTATCTATTTGGTATTTTGTATGCTTCTTTTACCTTGATAGGCATGTCTTTCTTTAGGTTGGGGAAATTTTCTTCTATAATTTTGTTAAGAATATTTTCCATCTCTTTGGCCTGAGTTTCTTCTTCCTTTATTTCTATTATTTGTAGCTTTGGTCTTTTCATGGTGTCCCAGATTTCCTATGTTTTAGGTCTATCTATCTATCTATCTATCTATCTATCTATCTATCTATCTATCTATCTATCTATTTATTCTTTCATTCATTTATTTGATTTAACATTTTCTTTGACTAAAGTATTCTACCCTGTTTTTAACACCTGAGTTTCTTTTTTCCATATCTTGTAATCTATTGGTGAGCCTTATTTATGAGGTTTTTGTTTGACTTTCTAAATTTTTCATTTCCAGTTTTATTTCAGTTTAGGTTTTCTTTAGTGATTCAGTTTCTTTGTTAGATTCTACTTCCATGTTGTAAATAGTTTCCATTACTTAATTCCACTATTTGTGTTTTCACAGACTTCATTAGAGAATTTATTCCTATACTCTATGGTCTTTGAACATACTCACACTTTCTGCTTTAAAGCCTTTATGCTTTAGTCATATTGCATTTCTTAGGACCTACTATAGAGTTTCTGGCTTCTAGTGGAGGCATATTATCTTGACTATTAATGATTAGGTCTTTGTGATGCTATTTAGGCATCTGAAGTTAGAATGATTGAGGTGATGCTAGGTGTTGATGTTTTTGTTGGGTGATTTTTTTCCATCCTTGGTTTCTGTTACCCTCTCTGAATCTTAGGTAAGTCTGTCTGCTGCCTAAAAGAGTGTGCTTCTGAAGATCAGTGTGTCGAAGAGGGGAATAGAAATAGAAAAAGAGGGAAGACAGATACTAGGAATGGCAGGGGCTTTTGAAACTGCAAGGCCTGCCCCCTATGACACACTTCCTCTAACAAGGCCACACCCCTAAGCTTTCAAAAATAGTTCCAGCAATTGAGGACTAAGCATTCAAATATAAGCTTATGGCAGCCATTCTCATTCAAACCATATACCCTGAGACAGCCACCAACCAATTTTCTTTTTATATAGATTTTATAGATTTACTTATTCTGGGTATTTTATATAAATGGAGTAGTGCAATGTGTGTGTGTGTGTGTGTGTGTGTGTGTGTTTAAACTGGTTTCTTTCACTTTACGTGTATTCAAGTTTGATCTGTGCTGTACTCTGTATTGGTACTTCATTTCACTTCAGTTCCTGATGATAACCCAAGCATAATCATGTTGTAAATGCATTTATTCATCATGTGGAAGATATTTGAATTGTTCCTGTGTTTGGATTTTATGAATAGTGCTGCTCTGAACATTTAAGTACAGGACTTTCGTGTGGCTGTGTAATTGTTGGACCACATGGTAGCTTTCTGACTTAAGTTTTGATGAATTATAAAACTATTTGCCAAAACAGCTGCTATGCCATTGCACATTCTTCTTAGTAACGTGTGAGTTCCACGCACCCTTACCGGTACTTAGTATTATCTGCCTTTTCATATTGAGGCTGTGAAGTGCTGCCTTGTGAGCCTCATCTGCAGTGCCCTGACAGCTGATGATTTTGAGCATCTTTTCATATATCTTTGGCAAATTATCTTTTGGGGACCTTCGTCCAACTTTAAATTGGACTCTGTTTTTATTACTGAATTCCTGGAATTCTTTATTTATTTTGGATGTAAAAATTTACTTTTAAGTTAAAAGAACAAGCCATCTGTGAAATGGAGTTAAAATTTAGTTCATATATCATAGGATTGCCATAGGATTAAATCAGTTAATGTGGGCTGAAGAGGTGGCTCAGTGAGTAAGAGCACTGACTTGTCTTATGTGGAGACAGAGTCAAAATTGGAGGTCTCCATCAAATCGCTCCCCTCAGAGCTCAGGGAATCCCACAGGATAAGAAGCAGAAAGATTCTAAGAGTCAGAGGGAGTGGAGTCTATCAGAAGAACAATGCCTTCTATTGAATCAACTAAGCAAGGCAAATATGAGCTCACAGAGATGGAAGCAGCAAACACAGGGCCTATACCAGATCCTCAGCATATATGTATGTATGTACTATATGTATATAATAATTATATATATAGTAACTATTAGCTTAGTATTTTCATGATACTTCTGACTGCAAGAATGAGTGGGTGTCTGATTCTTGGGCCTGCCTTTTGGACTCTTATCTTCCTTTAGGGTTGTTGTGTCCAACTTCAATATGATAGCTTTTCCTTCATCATACTATATTTCATGTTGTCATATTTGGTTGTTATCTCTTAGAAATCTGTTCTTTTCTAATGAGAGACAGAAAGTGAGTGGATCTGGAGGGGATGTGGAGAGGAACTTGGAGGAGTAGAGGGAGGGGAAATTATAATCAGGATATATTGTATGAGAAAATAATCTATTTTCAATAAAAAATTTTTTAAATGAACATTACTAGTGGCTACACAATTGAAAAAAATGTCTCTCCCTCCCCTAGCAAATATTAACTGCCTGTAGATCTTCATGGAGGATACATTTTAATACTTTTAATTTCAATCAGTTGGAAATTTCTGGTTATTAGGAGGCAAAAAAAACTATTCCAAAGGTTTCATAGTCTTTAATTCTTGTCAAATAAAATCTGCATACTACTTTAGCTGCTTCAGTAACTGTGTGAGGGTAGAAATCTTTAATGATTCAAATGTTTTGGATCCCTGAGCTATGTGTGCCTGGTTGTTATCTTAGTGTGTATAATGGAAAGAGTTCCCTGAACCTGCATTGAACCTCTAGAGGGAATTTTCAGGTTATGATTCCAAGAAGTTGAAGAACATTTCTAGATAGTGACTTCAGGGAAATCTCAGGGATAGAGTTGGGTTTAAGTGCACACACTTAAAGTTACTCAGACTTTCTGCCTGTTACATACTCTTTTTAGATGTCCATTATGGTGAATAAATCTCTTTCCTATTTTCACTTGCTTAATTTAGAAAAGAAAAATGCCACATGGAGTCATTTGCATATGTTATTCCTTCTCTCCTAGTACATACATGGGAAGTGTCCAGTAACTTTGGGTTTAATTCTTTCTCATAAGAAGAAAGAATGTTTGCTTGGTAACCAGGAAGTCTAGGCCCCAGGCCCTCTAAAACAGCATCTACAATATTCATTCAGAATTAACAATAGATGGAGAAAAACTTAACCAGAGAGGTTGCTTCTTGTTTAGTCTTTATAATTCAAGTAACACAGAGAAAGTTCCCAGTAAATATGTTATTTGAGTTTCCCTGGATTACACAGCTCAGGGATCCAAAACATTTGAATCATTAAAGATTTCTACCTTCACACAGTTACTGAAGCAGCTAAAGTAGTATGCAGATTTTATTTGACAAGAATTAAAGACTATGAAACCTTTGGAATAGTTTTTATGTTTTTTATATTCAATAAATAGCTCCAGTAAGCCAGGTGTGTTGGTGCATGCCTTTAATCCCAGCACTCAGGATGCAGAAGCAGACAGAATTCTGTGAGTTCGAGGCTAGCCTGGTCTACAAAGTGAGTTCTAGGACAGCCAGGGCTGTTACACAGAGAAACTCTGTCTCTAAAACCAAAAATTAAAAAAAAAAAAAAAGGTAGCTCCAGTAAGTATTTACTTCCTTTTCTTCCTAGATTCTCCTGACTGTGAAAACTTTATCCTTACCAAGTGTGATGGTTCCATAACAGATAGTAGTCTCCTCTTTGGACTTGACTCTGAAATGGTAAGTAATACTTTGATTTGTTTGGAGCATGTTGCAAACTATAGTGTAAGATGATTTCTTGAGTTCAATGAACCAGTGAACCCACGCCTTTCTTAGTTTAAATAGCTGAGAGTAGGCCCCTTGGGAGAATACTTGGATCTATATTCCAAATGAAAAATTGTCTTAAGTTTTCTTTGTTTTGTTTTTTTTTGTTTTTGTTTTTGTTTTGTTTTGTTTTGTTTTGTTTTGTTTTGTTTTGAGACAGGGTTCCTCTGTGTAGTTTTGGTGCCTGTCCTGGATCTCACTCTGTAGATCACACTGGCCTCGAACTCACAGAGATCAGCCTGGCTCTGCCTCCCAAGTGCTGGGATTAAAGGAGTGCGCCACCGCCGCCCGACTAGTCTTAAGTTTTCTAAGTAGTTTCTAACACATTACCAGAAAATATTGGTTTTTTGAACAGATATTCTATTCTGTGGCTGCCATGAAGATTCTGCCTTAATTACTATGTATAGCTGGAGTTTTCTCCAGTCCTGCCTGGCCCTTGGTCAGGACAAATCTCTCTCACCCGCCAGTCCTGCAGCCACTTAGACCCAACCAAGTAAGCACACAGAGACTTATATTACTTACAAACTGTATGGCCATGGCAGGCTTCTTGTTCTCTAATTCTTATATCTTAAATTAACCCATTTCTACTAATCTATAAGTTGCCACATGGCTTGTGGCTTACCGGTATCTTTACATGTTACTTGTCATGGCAGCAGCTGGCAGCATCTCTCTAACTCAGCCTTCCTGTTCCCAGAATTCTCTTCTCTCCTTGTCCCGCCTATACTTCCTGCCTGGCTACTGGCCCATCAGTATTTTATTTATTAACCAATCAGAGCAACACATTTAACATACAGAACATCCCACAGCAATTATGGGCTTAGATTTTGCACATTGAAGATAAGAAACAAGATTTCCCTGCTAATTTAATAATTCTTCCAAAGACAAGTATATCCTTTTCCTGTAGTACTGTCAAATAGTTTTGATTCTTGTTAGTTTGTATACTAGTCTTGTCTCTTAATGACTGTCACTTTGAGTCCCCTAACCCCTTTCTGCCTTAGTTTTTCCTCCTATGAAGTGGATAATAATTAAGGCTATGCTATAAATTTAGAATGTGCTTAGTAAAAGTGGTGGTTCTTAGCCATAATGCTGGGTAATACATATTCTATCGATGATAGGTGCAATTATGATTGATACTATTATCTTCGTTTAAAAAATAAGTAAAACAAGATCTCCCTATATAGCTCAAGTTGACTTTGAACTTTTGATCTTGCTTTAGCTTCCCTAGCCATTTATCTTCCTCAGAAAAACATTTTCCAGAGCAATTGTATTGCATTGCTTCCATTAAACATAATGTTAAGCAAATATCCCAGCTTCAGTTTCATTCATCCTGGATCTGTTAGTAAGCAAGCATCTTTGCAGTTGCTGGCAGGAATCTTGGTAGCTGAGGGTAGGTGGTAGCTGATACAGTGTACATAATAAGAGGAAGCAATGGCTTGTGCAGTTCAGCAGTATTTTGTGTTTTAGTGCCTTACATCCAAGGGGAGAGAACTAACACACATCTCACTGGTTGCTGAAGGAGGCCATTGTATTATGGATGAACTGGTTAAACCTGACTTCAAGATTCTGGACTACCTTACTAGGTATTTTGTTTTGTTTTTCAAGACAGGGTTTCTCTGTGTAGCAGCCCTGGCTATCCGGGAACTTGCTCTATAGACCAGGCTGGCCTTGAACTCACAGAGATCCACTTGCCTCTGCCTCCCAAGTACTAGGATTAAAGGCATGTGCCACTACCGCCTGGCACTAGGTATTCTTTTACCTCACCCAATTATGGTTCTTCCTATAACCATTCCAGAATGGAATATGACTTAACAGGAATGGCCCACAACTTCGGCTTCCTGGGTTTTATCTATTTATTTTCTCATAAAAGGTTAAGTCAACACCTGCATATATCTTAATGCTGAAATTACATTATGTCAATGTATTATACTTTTACCCTGTTCTTTTAATCTTATTGTCAGCAGAATATTATCTGCCTTATCTTAGAGTCTTGCAGTTATACTTGTTTTCTAGCAACTGCCACATAGTTGGAGAAGAGATTTTGTGTTCTGGCCAGACCTTGCTTAAGTATCTGTAAACAATTAATTGGCAGTCAAATGATCCTAATGCTTATCTATCTTGACTCCCCAGCAAATGTTTTCCATAACATAAAATCTGAAACCCTAAATTTAGTCTGTATCCCACCCCCCTTCTTAAGACAGAGTCTCACTATGTAGACTGGTATTCTAGTTAGGGTTTCTGTTGCTGTGAAGAAACACCATGACCACAGCAACTCTTATAAAGGAAAACATTTAATTGGGGTGGCTTGCTTAACTTTAGAGGTTTAGTCCATTATCGTCATGGTGGGAAGCAAGGCAGCATGCAGGCAGACATAGTGCTGGAGCTGAGATTCCTTACATCTTCATCCAAAGGCAGCAGGAAGTGAATTGTCTCACTGGGTGTGGCTTGAGCATATATGAGACCTCAAAACCTGCCTCTACAGTGACAAACTTCCTCCAACAACAAGACCACACTTCTCATTAGTGCCACTCCCTTTGGGGGCCGTTCTCTTTCAAACCATACCTGGCTTGGCATTTGCTACATAGACCAGGCTAGCCTTGAACACAGAGATCTACTAGCCTCTGCCTCCTAAGTGCTGGGGTTAAAGTCATGTACCACCACACATGACCAATTTTAGTCTTTTAATTTTTATTTTTGCCAAGATCAGCATAAAACTTCAGAAGTACATGGTGACTGGGCAAAGAAAGAACCAGTATAACATTACTTTCATTGGCTGAAGTTGTACCCATGCATTCATGTTTACTTAGGCATAGAGAGACCATGTTAATGATATAGGCTGTTCTATTAGCAGACCTGATAATTAGATAGTATTTCTAGAAAATAGTCATATCCTGCAAAAAGGTAGGTGAAAGCATGTTTGTCATAGTATTGTAAAAAGATGAGAATATAAATGTCTTTTTAAAAGACATTGCAAATGTCAAATTAGAGGATAAGTTTTTAAACAACTACAAAATAGAATCTCTTACCATTTAAAAGGATATACTAAAATTCATTTATTGACGTTCGAATGTAATCACAAAACAGCACATATGAAATATATCTATAAATATATATATACCAAAAAGTGGAAGGATATTTACTAAAATGGAAAAAATTATAATCCTTGGATAATTAAGTTATGGCTTTTTTTTATTGTTGTTGTTGTTTATTTTAATTCTAGCATTTCTCCCTTCCCTTTGCTCCCTCTCTGCTCTCCTTCTCAAATTCTTGGCCTATTTTTTGCATCAGTTGTTACTGATGTGTGCATATATGTATTGGTATATACCTATAAATTCTCAAATACAACCTGTTGAGTCCATATAATGTTATCTGTAAGTATTTTTTCAGGGTTGTCTGTTTGGGCACTAGACAACCCATTCATAAGCTCTTCCCTGGAAAGGGCCATCTCTTCCACTCTTATAGGTGTAGTTTTTCTGTGTCCCTGCAGTCATTCCCAGATAACCACAAGAGACTTGTATTAATTGTAAATGCTTGGCCTATACCTTAAGCTCATCTCCAGCCAGCTCTTACAACTTAAATTAACCCATTTTTATTAATCCACATTCTGCCACGTGGCATTGCCTCACTTTTGTCTTGCTCCTCCTGTTTCCTCTCTGTGTCTGGCTGATGACTCCTCTGACTCTGCCCTTCATTCCAGTGTTCTCTCCGCAAAATCCTGCCTAGGCCAATCAGCTTTTTATTAACAATGAGAGCAATACATATTTACAGTATATAAAGATTGTTCCACAGCACACTCCCAGCTTTCCTCATTTGCCTTTTGTGTAGGGTTAAGGCCTCATGGTCTTTTCCCCCGTGCAATTTGGCATGTTCATGGGTACCTTCTTGTTAAACTCACATTCGGGCAGTCATGTTGGTGAGACTTTATGGGTGTAGCTTCTGACATTACCCAGAGGAACATCTCACAGCAAAATCCCTGATCAGCTCTTACAATCTTTCTACCCTCCTCTTCCACAATGTCCCCTGAGCTTAGATATGTGAGTGTTCAATAAATGTATCCATTGGGACTGGGCTCCACAACTCTGTGTTTTGATTGGTTGTGATTTTCTGTAGTGGTCTCTGTCTCTTATAAAGAGAAGTTTCCTTGATTAGAGGTGAAGACTATACTTGTCTGTTTGTATAAGGACAAATATTTATAGATTGTTGTTAGAGATTATGCTGGTTTAGTAAATTAGTGGTTGTAGATTCTCCTCCAATAACCATGACATCACTAACATCGTTTAGTTAGCTAGGTTTCCAGTACCAGGCATATCTCTCTTGTTGAGTGGGTCTTAAGTCAATTAGAGAGCAGTTGATTACCGCCAAAGTCTGTGTGGCACGACTACACCCATAGGGTTATTCTACCATGCTCCTTGTTGACATGGTTCACATGCATCATAGCTTGGTAGTACGGTTGGTTGCCTATCTCCCTTGGCAGCTTGCATGCACCTTCTGGTACCATGAAAGCTAGTCCTCAGGGATGGGGATTCAGGTCAGTTCCAGCTCAGGGGCTTCTGGGTCCTGTTTCTGAAATACATGGTTTCTTCAGCCATAGGGACTTACCTCCTGTCTCAAGGGGAAATCAAGGGCAACAACAATAGGCTGTATGTTATTGGAGTCTCTTAGACAGCTTTGGCTAACAACTTAAAAAAGGGCTTCTCATTTCTTGCATTGGGGTTTTTATTAGGTGGTCTTTGGCCCTTGGAGAGAGCACCTTCAGCCCAAATGAGAAAAGTTATATTTATACACTGAATTATGTGCATCAGAGGTTTGTTTGTTTGTTTGTTTGTTTTTTAGGTAAATAATTAATAAGATGGTTCCTTGTGGCCTTTTCAGCTGTCCATATTGTTATTTTTCCTCCCTTCCCCCTCACTAAGGAGGTCTCCCCTTTCCCATTTCCTTAATCACATCATTTATATCTACCATTCCCCTTTACCCTCTTTCCATCCTCTTCTGTATTTACCTCCTCCACCTCTAAGGAGCCCCCATGCCTTTTATTACCCAATCAGATTCTCTGTACCCTGCTATTCCCCTTTGCTCCCCAACCTCCCTGTGCTGGCAGTAGTTCCGTTTTACTCTCCTGGTTTCTGTAATTAGTACAAGGCTATGTACTCACATCTGAAGATTTGGAGCTAGGAGCTTCCAATAAGAGAGAGTGTGCAATGTTTGTCTTTCTGAGTCTAGGTACCTCACTCAATATGATCTTTTCTAGGTCCATCCATTTATCTGCAGCGTTCATGATTTTGTTTTTCTTTACAGCAGAATAGTATTCCATAGTGTATGTGCACCATATTTTCATTATCCATTTGTAAGTAGTAGGGCATGTAGATTGTTTCCATTTTCTAGCTATTGTGAATACAGCAGCAGTGAACATGGCTGAGCAAATATCTGTGGAATAGGATGTCATGTCCTTTGGGTATATTCTAAGGAGTGGTATAGCTGGGTCATTTAGTAGATTTATTTTTAGCTTTTTGAGAATTCTCCACACTGGTTTCCACAGTAGCTGTAGCAGTTTGTAATGCTATCAGCAGTGAATGAGGGCTCCCTTTCCCCACATCTCCTCCAGTATTTGTTGTCCATTGTTGATATTTGCTTTTCTGAGTGGGGTAAGATGAAATCTCAAACTTACTTGGATTTTATTTTCTTAGTTGCTAGGGCAGATGAACATTTTTAAGATGTTCTTTTGAGAATTCTCTATTCAGGTCCTAGGCCCATTTTTTTTAAAATGGGTTCTAGTTTTGTTGTTGTTTTGTTTTGTTTTTTCAGTCTTTATTTTTTGATTTCTTTGTATATTCTGGATATTAAACCTTTGCCAGATATATAGCTGGCAAAAACTCTTTTCTTATTCTATGGGCTTCCTCTTCACCCAGTTGATTGTTTCTTTGACTCTGCGAAGCTTTTTAGTTTTATGAAGTCCTGATTGTCCATTGTTGACCTTAATTCTTGGGTAAATGGAGCCCTATTCAGGAAGTCCTTTCCTACATCTACATCGTGTATAGCACTGCCCATGTTTTCCTCTAGAAGTTTATGGTTGATTTTTTTTTTTAACTTCTCTGCTTATTTGGATCTTCAGCTTTTTCTATAATAGATGTATTAAGTATAATTTATCAAAGTGTTTCCTTGGAAAAAAGCTGATATTTTAGTCTGTCTATTTCTCTTTAAAGTTTTTCAGAAATCACAAAGAAGATTCTTAACCCAGTGACAACCAAATTCAAAGATGTACAGAAGCTGTTAAGAGAACTGCTTCCTCCTGATGCTGTGTTAGTGGGCCATTCCCTAGACTTGAATCTCAGAGTATTGAAAGTGTGTATCTGCTTTAAGATTTTATTATCTAATAAAAAAAGCATGTTCCATTTATCTAAGATGTAAAGACTTGGCTTCTTGACTCCCAACCCTCTTCCCTGTTTTTTTCCTTTAGCGTAAGATGCTATTTACTCATTCTCTTTCCTCTCCAGGTGACACATCCATATGTTATTGATACCTCATTGCTTTATATCAGGAAGCAGGGCAGAAGGTTTAAGCTAAGATTCTTAGCCAAAGTTATTTTGGGGTAGGTTTATACATGTTATAATGCTGTCCTAATACATTGTACATAAATCAATATGCATTATCCAGTTCAGTCTTGGTTGTCTTCTTAATTTATAAACATTACTCTCTCCAGTTCTTATGAAATGAAGAAATTAAGGGAATACAGTTGGACTTGACAGGGTAGGCATATAATCTCAGCTATTTTGAAGGCAGAGGTAGGAGATTCTCAAGCTTAAGGATTTCCTGGTCTCTAAATTGAGTTTAAGGGTATCTTGAGCAACTTAATGAGACCCTGACTAAATATGAAAAGTTTAAAAACAAATGTGTTTGGGTGGCAAGATGACTCAATAGGTAAAGGCATTTGTTGCCAAGCCTTATGACCTGTGTTCCATCCCTGGAAGAACTGACTCCCATAAGTTGTCCTCTGCCCATCCCCCAACCAAACACACACACATAGTACACACCTACACACATAAACAAACAAATGTAATTTTAAAAAATTTTGAAGGGCTGGAGAGATGATAGCTCAGTGGTTAAGAGTACCAACTGCTCTCCCAGAGGTCCTGAGTTCAATTCCCAGCAACCACATAGTGGCTCACAACCACCTGTAATGAGATCTGGTGCCCTCTTATGGCCTGCAGGGACACATGCAGGCAGAATACTGTATACATAGTAAATAAATAAATCTTTAAAAATAAAATTTTTGAAGCGGCCGGGCGGTGGTGGCACACGCCTTTAATCCCAGGGAGGCAGAGGCAGGGGATCTTTGTGAGTTCGAGACCAGCCTGGTCTACAGAGCAAGATCCAGGAAAGACACAAAACTACACAGAGAAACCCTGTCTCAAAAAACAAAAACAAAATTTTTTTTTTGAAGGAAGTTGGTGATAGAACATTTCCATATCATTTATAAAGTCGAGGTTCAGTCCCTAGTACCCTGGAATTTCAAAATGTAGCATACTTATATTGAATATATCTTGTAGTTTTGAAGCATATAAGTGCATGTTCATTATAACATGGCTCAAAATGAAAAGAAAAATTGTAGAGGACTGATTAAATTACAGTTATTTGTGTTATTATTCAAAGGAATGTGATGGATCTGTATATGCTAGTGTGGAAAACCCTAAGATAATTATTTAGAATGAAATAGAGTTGCTGAGAAGGATCTTTATATAGATATTGATATAATAGATTAGGTGTAGTAGGTATATTGACATAAATATATGCATATTTAAGTTTTTCATACACAACCAAGAAGATATTTAAATTATAAATACTTGCATATGAATCAAAATCTTCTGGAAGGAAACTGTTGATACATCTAAGAGTGGGCTAGAGACTTCATTGGCTAATCTTTAATTACTGTGGTGTACTTCCTGTGGTCAAAGCCATTCCAAGTTGTTCTGGATGTGCAGCACCTCTTTTGAGGCCTGGGAATTGAGCGGAGAAAAGGGATCTTGATAGTTGTGATATAAATCTGATTATTACAATGGTGAAACTTTATATACTGTGATTAAAAGAAATAATCATTAAAAATATTCCCAGATACATACATTTCATCTTCATTTCTAGGAAGGACATACAGTGCCCAGACAAGCTTGGTCATGATACCATAGAAGATGCTAGAACAACTCTTGAATTAGCTCAGTATTTTCTTAAGTACGGGCCAAAGAAAGTTAGTGTCTTTGACCAGTACTTTTGGCTTTCTTAATATTATAGGATTGGATCAGACATCCATTGTAGCTAAATGTTTTCCTGTGTCCCACCCGATCCGCACCTGCTCAGACCCAAGTAAATACACAGAGGCTTATATTAATTAAAACTGCTCAGCCATTAGCTCAGGCTTACTACTGACTAGCTCTTATACTTACACTGAGCCCATTCCTGTTAATCTATATGTCTCCACGTGTTCTGTGGCTTTACCTGTTTGCCATTACATGCTGTTCCCTGGACGGCGGACTGGCATCTCCTAACTCAGCCTTCCTCTTCCCAGAATTCTCCTTGTCTGCTTATCCTGCCTATACTTCCTGCCTGGCTACTGGCCAATCAGCATTTTTTTATCAACCAATCAGAGCAACACATTCACAGCATACAGAACATCCCACAGCAATCCATAGATCATTATTTCTGTTCTTACCTTTCTTTACAAAACTAGCAATGTGATTAAGGTTAGAATTAAGACCTGTATCACTAACATAATATACTAAGTATATACAGCCTCTGAAGTTGGGCTTATCTATTTTTAAGTGTAGGCTATTCAGTATCTAGTTATATCAACTGGCAGTTGCTCTGAATAACTTGTTTCTAAATCTGTAAAATGGAAATATGTAGTTTGCTGGAATAGTATTGAGGGCAGATAACTATAGATAAAGCTCTTAACACAGTGCATTGAATATACTGAGCACCACACAGGTGATGATGATCATTGAACTGATACTGTTTATGGTAATTATTGTACTTTCTTGGAGTAGGTGCACATTCCATTGTTTAAGCAGCAGTTCAGTGGTTATAGATTCAAAAAGGACAGTTTCTGAAAGACTTTGTAAAATTATTTTTGTTGGTGGTTTCCTTGAGGCACTGTCTTGCTATAAACCTGGCTGGCCTGTAATTTACTGTGTAGATACAGCCCAGACTGGCTTCAAATCTGTAGTGATCTTAACTACCTTTTCCTTCCAACTGCTAGGATAAAAGGACCTGAAGGGACAAAAATGTGGGGGACAGAATTTTGGTTGAAGGTAAACTGAAAAAAGAAAGGTAAAGATACCTAATCAGATAATAATAGTACAGCCCCATAGCCAGGTGGTGGTGGCACACACCTTTAATCCCAGCACCCGGGAGGTAGAGGCAGGCAGATCTCTGTGAGTTTGAGGCCATCCTGGTCTACAGAGCAAGTTCCAGGATAGGCTCCAAAAGCTACACAGAGAATCCCTGTCTCGAAAAACAAAACAAAACAACAACAACAATAATAATAATAATAATAATAGTACAGCCCCATTTCTTTGGAGGCTGAGCCAGACAGACCCCACAGACCAGCTGTACTCTTTAGGAAAGGAAAATGAAAAGGGAAAGAGTAAAGAAGGGGGAAAATAAGCAGTGTAAGAGAAAACTAAGCAGGGCCCAGCTGTCATGCCAAGTTGATACTGAGCATTAAATAAGGGTGGAATCACCATGAGGGGGGAGAGTTGGATGGGGATATAGAATATGAAAACTCTGATGGCTGGGGTTCAGTTTTGAGTCTCTCACATTTTTCGCTCTCAGAACCCCATGCTGCCTCTGGTAGTTCCATCATGAAAAGAGGTCCTGTTCTCCCCTCTGGATCTTTCTTTTTTTATTATTTTTTATTTTATTTTATTTTATTTTTAGATTTATTTATTATGTATACAGTGTTCAGCCTCAATGCCAGAAGAGGGCGCCAGATCTCATAACAGATGGTTGGGAGCTACCATGTGGTTGCTGGGAATTGAACTCAGGACCTCTGCAAGAACAGCCAGTGTTCTTAACCACTGAGCCATCTTTCCAGCCCTGGATCTTTCTTGAGATGGTTGAATTGCAGGTGCTGGCTCTGTCTGTAGGCAGTACTCCACAAGTGGAATCGCAAATGCTAGTAATACCTCCATGTGTTCTTTCAACTTTGGGGTTGTAGTTCTGGTCCCACCGCTATATAATCCTTACAATGTCCAGTGGTCTGCTTGGAGTCTTAGTTGTTTGTGAGGCTACTGTACGAGGTTCTGTCACAAAATTTCCCGGGTTCATATAGTTCCTTACTGCTCTGTCCAAGGTGGAGGTGACTGAGAGTCTCTCAGCTTCAGACTCTACACTACTGCTCTCTCCAGTCTGCAGCCTGGGGTCGGTTGCTCTGATCAGGTGCTGCATTGTGTTCCAAGTTCTGCCCTGCACTCTTCCTGAGGTCTTGATGGGTCCTTTGATCTATGGGACAATATCAGTCGTGGGGGAATGATGAGTGTTGTAGAGTTCTTGAGTTTTAGACTTTTTACCCCTCTGGAGTTGTCTGTAGGCTGCTGAGGCACTGACCTATGCTGATGGGTTTACAAAAACTAGGTTCAGCTTTTGCCAACTCTTCCCTGCTGTCCAGTATTCTCATCCCTTGCTTCTACAATTGAAGTCAGGATAAGTTCTTCCCAGAGCCATCAATCCATGACTTACCTACTGTTCATGGTGAAACTGCCTCTGCCTCTCAATGTGCCAGCTCCTCTTCAGACACCTGACTGAATTGCACCCCCTTCACTTGTATCACAAATCTTAAAAGATCTTAATTAAAAAAAAAAAAAACCCAGAGCCAGCCAGATATTGGGGTGAAAACTGAGAGATCAGAGGAAAAGGACAAGCCACAGCGACCTCACCTTACCAATTCCTCAGCCTCCAGAGAGAGCTACTTCTTGTATACCCATACCTATATGCCTTTCTGTCCTTGCCCTCTTACTTCCTTTCCGCCCAGCTCTATCACTTCCTGTCTGTACAGACCTCCAGATCTCTATGGTTAACTAGTGCTGGGAATTAAAGGCTTGTGCTACCACACCTGGCTCTGTTCCCAGTGTGGCCTTGAACTCACAGAGATCCAGATGAATCTCTGCCTCCCGAATGTTAGGATTAAGGGCATGTGCTATCATTGCCTGACCTCTATGTTTAATATAGTGGCTGGCTTTTTCCTCTAATCCTCAGATAAGCTTTATTGGGGTGCACAAATAAAAATATCACCACATTCGCTCTTTAAGAATGGTTATGATTTTTTAACAGACTTTACTAGGACACATGTTCTCACAGAGGAGCTCAGGAGTGGCTCCTCTGGGAATGGTGGGACACAGGGAGACTCTAAAATAGGTTGCTGGTTTGTTTTGTTTTATCATTGACATTTATTTATTTTATGTGTATGAGTGTTTTTTGCCTGCATGGATGTGTGTGCACCATGTGCATGCCTGGTGCTGATGTGGGCCAGAAGAGGGAATGGGATTCCCTGGAAGTGGAGTTACAGATGGTTGTGAGCCACCATGTAGGTGCTAAGAAATGAACCCAGGTTCTCTGTAAGAGCAACAAGTGCTGTTTACCACTGAGCCATCTGTTGAACCCCAAGATAGGTTGTTTTAAAAAAAAAGTGTATCTCACTTCCCAAGTAGACTCTTACTTTATGAAGAAAAAAAATATCAGTTAGACTTTTGACAGTTTTGTATTAATGTACTGACTTTTTGATGTTGCAGTAAGAGTCATTGTTTTTCATTTCTAAAAGTTACAGGTTTTCAGAGAAATATATTTTAAGGGGCTAAGTAAGGAATGATGAGCCAAAATTTTCATCACTTTTCTACTTAGCCTCACTCCTCTTTTAAAGCCTGTTCATGTGACATTAGTAGCTAGGGACAGATTGCTGTTCTTGGCTAAGCAGCCATAAACCATCTGATACTATTGGTGCTAGCTTGTGCCTGAGGCAATGGCACAGTCATAGTTCCAAAGAAACAGAATATCACTTCAGTGGATTTTTTTCACCTCAAATTCTGTACAAAAACTTTTACCACTTTATTTTCTTATAGATTGCAGAGCTCAATCTGGAAGCACTAGCTAGTCATAAAGAACTGAGAGCAGCCAGGTAAGCATCAGGAAACCAGGAAGCAGCTACAAAGCACCCAAATATGAGGTGGGTTTCCATTTCAAACAAGAGCAAAGGAAAATAAAGGATGTATTTCCTAATTTTCTGAATATGACCAATGTCTAAAATTAATATTTTTCATTTTAAAAAAAAACACAGAAATTGTTTTGGACTAAGGATTATTAGAAGAGGTGCTAGATTCTTTAATGCCAGTATTCAGGAGGCAGAGGCAGATAGGTCTCTGTGAGTTAGAGGCCAGCCTGGTTTACGGGGCGAGTTCCAGGACAGCCAGGGTTATGCTGAGAGACTCTTTATCTTGAGGGCAGGGGAGGGGAGAAGAGAATGCTAGACTCGTTGGTATTTTGAAGTTAGAAAACTCAGCTTGTAGCCTTTAATGCAGATTGGAGAAACATACACACACACACACACACACACACACACACACACACACACACACACTCAAAAAGGGTTTGATTTCAGACCATAATGAGTGTGTCAGATCCTTAGGACTGCGGCTTAAATCTTGACAGATAGCTTTAGGTATACTTCCTGTTCGTTTTCCCCCCTGTTATGGTAACACCATCTAATTTGATTTTCTGCAATGATGAAAATACTCTGGAGAATATGGAAAGTACTAATCACATATGACTAATGCAGTTGATTAACTGGGCTTTTAATTTAATTTTAATTAAATTTATATAGCTAAATGTTGCTAGTGACTACTATATTGGACAGCATTGTAGGCACAAAAATTAACTAGCAAGTCATAGCCTAAAAATGACTATTCTTATTTTAATCTCTTTTGCTTCTTCACAGTGTTTTAGACTGCCTGGACTCAATGGGTCAGAAACTCCTTTTCTTGACTCGGGATATAGATGAGTTTTCTTCTTCTAGAAACTGTCAAACTATTAAGTGCTCTTCAAATAAAGAGGTGAATGACCTATTGTACCTTTGTAGTATGTATTCACAAAAGAGGAAGATGTAACCCTTTGTACAACCTATGGAAGTGCCAAGGTTTTTGCACCAGTAACCCTAGTGAATATGCCCAGTCTGGCTTCTGTCTCAGATCTTTCATGGAGCACTGTTAAGTCTGTCTGCTTTGAGACCAGCACACTTGGCCTTGCACACCACTTAGAACTTCTGTTTCTGATATATGTAGATGTTTGTTTTGAGCCTGGCTGTATCTTTTTATATTTTATCTGTCATTGTTCTGTGTGTATGTAATAGGAGCCCCAGTATTCAGTTGTCTTCCCTACCTACCCAGCACTGGGATTATAAATACACTGCCGTTTCTGGCTTTTATTTATGTGGGGCCAAACTCAGGTCCTTGTGCTTGCTCAGCAAGCTGTTTACCCTCCTGAGCCCCTGAAATGTTTTTATTTGACAATTTATTAGGTATTTTGGGGGCTATTTGCCTGTGTGTGTGTCTGTCTGCCTGTGCCTATGGAGCCCAGAAAAAGGTATCAGAATCCTGAGAGACTGGAGTTACAGGCAGTTATGGGTTCACATGTGAGGGCTGGGAATTGATTGAACCTAGGGCCTCTAGAAGAATAGCTAGTGCTCTTAACAACTAAGCCACCATTTTAGCCCCACAATTGTGGAAATACTGCATTTCCTTCCTTCCCTCTACCTCTTCCAACTCTCCCATCAAATTAATAACCTCTTATTTAATATTATCATTTTATATATATACAAATTTAAGTGCATGCACATGTGTGTATCTCCCTTCTATTTAGTGTTGTTCACATGTGTTTAGGGCATGACCAGTTGAGATTGGATAACCTATGAGGAGCTCATCCCTGGAGAAGACTGATTGTGCTTCTCCCAGCTTTCCTGCATCCAGATTGGCATGTCAGCTGGTGCTGTCAATGTGCAGATACTTACTGTTCAGGCAGCGTATTGTTGAGAGTTCATAGGTGAGCTTTTTGGTCATGTTTAGAAGACACTGTTTTCAGCAGGCATCCTGGTCTTTGGTTCTTATGGTTTTTCTGTTCCCTCTTCTGTAATGTTTCCTGAACCTTGGGTATAAGGGTTGTGATGCAGATGAATGAACTGGGGCTGGGACCCCACGGTCAGTTTTTCTCTGTATTCTGACCAGTTGTGGATTTCTGTTTGAGACAGTCTCTTTCATTTCAAGGTTCATGAGAACTTTGCCAAGTAGACTGGACTAGCTGGCTGGTGAGCTTCCAAACTTCTGCCTGTCTCTGCCTCCCATCTCACCATTACTAGGATTCTTTTCAGGCATACGCCACTGCCACTAGTGTTTTATGTGGGTTCTTGGTATTGAACTTGGGGATTTTGTACTTGCAAGGAAAGTGGTTTACCAACTGAGCCATTTCCCAGCCTTCATTATTTTTTAATGGACTTTGATTTTTAGGGAAGTTTTAGTCCATGGAAAAATTGCATGGAAAGTGTGTTTTCCATCTGTCCTTTGTATGTGCACAACCTCTGCCACAATCAACAGTCTACGGCAGATTTTGTTGCCATCAATGAATGCACACTGATATATCCTAGTCACCCAAAAGTCCATCATTTATATTAGGGCTCACTCTTGATGTTGTAAGTATGCTATAAATTTTGACCAATGTTTGATGACATACATGTACCACTATAATATAGGGTAGTTTCACTACCCTAAATATCGTAGGATAAATGTGCTTTGCTAATTCTTTCTCCCTCTCCCTCTAGAAACCACTGATCTTTTCATTGGCTCAATAGTTTTGCCTTTTCCAGAATACCATATAGTTGTAATCATATATTAGGACACCCTTTAGATTGTTTTATTTTATTTAGGAATGTACATATTTCCTCCATGTCTTTTCAGTGCTTTTAATGGTTTTTAAAAATGATTTATTTCTTTAATGTGCATTGGTGTTTTGCCTGCATGTATGTCTGTGTGAGGATGTCGGTTCCCTTGGAACTGGAGTTACAGACAGCTGTGAGATGCCAAGTGGTTGCTGCGAATTGAACCTGGGTCCTCTGGAAGAGCAGCCAGTGCTCTTAACCACTGAGCCATCTCTCCAGCCCTGGTTTCTGTTTTCAATGTCTGAATAATACTATACTCTTCATTCACCCACTGATAGAGAGATAGCTCGATTGTTTATAAGTTTTTTTTTTTTTTTTTTTTTTTTTTTTTTTTTTTGGTTTTTCGAGACAGGGTTTCTCTGTGTAGCTTTGCGCCTTTCCTGGAATTCACTTGGTAGTCCAGGCTGGCCTCGAACTCACAGAGATCCGCCTGGCTCTGCCTCCCGAGTGCTGGGATTAAAGGCGTGCGCCACCACCGCCCGGCTGTTTATAAGTTTTAACACTTATGGAGAAAGCTGCTAGAACATCTGTGTACAGCTTTTGGATGGCCATAAGCATTTAGATAACACAGTTAGACAATTGCATTTGTTTAATAGTGTCTCATAAGTTTCTTGATAGTGTCACATAAATCTCTTAAGCTCACCTCAACTGTTCTTTATTATCTTTTGACCTCTGATTCAATCATTGTAAATGACCTGTTTTTAAGACCACTGATGTTTTCTTTTCTGCTTGATTAAATCCATTCCAGTATAATTTTGCAGTGCAATTTTTTTTAAATTTTCCAATCCAGAACATTGTTGTTTTTTTAATCATTTTTCTTTGTTGATATTCTCATTTGTTAATATATCATTTTGATGATTTAGTTAGTTATCAGTGTTCAAGCATCTTTATAACAATTTAAGCCTCTTAAGCATCTTTTAGACAGTTATAATTAGCCTTATGAGTCTGAAGTTTTCATATCCATGGAGTCAACCAACCATGAATTGGAAATAATAAGGAAAAGAATGACTGGACATGTGCAGACTTTTTCTTTCTTACTGTTTCTTAACCGTGCAGTAGAAAAACTATTTACACAGCATGTATATTCTCTTAAATAATATGTCCTCCAGAGATGGTAGCTCAGTATACAAGAGATCAAATGCAAATATTATGTCATTTTATATTAAATAATAGAAGTAAATCTTAGAGATGGGGACTCAAAAGATATGCAAGAAAGTCTATACAGATAAAGAGTACAAATACCATGCCATTTTATATTAGAGACCTAGAGCTTAACATGGTGGTGTAATCTCAGCACTCAGAATACAGACATTCACAGGTCTTCATATATCTACACTTTTCCAGATTCATTTTATGGAATTACATTTTCTTCGTTTACTTAGGCTAAGTTTCCTTGTCTCTTTGTATGCTTTGTGATTTTACTACTGAAACTTAGACATTTGAAAAAACAAACATTTCTGGTCTGAGGAGATAGCTCAGCATATAAAGCACTTGCCACACAAATGTAAGTGCCAGCATTCAGATTCCTAGAACTTTGTATTATAGTGTTGTTCTTTTGCTATGATAAAAGACTCTGACCCAAAATAACCCAGGGAAGGTGATTTTGTATTTCAGCTTACAGGTGATAGTCTATCGTTGAGGGAAGTCAGGGCAGGAACTTGAAGTAGAAACCCTGGAGGAAGGCTTCTTGCTGGTGTTCTCTAGCTCATGTTTAGCTTTCTTATATATCCTAGGACTACCAGCCCAAGGAGTGGTGTCACCCACAGTGTGCTGGGCCCTCCTACATGAATTGACATGACCATTCTCCAGACATGCTCACAGTTTTCCTCTCATGACTATAGGCTACGTCAAATTGAAGATAAAAGGTGACAGGAACACCATGGAAAAGCCAAGTGGGCCTAGTGGGACATGGGAAGAGGCAGAGATAAAGATGCCTGGAGCATGCTGGCTTGCCAGACTAGCTGAAACTGAGAGCCCCAGGTTCAGTGAAATACCTTGCCTCAACGTGACAGAGAAAGACATCCTAATATCAACCTCAGGCCTCCACACCAATATGCACACATGTGTACATGCACCTGCACACATACATACCATAACATGAAAACATATATACACACATACATACACAAAAAGAGAGAGAGATAACCAGGTCTGGTTTTCTGGACTGTTTCATGCAGCACCCCTACACAACTCAAGATTTGCATTGCCTGGAATTGTACCTTCCTAACTGTCTCAAATTATCTTGGCAGTTTGTTGCTGCCTCTTGTTCACAGCCCATAATCTCTTCCCTTCCGGCATTTTCCTGGGGAACCACATCTCCAATATGTCCTAGGAATCTGTCCTTAATGATTTCTAAACAAGTCCTCTAGTCCTGTCAGCTCTTCAGTCAGATGAGAAGAAACCAGTTTCTCGGGCAGCCCCCAGGTTTTCTAGAATAGTGGGCACACAGTCCAAGAGAGATTCTCTGGAATGGGAAGTTACCACCCCCTCCCCCCACATTAAGCCGCAGTTGATTCCAAGGGAGAGAGAGATGGGAACACAAACTATTGCAGTGTTATTTCCCGTTTACTAGCATGTCTTGCCTCCCAAGGGCTGAGGCAAGAGGCATATACCCCACCACTCTCAGCTTTCCAATACTTAGGGTTTGGGGGTGGGGGTTGTTTGTTTGTGACTTTTTTTTTGTTTTTTTTTATTTTTTATTTGTATGTGTGCTAGTGTTTTTGCCTGCATGTATGTCTGTGTGGAGGTGTCAGATCCCCTGGAATTAGAGTTACAGACAGTTGTGAGCTGTCATGTGAGTGCTGGGAATTGAACCTGGGTCCTCTGGGAAAGCAGTCAGTGCTCTTAACCACTGAACCATCTCTCCAGCCCCCATTTGAGACTAATTTTATGGTGTTAGGAGAAGAGAGGAATTTATAATATTGTTAGGAAAGGCTGGCATTTGTCATCTCTCTCTGCAAGAGCTTTAATTTACCTTTTTATTTTCTTCTTCGCCACATCTACAAAGGGCACTGCCTTTTTTCTATATATTTCATGCTGCTTTCTGGCCACCAGGCTTGTAGCCAGGTGTTATGGAACATCAAAGTTGTGACATTCTTTGCATTTGGTTGGACTTCTTTCTAGGGGTGCTTCTATTTACAGTTCATCTAATTCTTTCAGGCACATTGATTCTCCTCCCACTACATACCTACTAGCAGTGACTCTCTTAAGCCTCCTTTTTTGTTTTCTTTATTTATTGACTTGCAACAATGTGTAATGATGAAGGCTTCTCTTGGAATTTATTTTCTTACAAGTGATTTGAAGGTTGTGTGGTAATCACTCTCTTAGAAATATTTAAAGTATGGGTTATGTGTGTTATGTATTACCTTTATGGCTTTTATGTGATACTAGAGGGTCAAACCCAAGTTCTTATATATGGTAAGAGCTGTTCCACTATTCTATATTCCCAGCCCTTTTTATTTTGATACAGGGTCTCACTAAGTTGCCCAGCCTGGCCTTGAATTCAATCCATAACTTGGTCTTGAATTTGCTATCCTCAGCCTCTGTGTGGTTGGGATTATAAGCCTGTGCCTCCAGGCCCTGTTGCAAGCTGCCTTTACAAAGAAAGCAAGTTTTATATCCCTAGAAGACTGCAAGGTTCTACAGTACCAGGTTGATGTATGAAGAGGATATAACAAGCTCCCCTTCCATCTCCCTGCTTCAGCAGAGATTCTTAGCATATGTTATTCTTGGACAGACAACATAGTATATGGAACTGGAAAGGCCAAGAAGCAGTGATTTAATGACTTTTCTAGGAGACTGTGTGCTGTTACCATTTTTCTCTAGACCTGCAAGTCAGCTGTGTACTACTACTTTATGGTATATGTAAAAGGCAATTGTTTATATTTATGTGGCCCCTGAGGGAACTGAGTAGTCCTGGGTTCCTAACTCATTTAGTCTGTGCTGTCTGTTCTCTTCAGGTACTTGAGCAAGCCAGAGTGGAAGTCCCTTTGTTTCCCTTCAGCATTGTGCAGTTCTCTTTTGAGCCCTTTTCACCCATCTTTGCTGAGGAGTTGAAGAAAAGAGTAAGTAGATGGGTTCTGCTAAACTGTTTGATAACTTACAACCTCTCTTCATTAAGGAGAGTAATCCACATGGGATTAAATTCACATCTATTTCTCCAAATTATTTCAATATACATTAACATTTGAAAAACATGTTTTATAAAAATAGGAATGAGACTGAGTATACTGTTTTGCAACTTTGTTTCGTGTATGTGTTTAGTGTATATATGTACAGGTATGTAGGTGGGTGGGTACATATGCCTGTGCATGCATAGGCAGAGACAAGGTCAGAGGCCATCATTAAATATCTTCTTTTATCACTTTTAGTCTTTGTTTTTGAGACAGGGTATCTCACTGAACCTGGAGCTCACTGATTTGGACATTCTGTCTCTACTGCCAGCACTGGGATTAGAGGCACTCACGTTTTCATGTGGGTGCTGGGGACCTGAACTCAGGTCCTCAAGCAAGTACTTTAGCCATTGAGCCATTGCCCTAGCCCCTTGTTGCAACTTTATTATTTTTTTAATTTAATTTAAAATGTATCTTCTGTGTCATTACATGGTTTTTCTTATTTTTAAGATATGCAAGACATTCCACTGTGTGGTATACCTATTGAGAGTGTTTGTGTTTTTAATTTTTCCTATTATAAATAATGTTGGAGTGGACATGCTTGAGTACAGACTCTTCGTTTTATTTTGTTTTTTGTTTTTTGAGACAGAGTCTTTATGTAGTCTGGCTGTCCTGGAACTCTCTGGAGACCAGGCTGGCCTCAAACTCAGAGATCCTTCTGCTTCTGCCTCCCTAGTGTTGGGATTAAAGGAATGTGCCACCATGTTTGACTTGAATACAGATTTTTTGTTTTTTATGCATGAATATTTAGTCTGCAAGTACATATGTATGTACCACATGCATGCTTGGTTCCCTTGGATGTCAGAAGAGGGCATTTGGTTCCCTGAAATGAGTTACAGATGGTTGTGAACCACCATGTGGATGCTAGGAATCAAACCCAGCTCTTCTGCAAGAGCAACAAGTGCTCTTAACCACTGAGCTATCTCTCCAGCCCTATAACAGTTGTGGACTTTAGACATTTGAAAAGGTAAGCCATGCTTTGCCTTAATGGTTTCAGTTCATTTTCACATCCACCTCTTCATTCTGTTGTTCGAAGACCAAGTGGACAGAGATGTCAGCTGTCTATGTTGGGCCATTTTTCAAAAATTGTAACATTGGGGCTGTGAAGAAGACATTTAACAGCTTGGGCCCAGTCCAGTCAATAACTCTTGTTCTTGAAACTTCTAGGGTAAGATGAGAAAAATTAAGATTTTTACTTCCTTTCTTAGAAAAATCAGATGATGGGGGGGGGGGCCTGTGTGGCTAACAAATTAGTGAATTGAGCTTGCTCATCTCCAGCTCTGTCTGATGGGGCTAGTAGTTGACCCATATAATCGTTTTTTTCCAGAACTTCTGTTTTTGTGTACTTACAATTTTTATTTTGTTTTGCTTAAAGAGAAATATATCATGTAGGCCAGACAAAAATATGTCTGCTGAAGATAGATATGGTAACACACACCTTTAATCTCAGAACTCCAGGAGGCTGAGGCAGGAGGATCTCTGTGAGTTTGAAGCCAGTGTGGTCTCCATAGAGAGTTCCAGGATAGCCAGGGTTACATAGAGAGATCCTGTCTCAAAAAAAGAAAAACAACAAAATCCCTGCTGGTTGAATGAAGCCTTTGTTCTGACCTCACCTTTACATGATAAAAATATCCTTTCAAAAAACAATAGTTGGGGGTTGTGGCTCAGTGGTTAGGAGCACGTACTGCTCCTCTGAAGGACCTGAGGTCAACTCCTAGAGCCCACATCAGACAGCTCACAACCAGCCCCAGGGGAATCAGACCCACACATAGATAGACACACATACATATAACTAAAAAGAATAAATTTTAAAAAATAATTTGAAAATAAAGAAAATGATGATACCATTTTTTTAAAAAAAATAGTGAAGCTACCTAGCAAGATGGTTTAGCAGATAAAGGCACTTGCTACCAAATTTGATGACCTGAATTTAATTTCTGAGACTCACATTGGTGGAGAAGAGAACCAGTTTGCACAAGGAGTCCACTGATTTCTACATGCCAGCCATGGCACATGCACGCACACACGCACACACAGACACAAACACACACAAACTAAATAAATAAATATAATTTAAAAATTACAGAACTGTAACTTCCCTATCTTAGGAAGTTGTATAGATTTTAACTACACAGTAGGCCAATAGCTAGGATACAATAAAGGATGATTGATTTCTAAAGGGTTGTGTGTGTGTGTGTGTGTGTGTGTGTGTGTGTGTGTGTGTGTGTAACCAGGGATTAACCCTAGAGTCTAAGCATGTTAGACAAGCACTCTACCACTGAGCTACATTCTTAACCCTTCTTATTTAGTTTTAGAGAGGATCTCATTGTGTAGCCTGTGCTGCTGTAAGATATGCAGTCTTCCTGACTCAGCTTCTGAGTAGCTGGGGTTACAGGTGTATGCCACCATGCACTACATAACACTCAACTTTGATTTTCATTTTCTGTTTTTGAAGGAAAACTGATACAATGTATTGTAGGGGCATTGAACAAGGTAAGATTTCTGCTGGCCTGCTTTTCTTTGATTCTCTAGTCTCTTGGAGTAAATTTTGTATAGTGGATTTTTACTTATATAAATGCTCTATAAAAGATTTTAATGATTTTAAAACTGTATTTCAATAAAAGGAAAAATCTTTTTAATTATTTAAATACTTATATATCATCTTAAAATGTATATAATTCAAAAAACTTAAATCTCCATCTTTATGGTCATATTATCATTATTATATCATAAGTAAGTAAATGACTAAGGTTGACATCTGAAGCAATAGCATAAGCATAAAAGAAGATATGGCAGGAATGAAAACCAGAAACAGCATAATAACATCTATAGAGCTGGGCATGGTGGCACCTGGAGGCAGAGGCAGCACAACCACTGCCCCGTCAAGGCCACCCTGATCTAGTTCCGGGTCAGCCAGGCCTACCTAGTGAGACTTTCTCCAGGAATAAGGGTTATCTGTAGAACATTAGGGAGCAAGTAGTAAGGGTGGAGGCCTCCAGAGGGAGGACTAAGTCAGCTGAATAGAGGGGTAGGAGAAAATGTCAGTACTTTCTTTTCCACCTCAGAATGTGGAACTGAAGCAGCTCATTACCTGGTACAATAATAACGAATGAAAATGAAGTGAAAACATAAGGACTTCCAAAGTTACTTTTTCTGTTCCTCTACCTAAAAATTTAAATAGTATCTCTGAGAATAGACTTGGAATTGGGAAGTTTGTTGCAAGACTGTAACCATTTATGTCTTCTTGCTGGCTCTTTTGCTGTTGGTTTTTGTTTTTGTATAATACATATATAACAAGGAATTTGCCTATCTAACCCTTTAAGTTCACATTAAGTACACTGATACTCTACAGTCATCATGACCATCCTTCTCTATAACTTTTCGTCATTCCAAACTGAAACTCTGTATAATTTTTAAGTTTCAATCTTGTAATACTTATGTGGCTTGTAGGATTTTTTTCCTATTTTGTAGACTGCCTTTTACGATTTGGTAGTCTTGATGTGTAAAAGCTTTTAATTTTGAGGAAATACAGTTTGCCTTTTTTTTTTTTTTTACCTTTGTTACTTGCCTTTGGTGTCATTTTCAAAACATTGTCCAAAACAATGTTGTAAAACTTTTCTATAGGAGGGCTTTTCTCTATGATGATATATGGCTCAGGTGATTACAGTGATTTAGCTACTTTGAGTCACAAGATTTGGCCTAGCCAGCAGAAGAACTTAGCTTCCCAAGTGGACTGGAAAACTGCCTAAAAATCAAGCTAATCAGACATCTGGGAATCCCTGCTTGTGACATACATGAATGACCTTAGTGCTTTGTAATAAATATGAAGAGCAAGTTAGGTAGTAACGAATTTGTTAGTTTTCCTTACCATCATAATGGGCTTTGATTTTAAATGGAAAAATGAAAGTTACTGTCTGAAAATCAATTCCTGAACTTTGGTGCTTTTACTTAAAGTTGACTGACAATCTGCAATCCACTGCCTGTTTGGCCCAGCACGTTAAAAAGCATCCATTGTGGTTTGGGTCCCTTTCTCAGTCCCTTCCTCTAGCAGTTTGAGTTGCAAAGTAACACTGGTAAAAACCTTGGTCTTTCTGCAGCTTTACTTCTGTATACAATATGAAATCCTGGAAGCTGCTCAGCTGGCTATAGAAACCATGAATGGCATTCTGGTAAAAGGTTCCTACATCAGGGTAAGAGAGCCAAAGCTGAAGGCAGACCCCCTTCATCTAATTGAGGTTTACCACAGCCCATATGTAGGGACATCCTGGAGATGCCTAGGCATGAGACATTGTAATAAATGCCCTTAGTCAAGACTAAGTAACTTTCAATTTTATAAAAATCGGTCTGGCTAGACTAGGGTCTTCACTGTATTCTTTATCAAGTATCCTTATCCCTGGATGGTTTGTTGTGTGTGGCTATTCTGAGTCTGCCCATTCCTTTAGCTTTCAAGGGGGTGAGATGGTGGTATTGGGAAGTTCTTTTTGTACAAGTAAACAAGATTTCAATGGAGGTAGCAGACAGGGAACTGGAGAATATAGATTTATATAAAAATATGTATTTTTTTATCAGTTAAATCCACAATCAGTTCTGTGAAGCACTTATTGGCCTCCTTATAGATTAGAAAGATGCATGTTGACTTACTGATATACAGTATGACAGAGGGTTAGTTAAAATGGTGACTTTGTACCACTAATACCATCTTTCCTTGGTTAGGTGCACAGGCATGTGACAGAATTCACCCTTGAGTGTGACACCCTTATGCATGAGCTAGAGCAAGATTCTGAGAACCAAGCTACTATATATGTGGCTGGATTAGGTAAAACTTTTAAAGAACACCTGTTAGAGCAGTCCAGCCTCTTTCCTGGCCTGGAAGCTGTGATCCTGCCTAAAGATGTTAAAAGCAGAAAGCAAAAAACTACTGTTTCTTGATTAAGTTTATACCATTAAATGTAAAATGTAGCCTTGAAGGAGATTGGAGATGGTCGTAAATGAGGTCAAAGAAGGGATTCACCAAACAAGCTCTCCTGGAGTAGACCAGGGTGGAGCTTCTAATTCTACCCTATTCTCACACCTTAGCCAGACCTTAGCTTATCTGTTGATCTGCTTTCTTGGCCCTCAATAACAAATGTTGGGATTTTTCCTACTTTTAGAGTTCAAAACTCGTGACAGTGCCCAGGTAGCCCTTGAAATTCTCAAAGGCAAGGCCTGGAAGTTGAAAGGCAGATATGCCCTAACCCCTAGGCACCTCCAGGCATGGCTCAAGGACATACATCCTGAACCAGCAATGCCTTCAGGATTTGGAATAGTTCCGCCTCTCTTGGAGAAGCATGTCTTCCAGGTAATGAGTGTGTTTTGGAGTCAGCAGGGAAGGTAGCTGCTGGGGTTTCTGGTTCTGGACCCTGGACTTCTGTTTCTGGAGCACAGCCAGGAAAGACTTGCTCATTGGCACTATATCCTTCAGGCTTTTTCTTGGCCTGTTTTTCTTGCCCTGGCCCCCATCTTATGTCACTCTCCAGCCTCCTCCAGCCCTAGCCATGTTGGTTCTTCTCTCAGATCTCAAACACTTTTGTCCCTTTGATAATAACCACTAAAACCCCATTCTTATTCTTCAAGGTGGTTCTGTAAGGAACTTTGAGGGACCAGGGTAGGAGACTGGAGAGGTGGATAAGTCTTAGGTGAACTAGTTCAGGGCTTCCCAAAGTGTGATACATACACAAGGTAAATTTTGGCTGTCTTGACGAGACTTTTTTATTTCCACTTCTAAAGTTTAGGACTTAGATTAAACTGTACAACATCAGACCTGAGATTAGGCAAGACTAAGGCAGAATTCTCATTTTAATTCTTATTTTAAAGGGAATGCATGTATAAAGAAGGCATATGTATGAGAGTGGAGGTAGGCTGTTTAAAGCTTAGTAAACCTTGATGTAGTCTCATCCTTAGCAGATGAGGGGTAGAGATTAGAGCTGGTCAGTGACTCATCCAAGGTCACAGATACCCTTAATGGCAAAGGCTGCCAGGGAACCTCATCAGTGATATGGCTTCCTACCTTAGGGCCCTTTTGGAAGACCCATTTGAAAGAATCAACAGCAGCTGCTCTCTGCCACAGAGGTCCTGAGTCACTGAGGTCTGTAGAGGGGTACTGTTCAGACAGGGATTTTTTTCCAGAGCTTCTTGTGGCTTTAGAACCAGAGGAAGTGCTTTAACTTCTATAAAGGTGAACAGGAGGCTAAATGTTGACACTGACTTTGCTCCTACCATCGAAAGATAGTAGCCTGGCGCTGTGAGTGGAGGATTGAAAAGCTCTACCACAGCCTGAGCCCAGGCACCCTCTGCCTCATCCTGCTGCCAGAAACCAAGAAGTAAGGACTTGATGTGTTGTCCTCGGGATTCTGATCCCTGGAATTCATCTGTTCTCAAGAAGAGACCTTTAGTTAAATGATGTCCAGACACATGAGGATTTACATGAGTTCTCATCACAGTTCCAAAAGGTAGACATTACATTTCTATTTCACTTGTATGCTTAAACTTATTGGTCCTTCTTATGCAGCTCATCCCACCTTAAAATCAGAGGCAGAGGTCCTCTAAGCTGAGGTAAGAAGAGCTACATATGACAGCAGGAGGACAAGATATCCCAACACTGGCCCAGCCAGCTGTGACCAGGCCTACCCTCCTTACATATCAGAAGTATGTTCTTGACTTCCCTGTTCTTTCCTCCATTGCCATCTCTGCTTTGGAGGGACAACAATTCTATTCCTCAATTCTAATTTTAAGCTTAACAAATACTGAGATAGGCTGTGTGGGTCTGGTTCTAGCTCCTGTTATATATTTTTAACAAGTGGCCAAGCTACTTACCCATCGTAGGTTTAAGATGGAAAGGTACCTATAATCCCATGGGTGGTGTCATACCTATAATCCCAGTATTTGGAAGATTGAAGCGAGATTATGAGTTCAAAGCCAGTCCTGTGGTCCATTGTGAAAACATGTCTCAAAATAAAATAAAATTCTCTTGTGAGGGATTTTCAGTAAATCAGTGATTTCTTTCAAAACATAAAGTATGATAAATATTTTACTTAAAGAAACATTAATATTAAATCCTAAAACATACAGTATAGTTCATGAGTGTATGTGGTGTATGTGTGTGAAGGGCCTTTTTGGAGTAGTTAGAAAATTATAGAACTATATAGAAAGATTCTCCCTTTCTAAGTTTTTCTTTGTTAGATTTATTCATTTATCTTTTGTGAGGGGTATGCATACATGTGCTCAGATTATCAGGCTCATTGGCAAATGCCTTTACCCATTGAGCCATCTTGCCAGCTCAAATTGTTTTCTTAAACATATCATAAAAACTGGGTTTAATAGTGCACACCTATAATCTCAGCGCTTGGGAGATAGAGGCAGAAAAAAGTTCAAGGCCAGTCTCAGCTACATAAGGAGTTTGGGCCACTGTGGCCTACATAAAGTCCTTTGTCAAAAAATAAAAAATATCTTAAGATTCTGATATTCTAGGAGATGTTGTACTACAAATGATAGTTTAAGTAATATCTCCTTAATTTGGGGGAGTTTTCTTGTATGGTCTTGTTGAAGTTCTTGTCTGTGCCATTGACTTAGGATTCCAGTCCTTCATCTGTGTCTATAAGTTGTAGACTTGGCCTTTTTGTTTTTTTGTTTTGAGACAGGTTCTCTCTACATAGCCCTGGCTGCTGGGATTAAAGGCATGACACCACACCACACATGGCCAAATTTTGTCATTTCATGGTATCCCACAATTTTTTAGATACCTAAAAAATTAATTCTTCTTATTAATTTTTAATTCTTCTTCTTGTTAATTCTTCATATTCTTTACCAGTGTGGTCCAATTCTTTTTATTTTTTATGTGTATATACATGAGTTTGTGTATGTATAAGCCACAAGTTTGACTGCATCAGAGGACAGAAGAGGGCAGCAGAACCCCTGGAGCTGTAGTTACAGGCAGTTCTAAGCTACCTGATGTGAGCACTGGGAACCAAAACTGAACATGGGTCCTCCGCAAGAGCAGTGAGTGCTCATAATGCCTGAGCTCTCTCTCCATCCCTAATTCCTATACTTTATCTTCAAATCCGAATATTCTGTCTTCTTGATCCATTCTACTGATAGGGCTTTCCTGAGTTTTCTAATTGGGCTATTGAGTTTTGCAATTTCATTATTTCTACCTCTTTACTAAATTCAGTTTTCTTGTCATTTCATTCAGCCACATATTTATGTTTTCTTGGATTTATTCTTATCCTCCTAAGTTCATTGAGTTATTTCCCGTTGTCTTCTTTAAGCTTTTGGATTCATTGATGTTTATAATTGTTCTTTTAAATTGTGTCCTGTGATTCATCTAAGTAGTTTTTACTGGAGAACATTTCTATAGGGCTAGTGATTTATGAAAGAGACATAATGTCTTGGCCTTTCATATTTATATTTTGCAATGTGACTTGGTCATGTAGACTTTGTTGGCTGTATGTTAGATTCTAGGCTGCCTCTGTTGATTGGAAGTTTTGTTTTGGTTTTGTTATTGCTCAAGCTTGGTTGATTTCAGATCAGGTATCAAGAATTGGTAGTCAATCCTTCAGATACTCAATGTTGATTTTGGATTCGACAAACAGGGGTGATTCCAATTCAGTGGTAAGCAAGAAATGTGGATGGGATGGATGGCTATTGTACAAGCTGGCCTGGCAAGCTGGCCAGGATGTGCAAGCTGGTCTATTTGGGTAAGCCAGGGTCTTGGGTACTCACCAGGCTAAGCTGTGTATACTCGCCAGAGTATAAGCTATGTAACTAAAGCTGGGCCTGAGGATTAGGAACATGGCAGCCAGGTGAGGTTCAGGTTGCTTGCCTAAGACACAGGATGGCTAGGCAATGGAGGATGGCACAAACAGGCAAGAGTCCTGGGGACTCAACAGACTGGGCCAGTGCACAGGATGTTTTATCTAGTCTCGGACCAGAGGTCTGGTGTGGTTCAGTTAGGCAAGGGTCCAGGAGACTCACTAGACTGGTTTGGCACGTGGGAATCTGTCAGACCCTTAATAAGCAAGTATTGTGCTATGTACATAGACTTTGGGTCAAAATTCTTAGAATCCTTATTAAGCCAAACGTAATGCCTCTTTTTAAGCAATTTTCCAAGGTCACACAACTAGTAAGTGTAACTACTCACGCTCAGAACCATAATGATCGGACTCCAGAGCCACTCATCAAAGGTTAGGACTTGTTAAGACAGCAGCTTAATAGTGTGTTGTGCTCATTTTCTGCCTTCCTTGCCTCAGAGAGCTCCTCTAGCTCTCTTAATCCATCCCATGCATATTCAGTGGTGGCAGTAAACTAAGAGGTATCCGATGACTCTTCAGTTGTAAGCACTTTTAATGACATGTATCATTAAGTAATAGTATAAAGTTTTCAGATGCACTAACAAAGTTTTTGAATAAAGCGAAAGACTAACCCCACTTTCTAAGGACTCTGAGGACACATTTTCATTACTGAAACCTGGCTGTTCTTTGCAGTATGACTTAAACGAGTTATGTCTGAGCCTGTTTCTTTGCTTAGAAATGGATTGAACACTTGTATCACTGAGCTGCTTTTAAGGATTAAAGAGACAGGTGTTTAAACTGTCCATACTTGATTTGTAAGAAGTGCCCAGAAAATGCTAGTTATTACTATGCTTCTCTAAGCCTTAGTGGCATAGTAACTTAAATGTTTTAGAATTTTATAGTTAAGGAAAAAAAATGAGGCTTATTTGAAATGTGTCGTCCATCTATCTCTAGGATTTGAATCAGGCTTCTTCACTGAGCCCGCTCCAGCAGGCAGCTTTCCAAGAACCTGCCTCTTGGTGTACTGTACACACTTACTTAAAACCTTACGTCGTCTGTCTTAGGAGCATACAGCCATTCATTTAGCCCTCTAAATAAAAACATGTCTTCATTCTTTATTGCAGCATGTTTGGATCACACCCTGGCTTAGGACTGATGAAAATAAAGGAAGAAGAAGAAAGTGACACCCCAGGCCTGGGAGTGTGAGTCTCCCCACACTTTTCCCATATAGAGAATGTGACTAGGCTACAGCCCCTTCAAGAGGATGGCAAGCTTTTCCATCTAACAGACAGCTATGGTAAAAAGTTGGGATACCAGCTGAAGTATATTGTCATGTGCAAAATTTCAATAAATGCCTAAAACTCAAAACATTTCTTCCTCTTAAGACATGAAGAGGAGGGAAAATGAGTGTTTTGTGTCTGAGTTTATTTACACAGATACTGATTGATTGCTGTAGCACTACCATTAAAATGGCATATACTGCAAAGACCAAGAAAAGAAAATCCACCCAGCTTCTCGAATTTCTGTAAGTAACTGGAGACACTTTTGACTCTCTGGCATCTGCTATACTAAACATCTAGCCAGAGCAAAGACAGTGGAAGACTGTTAGCTTTTATAGTTAGAACCCACTTCCATGTATGGGAATCCCTCCTTCCTGGGATACAGCTGCAGCATCACTCTTCACCAGCAGGTGTCCCCATCACACCAGAGCAGCACTTGGATACTCAGAATAGTTTTGATGTTTTAATGTGACTAACTAGTAACATTGTTGGAAGATGAGACACAGGGTCCATGATTGCAAATCTGGTAGATACTAAATGCTCCAGAGGAAGTCAACTAATCTGTCAGTCACACCTAAAATCTTCCTTTCTAAACTCAGATCTTACAATTCCATCAGAAGAACTGAAGATAAGATGCTTGTACCAAAAAGTGCATAAAGTAGATGCCACAGGGTTATTACAAAGGAATGAGTGTGCTGTGCACATGTGCCCCTTCTAATCCCAACTTTTTAAGTTATTGCTCAACTTAAGTTAAATATTATTAGTCCAGGCACAGAGATGCTAGTATCTCATAGAATTAGTATTTGGCTTTTTGAGACAGGGCCTTACTGTGTGGCCCTAGCTGTCCTGGAACACTATGTAGACTGCTCAAACTCACAGAGGTCTACCTGTGTCTGCCTCCTGGGATCAAAGCCATTTGTCAGCACACTTGGCTCTCAGAATTACCATAGAGATAAATGAAGTTGAGTTCATAGTCATGCATGTGTGTGCATAGGGCTATAGAACAGTATTATAGTTTTGATTCCTGTTGCATAGGGGAAATGTACAAAGCTTTGCATAGGATTGGAACCAAGCCTGGAATGTTGTATGCCAAGATGTTAACAGTATTTCTCTCTGATTAGTAGGACTGGCAAATCATATTTTACAAAATGCTTTGATGGAAGATTCTATTTTAAAAAAGAAAACAACAAAAAACAAACAAAAAAGCAGGCAGGCTTGGTGGTGCACACACTCTGGAGACAGGCAGGTGGATCTGAGTTTGAAAGCCAGGCCAGTCTATGTAGTGAGTTCCAAGCCACTGAAGGCTACATAGTGAGACCCTGCTTCCAGTAAAAACAAAACAACAAAAGAAAAAACAGTTCAGCATCATTACTTACTTTTATAGTTAGGAAAGAAATAATTCTGAAAATTTAGGGTTGGGCACATAGGGCACTGTTCAACCCTTAAATGAAGCCTCCATGAGATTGGACCATAAGTGGAACCAAGCACTAGAGTTTGATTTGAGATCAACACACTGCTTCCTGAAGTTCCTCTGTCAGGAGGAAACTTGGGCCCACTTGAGCTTCCTTTCCAGCTGAGCTCTAAAGCAGTGGGCTTCAATTGAGATCTACCTTTTGAGGCTTCTGTCCTGAAAGACAGTCCCTCTAGTGGACATGGAAAAGTGTGGGTTAGAACTTCAGTTCTGCTGCTGGGTATTTGGGTCATTCTGAGTCCATTTCCACAGCTGTGTAAGTTGAAGAAATACCTACTTTTAAGAATTATGAGACTTCAAAGATCTAGCTCGTGAAAAATCTCAAGAATAATAGTAGACTGGGAACTGTTTTCCTAAGACCCCATTTAAAATGGGGAAATCAGTACCTACTTCATGGTTGGTAGGAAGATTAAGTAGCAAAAGTCAACATTAGTGCTGAGTAAGTAGCAAGCATTAGTGGCCTTTGCAAAGTGTTGCAAGACGCTATTAAGGCGTTCTGAACTGGGCAAGATTATCTTCTTCAGCATGGATGAAGGTTTCCCCCTGGGTCCCCACTACAGAACTAAATGGACCTAGCCTTCAAGCCTCTGAGACTTCTGCACACTGTGTTCTTCCAGCTGATGTCCCACCTTTTGGAAACTAAAGCTGCCAACTTGGCCTCTTGCAAAACACACATTCCATTCATAAGTGCATTTGTGCATTGTTCCTCCCACACCCTTCTAGGCAGCCAATGCTGAGCTGCCAAGGCAGCTGCCTGAGGAGCAGGAAAAAGGCAACGCCAAGGGAAAAGGCAACTGGAGGTTTTTACAGAACTTGATTAAAGAGACTCTTCTCTATCCCTCTGGACTACTTTTTAGTATACTTTCTTGGTAGAAGTCCATGCAATTAATACTCATCTGGTAATTGTATAACAATGACTTGCCAATCATTTAATATCTGCTTATAATCCATACAGCACTGTTAACAGCACCCTAGTTGGCTGTTTTCCATTCCACTCTGCTACTCTCCAATCTGTAGGTCCCTTCTGTGCTTAACACAAAGGACAAACCCAGGAGTCAATGGGAGGAGTGTGGAACAAGGGTAAAACTACACATTTTCTCGGGAATATCATGCTTACTAAGCCCTTTCCAACTGAAAAGGCTTATCTGATCCCCATCCTGCACTTATGACATCTTAAGAGATACCAAGAGGCTAGGAACCTTTGAGGAACCATCAGCACTTCCACAAAAGAAATGAGCAAGATGGCTGGCCAGTGCCATTCTTAAACAGACAACCGGAAAATACAAGAAAGGAACTAAGGGTCTTAAGTCTAGAACTTAAGAAGCTGATGGCCGTCTCAGAGTTCCGGTTACAATTTTTCCTCTCCCAATTTGGCACAATAGAAAGTTGAGCCCTTTTAGGGAGCAATGAGTGATGAAGGATCAAATGGCATGCCACACACTAAACTCTGCTCCTGCCCCCCAGTGTACCTAACATTATTTTGGAGAATCTTAATAGGGGATGGTTCAGCACCATGAGGTATCATGGGTGTCTCATAAACTTTTCCTTAAACCCTAACACCGATGGAGATGCCTTTATTTTGCAGATGAATAAAAGATAAGCTTAATCACTGCAAGCCTGATTAGACCTAGGGGGCCATACACAGGGCTCAAGATTTGACTTTTCTCATGGGAATTGAGTTACTTAAAGTAAGAAAGATGAGTTCAATAGTAGGCTTATAAACATTCACAGTGCATGGAGATCATTACCTGTGTTTGGAGCTGGGCTCCTAGCCTATATGGGTCATTTTCCCAAGCTGTTAATAGATCACAGCATCATAGGAAAAGTGGATAACTTAAGCCTCAGAATAAATTCACTGGTTTTTGTTTTCTGCAGAAATATCAATAGTCAGGTAAACAAATTTATTGAATCCAACAGCAGATAACCTTCAAATTAAAAACACCAACAAAAACAAAAAGTACTGTAGACATCCAAGACAAAAATGTGTATATCAAGTTAATCTTCAAGGGGCTACTGGAAGAGTGCAACAGTGCAGAGAATACAAAAGTATTAACTTTTGTCAAGTGTGTACAACCTCAGGAGACATATGCTGTCATAAACCAAGAGGGGTCCACAAAGGGGGAGGGTCACAGGAGCTTACGGCAGGATACATATGAGACCAACTCAATCAAGCCCCGTTGACCTATTGCTTCAAATTCCCTCTTTAAAACTCAGTGCAGCAGGGAAGAGCAGTTAATCAGATTCGGAGGACTGGGGATCAGTATCAGAGGGAAGATACTTCTTTTACAGCAAATATATTTGTGCTGAGAGAAAAACAGCAGCTGTTGAATGGCTTCTCTTGGCAATGCTCAAGATAAGTGATGGAAGTAGGTATCCGAGAGCAGGCTGGGTTTCCAAGAGAAACAGAACACACCACTCCAACATTCGAATCAGAACTTGATTACTCAGCTAATCAAACCATCTCAGCATCGGCATCCTATGCTCAAGCATCATTCTTTTTTTTTTAAGAAAAAAAAAGGGGGGGTGGGGGGAGAACCATCCCCAGCATGTAGTCCTGGGCCTCTGAAGAGAAGTGGCAAGAACCTCCACTCTACGTGACCCAGAAGGGAGGATCAATGTCACATGTCCTTAAAAAAGCCCTAATTGACATATTTTGATAATTTTGTCCTTTCAAGTATTTAAGCCAAATACTGCTTGAGTCCTCCAAATAAGACCTTTGTCAGTTACCAAGTTGTTCAGGTCATCACTAGCCATCCTAACATACACGGGAGAATAAGAAGTCTAAAGAAAGTGGGGGGTGGGGGCACTTTGTAACAGTAGTTTTCTTTCTGTTCCTTATGTAACTGTATAACTGGGTCTACCTGCTGCACTGAAGACCCCACTTGAAATATAGCAAACCATACATTCCAATATACAGGTCTTTTGCTTCATTCGTTTTTGGACTAGTCTTTTATCTCAGCAACTTCCCACCAATGGTCCAAGTACATAATCTATGGGGTCCCATGACCTGATCTGGCCTAAAGAGCAGGCCCTAGGAGACAGTACTATTTCAAGCTAATACTGTGTGCAGCTTAACTCTTTACTTTGTGTCCATCCAATATGAACAATACTGCTTTGCACATTTTCTTGTATCTTTCCCTTAGCCCAAAGCTTTGGCTGAAATTTGAATTTTCAGCCAGCTCTGGAGATTTTTTTCTTTATCAAATGGGTACATACAAACTTCTGGACCCAATCACACACATGTTGGCACATCGGCCACAGTAAAGAGAGCTGCTGAGGCAACCCCTAGAAGTACAGCAAAGTGTCATTAAGAATGATACATTCGCCGGGCGGTGGTGGCGCACGCCTTTAATCCCAGCACTCGGGAGGCAGAGCCAGGCGGATCTCTGTGAGTTCGAGGTCAGCCTGGGCTACCAAGTGAGTTCCAGGAGAGGCGCAAAGCTACACAGAGAAACCCTGTCTCGAAAAACCAAAAAAAAAAGAAAAAAAAAAAAAAAAAAAAAAAAAAAGAATGATACATTCAAGTTTGGAAAGGCTAGGGGAAAGAATTCAGTAAAGCAACCCTTTATCTCATACCAGCTTGCTAATAAATTACTAAAGAAATACCATGGAAACTCAAAAAGTCACTTGCCAAAAGTAAGCAGTTTCCCAACAGATTCTGTGTAGTAATGCTTAGATGTTGCAGAATTCCAAAATGGCACCCATATATCGCACTTCCCTACATCACCCCAGTGTCACAAAGCTGGCTTACCTGAGGGGCAAACATTTGGCCTCCAGCCATTGCTGAAGCAAGCCTATCTGAGGTTGAGTGAAGTGTTAACTACAACCCTTACACCTCACTGTGAAATCTCTTGGCAAAACAAACAAAAACCTACTGCACAGAGAAGCCCAAGTCCCTAACTGTTCCTTTCTCTGGTTTCTCAACAACAGGTCATTAAAAATACAATCACAAATAATTTCTAAATGACTGGAGTTGGAGAAACTGAGCAATCAGTTAAAATCTACCCAGTGGGGAAGGAATCTAGTTCCTTGAGTCCATGGGGCCCTTGGCTGCCTCCCTCTCTTGGCACTTCCCTGCCACATACACCCTTTCTTATCTGGGACAGAAAGTCTCCCCTAGAACACTCCACTACTTCTTCCCTCATTGGACTTCTACCTAATTCAGAATTAGGAACAACTGGCTGGATGAGATCTTCTCCAAAGGCTGCAGTGTAGCTGTGCCCTGGGAAAGTGCTGGGCCCCTGGATACTTACTCAAGGACTTTGTCTTACTATGGCTAGAAGAAAGGAGCACATCTGGCCCAACAGCCTCTTCGGCCTCCAGCACACTATCTTAAGTCTGTGGCTGACTTTCAGGTTTCTCATCTGTCCCTCAAGAAAGGACAATTGTCAGGCCTACAAAAATGCTCCGTGTCAATACCAATTTTAGGAAATAGGACTGTCATCTCCTTAAATAATCATCTTTATAAAGATAGGAGCCCAGAGCTGTAAGACTCAAAGAACTCAAAGCATGCAACTCTTGCCCATGGCGAGAAACATATACCCAGGATTCAGGGTTGACTAATTAAGGGAGAAAATTCCAAATATTTAATAGACATTTTTCATTGTATCAAGAGTATAAATATTTTTGTAACTTTTATTAAAAGATTCCCTTTTTAATCTGTTCCGAAGTGTTGGAAGCTGAACTGTACAAGCTCCTGCCACCCACCTTCCAGTACAATTTTTTGAGGATATTTCTTAATGGGAAATTATCAAGAGGGTCCTCTAGTGGAACTAGGTAGGACAGAGTCAGCTCCTCAGGCCCTGGTGGCAGCTTGACCAAAACTGGCCTTGCAGAGTGAACATGCAGAGTCTAGAGAACTGGTTCCTCCTTCCTGCAAGCAAATCCATTCAAGTTCTCTTTAGTGAAAATGTCCAAATTCATATACAATAGCCTCCATTTATGACACTCCCTGGCATCTTCTTAAACTACAGATCAAAGGCAGCTCCCTCTTATGGCCAGTTTTAGCAGACAAATAAAGGAATATAGATACATATATGTGTATATATATATATTTTATAAAGGTAAAATATATACATATCTTATATATGTATATATACATACCTGGGGTAAGGGAAGAAGAGGAGGGTCATGTAAACCTAAACAGTCATCACATTACCCCAAATGAGCCTGACATTAACAAAAAGAGAATAAATAACTCCTGGGGGTTAAGTGACAACGTGGGCGCAGCAAAGAGGGAGAGGGCACACATTTAATGATTCAATACACTCGGATAATTTGTTTGGCAGAGTTCAGGCCAGCCTCAGGCTTCTGTACTTGCCAGACAAGTAAGCTGATGATACTCAACAAAAACTAAAGAAGAAAAAAAAACAAAACAGTTTGAAGCAGAGTTCCATGCCATAGCTTTCTTTTAGGTCAGCTGGCCGGCAGGCACACTTTTCTCACCACCCGGAACGGAAACTTTGGCTCCAAGGCAAATGAAAAAGAAAAAGAAAAAAACAAAACAAAACAGTATTTCCACTTATGACATGAAAATACAAAAACATCAAAGGAAACTATCAAAGAAGTCTACTTCCAGCAAAACTGAGGTAGCACTGCTTTCTCTGCATTCAACGCTTAAGTGGTTTTCAGTACAATGTGTTCTAACAAAACAAAACTGCTCACTTGACTGACAGGTACAGCATGGTGATGGATAAATTAAACATGAAATGCAATAGGTCAAAGAAGGAATGAGCAAGAAGTGAGGGAGGTAAGGGCTTTGGATAAATTAGCTTAAAGGGATGGGGTGGGGCGTCAGACTGCAAATGCTCTTGACTAGCCTTGGCCCTGGCTCTCCAAGAGCTCCCAACTGTCTGGAAATTAATGCAATGTGGCTAACAGTTAACACTGCTATTCATATCTGTAAATTTTTTAAAATAATTATTACAACCTAAATTCAACCATGTAAACAGCACTACACACAGTACAGACCTGCCCTGAAAAATAATATGCAAAACTGAGATCTGGCACTGTATCATTTTGTAATGTTAATTCAACCTAACAGTCCCACTTCCCCACCCGGGCCTAAACCCTCCCCGACAAAAACAAAACAAATCTAATAAATTTGTGCAAGAAATGGCAGGCTTATTCTATCTGAAGGCTTCAAAAAAAGGTACACAACATGTAGCCAGGTTCAAATATTTTGGGGGATTTCCCGCCCAAAAAAGAAATAACCAAAATAACCAAAAAAATGAAGAAAGTGCCTAAAACATGATACAGCATTTTAGAGCCCTTTCAAATACAAGGCAGAGAAAGGTGTAAAGTAGAAAATATCCGGATCTTCAGTAATTTCCAGAAAGGTCCAATGCCTCACTTGGTTGCAGGGCAGCAGGCAGATCCTCAGTGCTGCTCCTCTGGACACAAACCCTCGGGCCCTGAGCTGAGTGCACCTCTCCCTTCTGCTTCTCTTTTCCTTCGCTCCATCTCCCACTCCACAAAGGTGTCAAAGAGACTCGGCCAGGCCTCATCTTCGCTGTAGTTGCTGAGGTCGGGGCCAATCACCTGAGTGAAGTTAAGAAACATGTTCCAAGTGTCCCGGGAGATGCCCTTGATTCCCGAGGGGTTCTCTGTTAGGAAATTTAGCCACTGGTCCAATACAGGAGGATTGTTCTGGGTAAATACTAGTTTCCACAGGGCGATGGCTATTTCACGATGCAGTGACCGCTGCCCTTCTTCAGAGTCCAGGCCAAACTGAAATGTAAACCGGTAGAGATCCTTGAATTTATCTTCTTGTTTGGCTTCTGTTAAGAGGCTAGGGAACCGTGCACAGATCCCATCAATGCTGTCTGCACTTATTGCTTTACAGCCATCAAAAAACTCCTTCCTGCGACAGGTAGGAAAAGGTACAATTAATAAGTAAAAATGATGCCATGGATGATGAGGCAAGACAGCCCAGTAACAACTGCTAACCCCCCAGCCCTCAAGAGACAGAGACAGGAGGATCTCGGAGTTCTAGGATAGCCTGGTCTACACAGTGTTCTACAGCTAAGGCTGAGTAGTCAGACCTTGCCTCAAAAATAGAGATAGACAGACAGACAGGTGAGATAGATGGATAGATTAAAAAAAAAAAAAAAAAAAAAAAAAAAAACAGCTGAAGAGATGGCTCAGTGGGTTAAGAACACTGACTGCTTTTCCAAAGGAGCCCATTCAATTCCTCTAACCCACATGGCAGCTCACAACTACCTGTAACTCCAGTTTCAGGGCATCTGACACTCTTTTCTGGCCTCTGAGGGTACCGGATATGTATATAGTGCAGACACATACAATGCACGCAAGATACCCGTACACAAAAAATGAGAGGAAAAAAACAAACAAACAAATGTGGCTTTGAGCCTGGCAAGATGGCTCAGCAGGTAAATATACTTGTCACTAAGACTGATAACGTGAGTTTGATTCCAAGAGCCCATAAGGTAGAGAAGATCAATTCCCTCAATTTGTCCTTTGGCCCCCTCACACTCAAAGCATGGCACATGTGCATGTACACACACAAAAAACCAAAAATATGTAGTTTTTAAAAGTTCTTTCAACTATTTTTGTTTCTGTTATTTTATAAGAGGGTCTCATTATGTAGCCCAAACTACCCTTGAATTCTTTATCCTTGTGCCTCAGCCTCCTGAGGGTTGGGTTTATAGACATGTACCACCACACCTAGCTGCATATGTCTTTTTTAACATGTATACTGTACTTTGCATTTACAACAGGGTTTCACACTTATCATCTCAGAGACTGTACAAGCTGCTGAAGTGTGAGGCATCTGATCTACTGAACAGGCCATATAGCTGCGTTTTAAAGTCCATCCTGCCAGGGCAGGTATGGTGGTTTACCCCTTTAATCCCAGCACTCAAGAGGCAGGCAGATCTTGGAGTTTGAGGCCACCTTGGTCTACATATACAGTTCCAGACCACTAGGGCTATATATAGTGAGACCCCCATCTTTAAAAACAAAACATTAACAACAACAACAACAAAATAATGTCAGTTATTATTTAACCCTGCATTCTTCAAGCCATGGCCTGCCTTTTTTCTTTTTCTTTTTCTTTTTTTTTTTTTCAAATTTCTTTCTTTTTGATTTTTCAAGACAGAGTTTTTCCATGTAGTTTTGGTGCCTGTCCTGAATCTCGCTCTGTAGACCAGGCTGGCCTTGAACTCACAGAGATCCGCCTGGCTCTGCCTCCTGAGTGCTGGGATTAAAGGTGTGCACCACCGACGCCCAGCCTGCCATATCCTTATACACAAACAACCCCAATATGGATGCATAACTATGACAATTTGTACAACTACCACTTGGTACCTGAGGCCAGCTGTCCTCGCTGCACAAAACCTGGCTGTGGAGGTGTATCCCCAGAGGCACCTCCTCCATGGAGGACACTAAAGTGCCTGGCAGACTACAGATAAATAGCGAATGAGTGAACTGCCGCGTAAAGGAGTAAGAGACAAGTTATGAGCAGATGTCAGTGGGGTTGAGCAGCGACTTAGCAACAGGCTTCACACTGCTTAGTCCTTATTTAACTTCGGGCAGAGGGTTGGTACCCAGTTACGCTGCCTCTAATAAATAAACTGCTATGATAAATTCAACTGTGACCTATCAATCAGGCAGTGCTTTGTTCTGTGAGGAAAAAAACAGGATAGCATATATCAGACAAAGAAGCTTTACGGAGACACAAATCCTTGAGTCTTACCTACTGAGATATCTATTCAGTAATTCTGCTACAGTGCCAGGCATGTGTTTAAAAAAAATCCCTTAGGAGAGACTAGGGAGTTCTCTGGATCAGAACTAAAACTCAGAACTTAAGCTTTAGAGAAAATGGCCAGAAAAGGGAGGGGGGAACCACTTGCCCCAAACCTATGAAGCCAGCCCAGTTCTGTCCTAGCTGGTACCACTACCCAATGTCACTTTCTTTCCTCCTCTGTTCACCTACTGACATGAAAGCATCTGAGACTAACCTGGTGAATTTGCACATGGTAGCAGCCTGGAACTTCCAGGCCAAGAGCAGCACTCGAAATTCCGTAGGATCAACACATAGGTCATTGCAAAAGCGCTCCATGCCTTCCTCCAAGATTGCATCCTCCCGCTCGTCCTTGTAGCGCCTGAATAGTTCTTCCAACCTCTGCAAGGAAGACTCCTCAGCATTGGTCTTGGACTCCCTCCCAGCATCTCCAGAAGATGTTGGCAGCTGGCAGGCCTCAGCAGCAGCCTCTGCTTTCTTGGTCCCATTGACAAGGATATCCCCAGCTGGTTTGCCACAAGGTGGCACCTGTTCCTCACGGTGGCCAGCTCCGCGCCTGCTGTGTGACTTACTGCTGGGGTCCCGGTCTCCATTTTTGCTGCCCAAGGTTGATGAAGGATTCTTGCACTTGGTGACACACTGGCCCATGGTGGTGATGGCCTGGCCTCTAGAGTGGCCCCCTCTGGATCAGATGCCCTCGCTGCTGCTGGCCCGTGTACTTCAACATGCCATCAGTTAGAGGAGCCAGCCAACCTGGAAGGAAATTACAAAGTAGTCACCTATATGTAGAGGAGTGGGGTATAGACACTACACTCCAGAACTGTCCACCAGTGACCACTATATTCCACTGAGCTAACAATGAGCCAAGGGAAAGACACCCCTCCCCCATTACCTCTCCTGTAAATCATCTCTGTGCTCCTTGGAAATGGTGGCTAAGGCATATATGGAGAACAAGCATGGGGAATTCCTAGAAATCTTAAGGTAGCATAGGTTACAAGAAACTGATTCATTTGCAGAACACATCAGAGACTACAGTTCTGACAGTGTTCCAGGGGAAATAGGTCTTGTCAACTTTTGCCTTCACATAAGAAAGTTATCTGGACCTGAGTTAAGCCACAAGTCCATCACCTGGCTCTACACCTAATAACCTACACGTTCAAATTTTAACAAAGATTGTTGTTATAGTGGTCTTTTCCTCCCAGCATAACACAAGCAACACATTGGAGTATAAATTACCTTGTCCTGGTAGCCATGGCAACTAATTGAGCAGAACAATACAGAAGTAGCTAAGTCTACAATAATTGTAGCAGGAATCTTAAAAGTTCTTATTAATAAAAACAAACCTGGAGCCAGGTATTGGGGTGAATGCCGGAAGATCAGAAAGACAGAACAAGCCACAGCTAACCTCACCTGGCCAACTTCTCAGCTGGTCTTGTTTCCTCAGATTGGAAGCCTCTGAGTCCTTATCCAGAATGAATCTCAGCTGAACTGCTGCTCCAAAGACTAAAAGCTTAACCAGCCAAATGCTTCTAGTTTCTGGTCCTCATGCCTTATATACCTTTCTGCTTTCTACCACCACTCCCTGGGATTACAGGCTCACTTTCTGGGATTAAAGGCGTGTGTCACATGCCTGGCTGTTTCCAGTGTGGCCTTGAACTCAGAGATCCAGGCGGATTTCTGCCTCTGGAATGCTAGGATTAAGGTGTGTGTGCCACCATTTTCTGGCCTTTGTATCTAGTGGCTGTTGTGTCTCTGACCCCAGATAAGTTTATTAGGGTGCACAATATTTTGGGGAACACAATACCACCACAAATAATGGTAATGGATGGCGCTGGTGACACTGGTTAGTAGAAGTCAAGGAGAATTCAAGGGGCCTCGCCTCACAGGCCTCACCACACAGCAGCCATTCCTTCTCCTTGCTCTCCCTCAGATGCTAGCGTACATAAGGAGTAGAAAATTAACTGAAAGCAAGACTCCATGATGAAGCTTCCACATAATAAATACATTGTTTGGTTTGTCAGGCTGGATTCTGGTGGAACAGGGAGAAGAGACCATATCCAAGCCACTTGTAATCTCATAATGGTCTGATGGTGAGGTAAAGAGTTACAATGTCAAACTACAAGCAGGGGCCTAGCCAAATGCCCAAGGGAAGCGCATCTGGTCTCTGGATTCACACAGGTGTACTTCCTAGCTCTACCCTGCTCCACCCACCTCTACGGAGCCTCCACTCCAGGTACTTTCCCAACCTAGGTGTGTCTCCACACCCAATACAATCTCTAAGAGATAGAACTGCTCGATCAAAAGGCTACATTGACACTGAGCAAATTCTTCACTGTGATTTTGTTGTAACGTTAACTTTTATATGAACTGCTAGAAATCTATGACAAAAGCAGAAGCAGCTTCTCTAATAGCGTCTACTCAGGACTTGTGCTTAGCCATCAACTAGTTTGCTATAAGAAAAAAATCCATTTACAATTTAGTACTTGCAAAATCCTGCCAACTGCTAGAACAAGGGCAGCCACTGACACTGACTGTTGTTAGTTCTGGATCGGGAGCCACAAGTGTAATGAGAAAAGCAGACACCAGACAAAACTCAGTGGCAGTCCAGCATGGCCCTCCTACTTCTAATGAGCCTCCATGGACCTCCATGGTTCAAATTCAGAGCTCTTCAGAGTCTGGGAATGGGGCAAAGGGTAGTTGTTAAGAAAGGCTAAAAAGATAAAAACAAAACAGCTTCTACCAAACAGTGCCTAGATGAGTTACCTTCAAGAGGAATTCTCTCTAAAAGGAAGCAGTGAGTGTAGTCATCTAAAAGGAACCACAACCATTCCTGTAGTTAAGGCAGACTCCTATCAGGGTGTGTCCTATTCTCCACCCTCAGAGACAAAAGACATGTCTACACATGCCCTCAAAAGAACTGCAGCTTCAATTTGCTTTAAACACACACACACACACACACACACACACACAAAGAAACCCTTAAAAGTGCTTTGGCTATGAAAAGTGACAGACCCAAGCATGGTTTCCCACAGGCTGTTCATACTTTGGGCATGTAATAAGCCACAGTGAAACCTATTCAAATTTTAAAAGGCAAGGGGTTAATTCTTGGAAGACCATCATACAAGAGAAGCAACTGTTCCAGCAGAATTCTCTCCAAACAAGAAGGACTGTAGCATGTGGAGGGTCTGGTTTCCAGATTTGTGTTTCTAAAGACTGGATTGCTGAAAGAAACAAAAGGCCCAAACTTACACAAACCCCACATGCTCACAGACTGGCAACTCTAATTCCCAGGCTCGCTGACTCACCAGTGTTTGCTGCTCAGCTCCTGCTGCAGGAGACCCAGCCCCCGGGTATGATAAGAGGATTTCCTGCCCTCCATCTGACCCACCTACCCAGGCCACTCACCCCACCCCCACTGGGCAGATGCTTCAGTACCGCAGCTCCCTCCAAAGCTTGGCACCAAGGCCTAAAGGTAAGGGCAGAACAGATGGGGCTCCCATAAAAGCCTAAATCCCATTTACTCTGCTGGGTCTCCATGTAAAAGCATCTTTAGATGACCTGATACAGCGGAACCAGTTGAAACCTGAAGGCTTTTAACATACTCAGAGAAAAAGAGGGAGAAATCAATGTCGACAGATGATCAATCACCCAGTGACAGAAGGTCTGCTTTCTTCCATCATAGTTCCTTTCTTTGAAAGGTTCCCATTCTAGTGGGATGGAGTAGTGGTCTCAAGTCAGAGCCAGTATTTTCTTATCTTCTGGTGGGTGCTGCTGCTGGGTTGCTCTTTGATTTCTCTTTTCTCTGGGCTTCTCCAGGCCAGGTCACAGCAACCAGCCCTGTGTTCAAGAGGCTGGCAGAACCTTCTTCAGTCTTTCAAAGCTAAAGATCTCACTGGCTGTTGGTTAACTAAGCCTTTGATACAGAGCCAATCTCTATACTAACTAAGCACTTTAAGAACATTATTAGCTCATGTGCCCTCCTCACAATTCCATTCAAAGACAGGGAAACTGTGGCTCTGCATACATACAGTAAATTTATCCAACATCACAGAACAAACAGAACCTGGAATGTTTAGTTCAAGAAATCACAACCTGTATAACTGAACCCACACCTGGCAAAGGATCATGGGACAGCACACTGAGTAATGTTCAGAAGCAACAGTACAACAACCTCAGAATTGCAGATATTAACCATCAGCCACCAGAAAGAACACTACACTATCTGCACGCATGATCAAAGACATACTTAGCACTGCCCTCCCCAGGGCCAGGCCAGCACAGCTGCCATGATTCTAACAAGTATGATGCCCTTGGGCTCACAGCTCCCCATCCCAGAAAGGGAGGAGATGTGCTAGAACTGGTCTACTTGCTCTAGACCTGCTCCACCACATCAGTGTGGTGAAAGCTCCAGCCATGAAACTGAGCCTAGCTCTGTAACTAACTGAATTTCCCAAATCTGTAGCAGGAATCTTAAATGGTCTTATTTAATAAAATCAAATCCGGGGCCAGTTATTGGAGTGAAATGCTGGATGGTCAGAGAGACAGAACGAGCCACAGCTAACCTCACCTGGCCAACTTCTCAGCTGGTCTTGTTTCCTCAGACTGGAAGCCTCTGAGTCCTCATATCCGAATGGCTCTCAGCTGAACTGTGCTGCTAGAAGCCTGAAAGTTTAACCAGCCAAATGCTTCTAGTTTCTGGTCCTCACGCCTTATATACCTTTCTGCTTTCTACCACCACTCCTTGGGATTAAAGGCGTGTGTCACCATGCCTGGCGTTTCCAATGTGGCCTTGAACTCACAGAGATCCAGAGGGATTTCTACCTCTGGAATGCTAGGATTAAAGGTGTGAGTGCCACCATTTTCTAGCCTTTGTATCTAGTGGCTGTTGTGTCTCTGACCCCAGATAAGTTTATTAGGGTGCACAATATTTTGGAGAACACAATACTACCATACAAATCTACCCACATGATTATTGCACATAGTCAGTCAAGAAACACAGATAATGTAAGTGGTACAAACAGCCAGCCCTACCCCAAAGTCATTAGCTCAAGTCCTTCTAAAAAGCAGTCTCACAAGTGCTATTGAGATAGCTCAGTGATAAAGGTGCCTGCCACCAGGTTAGAGACAACCTGAGGATAATCCCCAGGACCTATATGGTAGAAACGAAGGACAGACTTCTAAAAGTTGTCCCAGACTGCCACACACAAGCCATGGTACACTTGGGAAGCAGAGTGGATCTCTGAGTTCAAGGCCAGCCTGATCTACATACTGAGACCCAGTCTCAAAAAACAAAAACATTCTAATACCACATCACTGACTATTCAAAAGCTCCAAAGCCCCACCATGTGGAGAATCAGGCTCTCCACAAGAAGTGATTTCCTTGGGATTGATCCTCAATAAAAATCAAGCTGTGCCTGGGTGAATACTTTAAATTATTAGCCATACCCTGTTCCTAACCTGAGTAGGCTTTCTCTTTCCTCTTTCATCCACTTCTGTAGGTCCTGCGAAGACAGGCTCTCTAGCTTTCTAGGCAATTACACTCTGTTAATGGAGGTGTCTTCCCAGGTGGCTCTCTTCCCTCCCATTGCCACCTGCTGACAGCCTCTGCACAATCTAGATACTCCAGTGCCAAGTTTCCAAAAACAACACAATTATTAGTAATGAATACTCTTTTCTATCTGTTAGTATATGGTAACAGCCACATAGAAACGTAGCTCTGTGAAACTAGTGAGTTCCGGGAAATTAAATGGCGG